TTGTGGGGGCCGACGACGAGGCGCAGGAGGACGAGGAGGAAGAGGAGGACGAATGGAGGGAACGACTCCCCAGCAAATCCAGGCAGGACAGGGATGACGTGAAAGGCATGCAGTACTGGAGCCAAAGGGACTCAGGCAGGGACAGGGCAGGGGAGGACAGAGGGGGGCCTGGGCCACTGGGGGGTGCTGGGCTGGGGGTTCATAGTACTGATGCAGAAGAAAAGAGGATGAGGATGAAGAACGCTGTCCGGAGTGCGTTTTTCCTGGTGCCTCTGGTCTGTGCCACATTGCTCGTGCTGCTGTGTGCATTTCTGATTCCATGCCAGAAGGGAGAGCTGGAAAAGAGGCTGCAGTGGGAGCGGGCACTGGGAGATGCTGGAGGTAAAGAGAATAAGAGAGTTACACCAGATCTGGTTGAGATATTAAAGATATGTGTGTGTGAAAATATGATGCACAATATGAGCTTACTCCACCAATAATGCTGACTTTACAGAGACTTACATAGGAGTCTCTGTGGCTAGACACCGCTGACTCACCCATTAATTAGTCCACTGTAATTACACAGGATTGTGAGCTTCACTCCACCTTCCACATGTTCTGTTTTAGCATGTACTGTAAAAGTATTGTAGGTTGGAAGTAATAAACAGGATTGTGTCTTTTATGATTCACACATTTTCCCCCCTTATTCCTCCCGCTGGTCCAAAATGTAGGTCAAAAGAACAAGTTCATCCTTCCCTGGTTTAAAAAGAACAACCTCACTACTGGTGGGCAGTGCTAATTGTGTTTTTGTTTTCTCCGTCCAGGTGTCACTCCACCAGCGCTGGCTTTGTGGGATGTTGATGGTGATTCAGTGGAAGATGTGTTTCTGGGCGTTACTGAATGGACCAATGACAGCCATCCCACACAAGGGAACAAAAGTATGTGAATAAATATTTGAAAAGGCTCAGCCAATTAATCTTGATTTTGTTTCTATCCCGTTGATTCAGACAATTCCTCAAAAACCAGGATCCATTTTAATATCTCGTCCTCTTTCTCCTTCTTTAACCTTCCTGATTTTATGTGTTTTTCCTGTTTTTTGTTGATCATTATGTCCTTTCTTTTACCCAGTTTACAGTGCGGTGGCCCTGTCTGCAGTCAGCGGTCAGGTGCTGTGGAGGAAAGTCATGCGGGAGTCTGTGATGTACATCCAATGTGGTCTGCAGTACAGCGCGCAGCCGTCAACTGTGGTCCTCCTCATCAGCAAATCCATCGTCATGGCAGTCAATGGCACCACAGGTTAGAGCACAAGCCGAGCCACAGAGCTCACAGTACTTAATAATGAGTAACCACATGTACAAACATTTTATATCTTTTCTTAAATGGTCTTATATGCAAAGAACCAAGTGGCAATCCACCTGTAGTGTTCAAACCAGTTAAAACTGGGTCAAAGAGGTTTCCTTTCACTCACCAGGGAAGAACTTGTGGTCAGTCCTGCTTAAGAACATCGAATCCCAGGCGGTACTACTTCCAGACCTCCAGGGAGACTCAGTCCCAGACCTCCTGATAGCCACCCTGCCTGCAGATGAGGTATATGACAGCCACCCCCCCTTTTCCCCTACACTCATACTCAAGTTACACTGAGGCATTTTACCACTAGTAGTATACAAAAAAGTCACTTGTTACTATTCTTACTTGGCTAAAAGACTTGTGTTGTGAGCCTGTTGTGTTGATAATAGTTTAGCTGAGTACTGCTGTATTAAAGGTGTGTTGTGTCTCCAGTAACAATCCCATTCGTGTCTATTTTTCACTTTTCTTTGGAATATATAACATTGTTGTGATCATGAGTTACAGATCATGTTTCCAGGCCTTTGTTTTCAGTGAGCATATACCTAATTCTGCTGTATTCATTCTCAGGCCTTGGATCTCTCACTGACCTTGATGTGTGGGCGGTCAGGGATGAAGCTCGGACATCCCGTGCCTTTCAACCTCACTGGACAAGGAAAGCTGATTGGTCCTTTGCTGCATGAGACACAACAAGGGGCCTATTACATCCTCTTTGGATTAGGTAAAAGAATCAACCAGCAATATAAAGTTCTTAAACATCACTCTGTTCAGGCAGTTGGTTCCAATAGTTCAAACAGAAAATGCACGATATGATGATTTGATTTTGTGTCAATGTCTTTTCCATCAGGTAATGTAGAGGCCATCTCTCTGCGGGACATCTACGTTCGTGCCACCGGCAAAATGCCCACAACTCAGGCACTACAAAGGAAGGATCCAGGGTGGGAGGGGCTCAAGAAAACCAATTCCTCCTCCTTCATACACATTTACAGGTACAGCTCGGTGACTGGCACATCGCTCTGTACAGACGTTTCTGTTCTATGTCTGTTAAATATTAAACCTTTAATCCGTTGGTAGGAAGGACACACTGTTACAAAACCAAAGTGTGATGCCTGAGCTGCCGCAAGAGACCTCTTTTTGTTTAGCAGTGTATTCTACTGCAATAAAATAGAAATGGTTGGACTTGTTTATCTCAATTTATATATAATATATATATAAAAGTATAGTATTCTGTATTGTCTTGAGTCACATATTTTGTAGTCCCAAACATCAAGAAGCATCTTAGATGATTTTAGATAAAAGATGGTAGAAATACTCTTAGATTGTTACAATATTCATAGCATGTTGTCCAAAAAAAAAATTATGACTAATTAGGCGTCGTCTTTGTAGAGGATCTGAGCGCGTGGAGTTCCTGCTCCCTCTTGTGGCTGGATTTGGCAACAACCACAACAGCCTGGACACTGTTTCGAACCTCAACTCCACCAAAAGAGACTGGGTGCTGGTGTACGGCTCCAGCAAACTGTCAGTGCTCAGGCAGAAGGACACACATAAAGAATGGACCTTCAGCTCGGCTCCCATTCACAGGTAAAGCCCAGCACATCACTACTCTACTGTCATCATGAGACAACAATACAAGTCATGTATCAGACTGTTGCTACATTTCTCTAAATTATTTCTTTGCCTGTCACAGTCAACCAGCCCCAGGACATTTCAATGATGATGGAATTCTTGATCTTTTCATTCAGCATTCAGCAAACGGCATCATGCAGGTACAACAAACAATCCTTTCATACACTTTTGCTGCACAAAAAATCGGGTTAAACTGCTCTTTGTGTTGTTTGGTCAAATTGAGGTTCTCCTCCTCTCCGTCTCTCAGGCACAGGTTGTCGATGGGGCAAATGGGCATCTTCTCTGGACAGCAGAGTTTGTGTGTCCTCGTCTTGTTTTGGAAACTTCAGCAATCTCCACCTCTACTGGCCAATCAGCTTTCCTCTTCTGGGCTAGCGAACCAATCAAAGTACAGAAGAATGTTACCAAGGCAACTGTGAGTTTCATGAACTGTCCTGGTCTGTTGATACAAAAAAATAGATAAACAGCTGTGTGTGAATCATATCACATCCTATTTATTGTCTATCAATGAAAAACTCAACTCTGTGTAGGTGGCACCAGGTGTTGCTGCAGCGGAGCCGCTCATTAGAAAACTTTTCCTGTTGCACCCTGCATATCCCACAATCCTGCTGGAGCTCACCAGTACTACAGACACCGCAGTCACCTCTGCAGGTAAACGTTCAAATCTGCTGAACTATATCCGCTTTAATGCGGCTTATAATGAGTTTGTCTACTAACCTTTATCATTCACTATCCAGAAGTCTGTATACCTGTCTGTTATTAAAAGTATGTCAGTAGTAAATGAGCCAACATAGTAATTAGACAGGAAGTAATACACGTGTTAGAGTAATACAAATGTTTTTCTTCCTATTTCCTCCTCCTTTGTCTCCGACAGTGAGTTACCAGGAGCGCCAGAAAGACGCCACCTACATCACCGTATCCTCCCGACCCACACCCGATTCGGAGCCCGGCGCTCGGATAGTCAAGAGCATGAGCCTCAGAGCTGCTATCACCAAAGGACAGATTGTCAGGCTAGGGGAGCGCAACAAGACCGGGGAACCTCTTAAACCTGCAGTGTTTGAGGTCAACAAGTTCTTCAGGCGTTTGTCCTTTAAACACATGGTGAGGAGCGTGAGATAGTCACAATAATGCGTACTGTGTGTCACTTTGATTGTTTACGCTCTCTTAACTGTGTTGCTTTGTTTAGTGATGAGCCACCGCCGCTACCACGCTCTGCCTCACAGGAAGCGGTGCCACTAAAAGGACTGAGGATGAAAGGAACAGAAGTCGGGGACAGCTCTGCACTACGGAGACCCTGAGGAGACGCATCTTGTTTGGTTCACTAAGACATTTCTTTTCTGTAAAAAAAAAGATTATTTGTAAGTAGAGATTTTGTTTGTATTGTTATGTTTGTACATTGAACATGCTTATTTAATTTATTTAACTCGCATTCAGGAGAGTCTTTTGTTTGGAATTGATGGCAGAAGACTAACTTTATACGGTAGTTCATTACTGACAGTGAAGCACAAAAATGCTGATGAAAGAGCATGTAAATGTGTTTACAGTATGCATCACTCATAACTCTTCCCTGGCCAGTATATCCATGTGGTGTCATCCCCCAGTCACATGCAGTTTTCGTCATGAAGCGGCTAATCGTGTTTTTTCTGCTCATCACCGAGGTCAACAGTGTAGGGAGTTGTGTGTAAATATTTAATGCTGTACAGTATTTATTGATTTGCTTTAACGTTGATTTTTTTTTTGGATTGAGTTATTTTGTCTGATTTTTTTCTATGGTTATATAATAAATCTTTTTTTCTGAGAATATGTGGCTGCTAAAGATCATGGCATTTAAATGTAAGCTGAAACTGAAACAAGCTGAAACAAGAGAACAAATGAAAATCAGTTCTTACTGCTGCATCATGTATCGTGTGTGGTTTATTCCAACCTTTATTTCACCGTCTCAGGTACTGCGTTGATAGAAATGATGAGTTATTATTAGAGAGGGAGGGTGGTGTGGCGTTACAGTGCCGCAGGGGGGCGCTGTTGCGCCTCCACATCCAAAATGATCTGCCGTGTTCCGCATTGCTGCCGCGTCAAACGCTGTCAACATGGCGTCGGCCCTCGGTCGCCTGGCCAGGCTGTCTGCCCTCAGAAACGCCCGCACCTCCCCGCTGACCCCCTCCTGCGGGCCGGGGAGCACCGTGACACCGGCCCGGGCCGCCGTGTCCACTCCGTCCGGCGCCATCCTGCCCAAACCCAAGAAGGTGAGTGCTGCTTTGCAAGGGTCGGTGTGGTGCTCTCGGCATGAACTAACTTAGTTTCTTTCCATGGTGGTGGGTGGGTGTGTGTGTGTGTGTGTGTGTCACCGGGGAAGCAGACCCCCTTCGGACTTATCCGGATTGCTCTGGTACTCGTGCCCTTCTTGTATGTGGGGACTCTGATCAGCAAGAACTTTGCGGCGCTGCTGGAGGAGCACGACATCTTCGTCCCCGAGGACGATGACGATGATGACTGAGGGGATGTGGAGGCCTCCTGGTTGTCAGGTAACACCCGGCTTGGGTTGTGTGGTACAAGTACACGCACACACACACACACACACGTCACTAACCAACAACCAGGCAAGACAATATACTGAAGCTACATGTGAAACGTGATCTTCTATTTACAACCAAGATCATTTGAATACTGTAAACAGGCCTATAATCAGTATGATTGTCAATGGTAAACATGTTTCATATTATTTACACAACTACAGGATTGCCAATACCTTCCAAGTTTGGTTAAAATAAAACATCAAAAAACTATTACAGGAGTTATTTTGCCACCCCAGTAGAGAAGAGAAGAGTTACATTCACGATAGTTCCTCTGTGAGCTTCATTTTAAGTGTTTTTTGCAGCTGTTGCCAAACATATTTTAGCCAGAGTTAAGAAACCGTGTCAGTTCTGGAGTGTAAGATTAAAACAGGATAAAAATAAATCACCACTCAGACTTCTTTCTCTTTCCTCAACAGGTCACCTTGTTTTGTCACTACCACTGGGAGAGTGTCTGAGCCTCAGAGCACACTAATGCCTCCCTGGTGTTCCCTCTGCTGTGTTTTCAAGTCTGCACTGGATTCAGGGTTTTCGCTGTTATCGTCAATGATAGGGCTGTCTCAGGCTGATTGTATCGTACTGTATTTGCATGCACTACTAAAGTCTTAATAAAGGGAGTAGCGATGGTAAAATCCAGCACGTGCTCAGAGATTACTCAATCATCATAGTCATATAAAGTGTGATGTTTGTGTCTGTAGTTTCCCTACATGTATGACAAGAGCATACGATTTGTTTATGACACAAGAATAATCTTAATAGGCAACTTAATAAGTCACAACACACATAGACTTATATACACGCCACCTATAGAGTTAGGGCAGGGCTGTCTGTTCAGTGGTTTCCAGGTCCATAAAATACCACACCAGTAGTTCTTCTGTACCATCCTAAAGGGACAGTTCATCCAAAACTTAATAAGTCTTATTTTTCTTCTACGTTTTGGTTTGGAGATCAACAACAACGTCTCTTCTAAACAGAATGACAATAACCAAAAGACATCATTCTGAGCAGCTTCAATATGAGCTACTTTCTACGTGTCTGTCCCTTTAAGATCTCTGCTTTGAATAAAAGACACAACTGTAGGTATGTGAGTGTTAAGTGTGTATTTACAATAAAGGGGAACATCTGTCACACTGGACACAAGCAAGGGGAGGTCAGAGGTCAGCAGAGAGCTACACAGTTCATGGGTCATGACCCCGGTAGAATTTGGACAGGAAGTCAGTGGGACGAGGTTCTTCGGTCTCGTGGAAATAGCGCATAACGTGGGTCTTCTGCTTCCAGACGTGGATGGTTTCCTCAAGTTCCATTTTCCCCTGGAGATCAAATGAAAGCGTTTAAACACAGCCTGGAAGACATCATGTATCTTCATTCATTCAGTCAACTGTGATGGGATGAGGTACTGAGCAGCCACAATATCTGACTCCGGTGTTGTTTCAATTAGGAAATGAAAATGATTATGGGTGATGCAGATCACAGATCAGTGAAAGGCTGTTTTTACCTTAATGACTAACATATCAATCACACGGGGGTCGGTGACATGCTTGTTCTTGTCGAACATCTCCCTCACTTTGTCTCTTCCCTGACGCGTTGTGATGTCCAGCTGAAACAGTTCCACTGTAAAGACACAAACACAAAGTCACTCCGTTTCCACCACACCAACTTCACCCAGGAACAGGAAGGCCAGAACCACCACCCAGTGCAATAGTGAGGCTGATTTTTGTAATATTAGACAATAAAGGTCTATAGAGCAGATGAAACGGTATATCGGGGTTTGGGCACACATGCAATATTAGACAGAAGAATAAATTCATTGTGGTGTTTTTATTGAATATGAAAATACAGAATATCTCCAGCCTTATTCTGAGTTATTATGGGACCCATAAAGTGGACAGCTGTCCAACCTGTCAGCACAGTGGAAACCAGCCTGTGTGCCTCTCATATAGGTCTGTATGAGTTAGATGTAAACATACACTATACATATGATCGAGGCCCTAAAATAGGAAAGACACGTTTCATAACAATCCTCTTTAACAGGTGTTGACTGAGAGCGTTAATCTAAAACAGCACATCTTTAAATACTAATAAAAACACTATCATTATATGAGCATATGGTCAATGCCAACATTCACAGGCTAATATCACAAACAGTGTTCAGGTAGCTGCAGGTGTTAGCCCCGATAATATCGCCAGGTATGAAGGTTTCTCATTATTCAATGAGCTAAAATGACCATGTCAACGTTTCTATCAAACACTGGGGAACAGAGAGCTTCTTTAAAATGTTTTATGTTATATTCTGTTGATGTTTGCTGGCAGCTGGCTAACGTTAGTCGTTATGTTGAACCTCCACATAGACACGACCTTGACGCTGGCGCTGTCTTTTAAACACCTTTTTCCCGCCACAGCGGAGCCACATACCTGAGTTGGGGACCTCTCGGTACCAGGCTCGGTACAGCTCCCGGACCCTGCGCTTAGCTTCGTCCAGGTCCCGGCTGAAAATCGGTTTGACAACTTTAGCAGCACCAGCTACAGCTCGGGTCGCCGCCATGACTGCTGCCGTAATTTGGTTTCCGGTTGCAGCTACTCGATGGTGTCATGTTGACTGACACTGTGCTGCCACCTAGTGGACTGAAGGGGTCAATGCGGCAGCAGAGTGGTGCATTTTTTATTAGTTTTTATTTTCAATTTAATTTAGTTTCAGTTTGGTTTGTATGAGTTTCAGTATTAATTGTAGTGTTTTAAAAACATATATATAACATGAGGTGTATTTGTTGGGAAAGATTGAAGAAGTCCAGAATTACAACACAAACACATTGACTCACAGTCACGTAGACATCCCTGTCTCAACAAACATAGGCTGGCTTGCTGTGTTCACAAATTTGACCCAACTGACAAAGACTGAAAGTAAAGACATTATCTGTATGCTTTTATTTTATTTCAATTCATTTTGTCCATTATATGAAATAGTTAGTTTTCGTTTTTGTTCTAATTCCTGTTTTTATATTTATTTCAGTTAACTAAAATGTTTTTTTCACACGTAGTTGTAGTTTTTAGTTTAGTTTTAGTTAACTATAATAACCTTGGGCAGGAGCCCGCGGTCAGTCACCATTAAAATAAGTACTACTTTAAGAAGTTTAACACATTTTATTGTTGTTGACAATGCTTAGAGACATTCTGCTCCAAAGTAATTAATGCTCTTGTACTGAACTGTATCATACTTTAAGGGGTTTCTAAACATTGTCAAAAATGTAAATGAGGGGTATAAATATTAGAAATATATGTCAATGTCTTTTAAATACAAACACACAATGTACAGTGGCCCCTTAACATTACAGAATTGAGTCAAAACACAAAGTGACAGAAAAAACTTTTTTTTTTCCCTAGGTAGTATGTATTGCAGTTATTGCTTTGGATTACATCATACAGTTTTCTATATTTCAGAAACTGCAGTGTATAATCTTTGAATGGATTGTTGCCGTATGTGTGGCAATAGTGTACTGGTATAAAACGAATGAACAGCTATAAGTGTGTGTGCTGCTGCTGATGTAGGTGTACAGCATCGATTAAATTAAGTGTTTCTGTTGAACTTATTTTATTGATTGCAAAAATTGTGTATAATTTACAAAGATGATACAGGCTCTACAGTACATTAAATATGAAAATATTTTCAAAAGGCAGGTAGATATCACAATTCATACTTTCAATAAAAAAAAATTGGCTCATCGATGCAACACCTGTCATTTGTTGTGGTGGTGGCGGCACGTTAATGCCAATGATCAGGGGAGACTGGAAGCTTGAGAGTTCCTGCTTCTCACGTTTAAAAATGATAACATGTGTGATGTGGGATAACATTCATTCAACAGCTTTTACAAGCATCCCCAAAGAAAGTTGAGCCTGAATTTGCTACCATATAGTCATAGATCAACTTCCAATTCAGCCTGCCAGGAATAAGAAACGTTTGCTGTCTTGTCCTGTATTAATCCCAATATATTTCTGAATTTCATATTCACAAACACAACACTACATAAGCTCACTTGTTTCCAGGTAAAAAAAACAATAATTACAGCAAATGATAAGCTCCCATTTCTAAAGAAACGTGTGCCATTTTCACAAAGTAAACACGACTCAAAAGCTGTACAACATAGAAAACGGAGATGACAGTAGCTCTTATGTAACTGTGTTGACCCCTGCTGTCTCACGCAAGAAGACACAGAGGCAATGAGAAGATTATCCAACAAGAAAAGCTGATACAGTATGAACTCTTCACTCTATGACCTCTACATTACCTGATTTAAAAAAAAAAACATGTCACTCAACAAATATTCCAGTTTTCAGACCAAATGCGCACTCATACATGCTTGCACTAAAAGCAAGCGAAAGCTATAATAAAAAAAAAAGAAAAGTGCAGTTTTATATATCACATGTGGCCCAGTGTAATGAAACCAGCTAATAGCTACTCTATACTGCTCATTGGCAGAATGATTGAAAACTAAGGCACTATCATGGTCCCCACACAGCCGGAACTGTAGTCCAACAATCATCTCCTCTGCTTTTCTGTATACCTCTTTGATTCAGTCACCATGGTGCACACGCACCTGCAAAACAAAAAACATACAGACAGAATTTTAAAAAACAAACTAGAAACTTTCAACAAGTATCTCAAAATCTCCATAGAGACTGTGACTTGTTGGCTGTATTAGTGTGACTTTGCATGCAGTCTGCTCTACCTCTAGTCCCCACCTGTCTCTGTGTCTGCCAGAGCGCAGTGGCACCAGCAGCAGGATCTCAGTGGTCCAGGCTGTTACCCAGCTTTTGCCCCTCCTGCAGAGCAGCCATGGCCAGCCTCAGGTGCTCCTTTAGACTCTGGATCTCTCGCTCACTCCGGCCCTTCATCCCACTCAGCTCCTCGCGCATCTCTGTATATCGTTCACAGGCCAGCCGTTTCTCCTGCGAAGCAAAGAGCGGCTTTGTGTGAGATCACACTCACTTTGGGAAACCCTGTATGCCTTCTGTTTAAACATGCTATATTTATGTATATAATATTATTTATATAGTATAACATATGGCAAATATGTTATACTACACAAGGAGGAGAAGCACCAAATAACAAAGGCAAGGAATGTAATGTATAATACAACCAACAGGGGGTCCTTGCAGTGCTGGAGTAAATTCATTTACGGTATAGGGTGCAGAGTTTTCCCAGCCTAAATCTAGGAAGAGCCACCTAAGCCGCCTACTTAGATGTACAAGGTATTTCTTAATGAACTTTGTGTTCATTATTTTACTGTTCTCAACAATAGCCAAAGAATCTTAGAACTTAGTTGTGCTACATTTTCTGATGTAAGACTATAAGACAGTTAACAAAGACCTTGTTCAAGGATATGAGGATTAACATTCCATGTTATTCATCAAATAAATAAATAAATACACATATTTGTACAAAACATATACACACACAGGCAGTACCGTGTTAAGAAACTGCAGTTCGTTCCTTAGACAGCTGATCTCCTTGTGTAAGTACTCTATCTCATTTTCTTTCACCCTGAGAAGAACCTGAGAGAAAAACAAAACAACAAACACAGTGTGCTTGTCATTTGCTGCCAAAAAGAAAGCAAGCAAAGATAAAAACAACACACACAAAACATCTTTTTATTGTACTAAATCCTTATAATTATCACCAAAAATGCACAGTAATTGTGTTCTGGTTGATTTATGACAAACACAGTGAGCGTTCTTTGTCATTTACAGAGTACAGGACTGGCCTTTGGCCAATGACTGTTTACCAAGACATTCCCTTTGTGTTCTGAAAACTACAACATCAGTTTGCTAACCACAAAGAGCAGAAGTGAACTGCTATGTTATTGCTACTTTGTGTATGTGTCATTTGGGCGGACAGCAGGGTGGTATTACTGAGACTGAGTAAGTGTCCTTGAGCAAAGCTCACTGGGACAGTGCTGTACTTTCAGTGTGTTCCTGAAACATTGATGCAAACACTTAGACAAAACACTGCAAATCACACTTTACATCTCTACATGATGCAACCTCCAATATTACTTAATCTATGACTTAGCTAAAGTAACTGCAGTTGTTGCACAGTTTCTTATTGTGCTCTTAAAGGGTCAATAAAAAAAACATTGAAAGAAAGGGTGAATGTAGAGGAAAACATGCTTTTTAATAACTGAAAATACCAAAATGAAAAGATATCGCTATAATATAGGTTTGTATGTTTTTAGCACAGGTTAAAATAAAGTTTGCACAGCATCAGATGAGCTACACACAGCTACCTCACTGAGTAATCTGAACACATTACCTCCAAATGGAGGCACCTCCTCCATTATTGACTGATTATTGCTGCAAATAACACAAATCAACATTTGAAATTCTTTCAATACTTTTGGTGCAGAGGTTGATGTTTTCACACCTTTTTACAAAGTGACAGACACACTTTCGGTTCAGAGTATACAATATAAGAGCCATACCTCTAGTTCGCAAGGCGTCCCGTCTTTGTTGTCCTCTGAGCCGTGATCTGCGGTGGTAGATCGCATGCGACTGATCTCCTCCTTCAAACGGGCCCTTAAGTCCTGTGGAGAGAAATATTGTTTTAGAATTTAAATGACAGCCATTGGTTGGCACACAGTCGCAGACAATAGATCACTAGCCCTATATAGCCTACAGACTACAGACGCCACACAGCTTGGATAGTGCAAAGTAACAGATACTGTATGCAACTTTTCACCTGTCCCTGATTGTATACAACGTTCCAGTGAGGCTCAGAGTGATGCTTCACACTCTGGGTCCATGCATACTCAAAACTGTTCTTAAGAATCCATTTTTACAATCTGCTGATAACTCACCTGGTTCTCTTTCCTCAGCTGCTCCATATCTCTCTCCTTGCGGCCGATCTCCCTCTCTCTCTCAGCGTTGTTCTGCTCAGCTCGGTTTAGCTCCAGACACTTCTGAGAGTAGCGCTCAGACAGTCCGGCCAGCTCCCTCTGAAAGGCCTGACTTTCTGCCCTTCAGACACAGATAGATGACACATAATGCTGTGCTCATGTTGGGTCCTTAGTGAACTAAACTGCAGCTATTCCTTTCACCAGACGCACAGTGAAAATGACATAAAACAAGAAACATTTACAGACAATTACATATTTATTTTTGAAGAATTCGATGTAGAAGTCACAGCCCTGCTCTGATGGGATGACCTTTTGTTACACACAGACAACCAAAGCTAATCTAATATTCCTATTAAGTGGCAGCTCCTTTATTCTGCTCTGCACTTACAAAATTAAGTAAATTATAATATCATTATCTAGTATTGATTACATTTAATAACAGCAACATGCTGTGAAAAACTTTGAGAGTGTTTTTTCTTTTCCATTTTCATGAGGCAAGTATTTCCTACTGTGGTTTTAAAACATCTTTACTGCTCACAACCAATAACCACAAAAATAAGGAAGGAGCATGCAAAGAGCGAAAAAACGCAGAGTAGGCAACACAGATAAGCCCTAAAATGCAGGTTCCAGTAGCAGCCACTGAGACAGCGTTGTGTCAAAGGCCTTGTGAAGCTTACAAAGGAAAACTAATCCATGACCAAATTCGTCTACATTCCTTAAGTGCCTAACAGGACCCAGTGGCCACTGCGGTAATGGCCTTGCTTAGACAAGGAAGCCTGGATTGTTGTGGAGTCTGCAAATTCTGCCTTTTATTTCACAGAAAACCCTTTTGTGGCCAACAAGCTCCCACTTAAAAGCACAAGAGAGCTATTCACATAAATTACCAATGTTGGCTTGCACTGACTGACACTGAGGACCGGGCTACAACCGAGGCAAGATGGACAAAAAGGCACAAAGTAGAAGAGAAGCAGTTTGCATACTCCTTAATATGCTTGTATTTCTGCACAAATGTAAACTAACGTTATGTATTTTTAGACTGTCACTTAAACAAATCAACATATTTTATTGCCACTGGTGTCAATAATGTTAAGGATGCCATACTACACACGCACAAACTGATCTGAAGTCACTTACTGTTGTTGGACTCGTAAAGTCTGTGAATCCCCACTGCTTAGCCTCTTGACTTTCTCCACCTCTCTCTCCAGCTCCTCTTTGTGTTTCTTCTTCAAAGCCTCCATTACTGAAACACAAGCGAGACACAACGTCTACATGATCTCCTGGTAGCTGATGACAGCAGCATCTAGGACTTTCCTGACTGGGACTGGGGACACTCAAGAGTAAAAGACCAACTGAGAAAACCTCACCGACAGCTCCACAGAAAACAGCTCAGTGTGAATACCACCACCAATAACATGAGTATAGAAGCCCTGCTGGAGGTTTCACATAGTTTAAAAAATAACCCAAGGCAACAAGAAAAACCCACTGATAATCTACTTAAAATGAAACCCTGAACTCTATTTGACCTTTAACCTCAACCCACTTCTGACTAAATGTCTTTGCCGAGATATGACCTTCTCTATTTAAAGCCACAGTTACTACTTTTCTTCCCTGTCTGGTCTGCTGACCTCGTGCTGTGTCCTGGGCCTCCTCCAGCAGCAGCCTGTCCCTGTCGGTCTCCAGCTCCTTGATCTGGCGGTTGTGCTGCCTCTGCAGCTCCTCAAGCGCCTGCCGATGAGCACGCTCCATGGCTGCCAGGCTGCGGCCGCAGAGGGCCTCGGGGCCACAGCCACCCCTCACACCTCTTCCGTCCCTCCCTCCCCCTACCCCTCCTCTGCCTCCTTGTAGTTGCTCCAGCTGCTGCCTCAGTGACGCCACCTGAGAAAAGACGAAGACGGAGGTAAAGCCCACTGAGCGACAGGGGCGGGGGACAGAGGCCTTATGAACTGAATGTGTGATTAGCATGATAAGCATAGCAGGATATTAAGAAACGGGGTCCTTTTGGGTGGCCGACTGTGTGGTACGACTCTGTGCTTAACCAGCTTTTTATAATTAATTCATACTCACTACCTACCGTGAACAGACTAAATTCATATTTTAACCAACACAATCTGTTGCAGTGTCCCATGCCAGACTAATGATGCAAATGCTCACTCCACTGCTACCTTGGGTATTGTGCACCTCTTGGATTTTATGACTGTTGGTGCTAAAAGTTCAAATAATTTGAACTTTAACCCAAATCAGTGCTGTCGTTTCAATAATTGACTAGATTCAAACTAAAGAAGAAGTTTAATACAACAATATAATATTTAATTCAAGAATAAACCCACATGTGCCTCTCTTTGATGTATAAACAGGAGCTGTTAAATGAATGCTAAACAAACTGTATGATAAAATATCAGTGTTTAGTAGAGCTCTTAGTCTGCGCAGCATGTGCAGACAGTCTTAGCATCAGAGACTGCAAACAGGTTCAAACCAAAGATGCACATCACAACACACAGAGACAGAACAGAGAGGCGTTTCAGCAGTTATTCCCATCTGTATTATTCTTTAGTTTTAATTTTCCATTGCTTATTTTTGGTGGAAAGCATTGCTGAAGGGCGGAGGCAAGTCAGAAAAATAGTGACTGAAGTGTTAACAGGCAGAAACAGGAAAGGTTTACTTCATCCGGACAGATGAAGAGTTAATTTGCATTTTGTTTAGTTTGCAAATTGGAAAATCATCTCCACGCACTACCTCCCTCTGCAGCGCCTCATTGGCTGACTGGCTGGAAGACCGTGATCCCACTGGCGGCAAGGAGCTCATCTCCTTTAACGGCATGCGTTCAAACTCGGCCCACTTTTTCTCTATTTCATCCTCCGTACGTAGCCGCTGGTTCGACCCCACGCCGGTGCCCTTCCTGGACAGCACAGCCTCCCACTGGCTACTCGTGTTCCTCTCTTCCTGCCATTGGCTGTGCTCCTTCCCCTGGCCTTCTCCCTCTTGTCTCTCACTGGCCGGGAGAGGGTTGGACGATGCGGGAACAGGAGACAGCTCAACATAGTCAAACCTACGCTGGGTAGGAGGGGCAGAGGTTGGAACATCTGACTGAACGTCGGCATGGCGTGATGATGGGCGACGGGAAGACAGCAGGAAGCGAGAATGGGAGTTTTCCTTGTCACTGTTGCTGTCAGGTAATCTAGAGACGATTAGAGACAATTAAATTATGAATCAGGGCTAACAAAATAAAAATAATTAAGGAGGGAGCTCTTCTTTGTCTATTTGAAAGCCACATAATTGCTACTGTAACCAAAAAAGTAGTAACTGATAAATCACAAATTCATCAAGTTTGATACAAAAAATAAATGAACAGCTTACAAAGCATCAACATAAAGCTGGCAGTGAGTCATTATGAACAAACATTGATAGTCCAAGTAATTAATGAAACTTTAATTCATCTTCAACAGCCAAAGTATACAGCGACTGAAACTCAAAGTTGCAAAGGGGCAAAGTTGCCAGTGCATGTGAGTAACAGAGCCTCTTATCTGACCGTATTTAGCAAAGGCTCAGCTGCGGCGAGACCTGAAAAGAGCAACCGAGGCTGGCAGGCCAATCTCACAATTATATGTGTGCAAAAAAAAAAAAAGCAAGTACTTCAAAAACAACTTGAAGAATGAAGCATAAAACCTCCTTAGGTGCTGCTTTTTAGGGCAGAACGTTGAACGTAAACGTAATAGTGACAAATGCCCCCTCATGAGCTACCAAAGCCAAAGTCATGTTTCAAAATGTCAACATACCTCAGCGGGCTATGTGAGGGGAGCTACTTTGGGTGTATAAAAAATCTCTTAGCTTCTATTTTGGCAGGTTTTTGCAGGTTTTTGCACCCACCTCTAAATTGCTGTGCTTAAACCTGAGTATATTAGTCATTAGGCTGGAGATGTTACAAACTTCTCCCCCACAACAGTTTCACACACACACAGACACTCCTCTTAAGTTGAAAGCAAGCTGTGAAGCAGTGCTGAACGTTGCTAGATTTAATTTGACCTACTTCTGATTTAAATCGCAATATACAAAAAGATAAAGAAAGTGTATCTGCAGATACACAATAAGGAAAAACGTGACTGATATTTTTACCCCTGATTACCCACAGCCACTAGAGTTGCTTATATTTATATTGAAGCTTGTATATTAAACAATAAACTGTCAATTACTGCGTGAGGTCTGGAGAGCTGCTGGGCCGGACACTCTTCTTCAAAACCTCTATCCAGTTCCGCCTGATTCCAGCCGTCATGGCGGACAGTGTGAACGCGGCCTCCCGTGTCTGGAGACCAAAAGGGGGAGAAAACAGGTTATGGAGGAAAAAGTGACAGACCGGGGAACAGATGGACGTGATACAGGAAAACTGAAAGAGAGAGATACAGAGAGAAAGGAGGAAGAGATACTGAGAGAGATGTGAGTCATGATAACAGAATGACAAAGACAAAAAAAAAAAAAAAAGCTGCAGAAATTGAGAGCGGGTGTGGTATATGGTCGTACACACAGTCTGTGAGAGAGACTGACCCGTAACAGAGACACTAACCTGTATCTGAAACCCATAGTTCTTCTCCACATCGAACTCGGACACCTTCACACAGGATTTTAGGTCAATCTCCCCGTCCAAGTCATCTTTCTGCAGACAAGAAGACTATCAGAAACTACACAGAAACACTCCACATTTCTATTGTCATAACTAATACATGTTTTTTTAATGACTACTATTATTAGGATTGTTACAAAGTTTTAAAAATTTAAAAATATACCTCCTCTGCACTTGAGTCCCTGTAGTACTTCAGTCCAGCATCAGTCAAAACAAACCAATGCTTCTTCCACTAAAGAAACACAGCAGAAATCAGTAATCAGTAATTAATACGAGACAGAAGTCAGATCAGCAACTCTTGACAGCACGTGGTGACATAAACAATATGTGGCATGCTAACACCAAGTAAAGCACTGTTACTACTTGATTTCCAGAGTACGTTGGTCTCCACAGACACACCAGTGACACAGGAAGGCCCCATATCAAACAGCAGCCCTACAGTACGTGATGTGTGAGGTGAGAAGCTCATTCACTCAAGCATATAATTCGAAGAGAGGAGACACCTGTTGTGCCTCAAGCCACAAAGCTATTACTGTGATAACAAGGATAATCTGCCGCTATCGCCTTACACGCAGCCTTTCTCATTAGGGATGGAGGGAAGAGGGTAGTGGAGATGGAGGGAGAAGAAGATATCACGTCTGAGCAGGAGCATGCCATTCTCCTTCGCTGTACCTTACCTCTCCACTGGCGTCCAGTTTGGACATCCATCCCTTCTTGAAGTTCAGGAGGTCAGGCTGTGAGGAAAAGAGTGCACATTGTCACGTTCACGGAGCTTCATCTGAATGACAGAAATAGGGCTGCAAACTAATGATAATTTTCATTATTGATAAATCTGTCAATCATTTACATAATTAATTGATTAGCTGTTTGGTCCATAAAATGTCAGAAATGGATATTCAAGTTGAATGGTTTATTTTAAGTTATTAATATATCTTTTTTTACTCTTCACTAATCCGTATATACATATATTGTACACTTCCTTTGGCAATGTAAACATCTTTTCCTATACCAATAAAGCCCATTTGAATGGAACTGGATTAAATTAAATAAAAAATGGTGATCACTGTGTTGTTTTGTCCACAACCCAAAGATATTAAATTTACTGTCATTGAGGCCTGAAAAAAAAAAAAAGAAATCCAAAAATAAAAATATTAAAAATCAGAAAATTTGGGATTTCAAAAAAATATATATACTCAAAACAGCTCATCGATTATCTAAATAGTAATAGTGATTCATTTTATAGTTGATGACTAATCAATTAATCAACAAATCGTTGCCGTCTGTGTAATTCAAGGCCATTTATTTGTACAATGCTTCATCACAAGCAAGTCTCAAATGGATCGTACAGATGAAAAAGAACCCATGAAAGTAAAGGTGAACAGGAAAAAAGTGACTAGATGCAATGAATTACAAAACAACAGGACAAAGAGCACTACAAAACCTCTCAAAGGGTGGGGCATACTCAATATAATTATATCTCCATATACAAGAAATTAGCAGCAACCACGCCACCACAGGTTTATTCTATCATTGTACATGCAGACAACAGATCCAATGCTTCTGCCACAAAGCACATAAACCAGTTTCTATTGTGGAGAAACTTGCTTTTCTTAAAATGCACATTGAAACTGGTAAAGACAGATCTGGAACCAGTAAATGTGTATTGTATGTATAATGTATATTATACTTTATTATGTATACATTTTTCACTAAACTATGTACTGCTTTAGTACAGTTTATCACTTGATATTGAACATGAGGATAACATTGTATTATATTAATATACATGTGTATATATGTGTGTGTGTGTGTGTGTGTGTGTACATCTCATTAACATAATGTTTACATGGCAGGGTGCTGCTCGAGTGCACTGCACCGTAGCAAATCATTGTTGTGAGTGCAATGAAAGACACATATGATGTGTGAAACAGGACAGGAAGTATATCTGTTAAAGACGAAGACACAAAATATCTGAAGACAACAAAGAGACAGACAGAAAGAAAGATTAGGAACCAGAGCAGCACATGCTTTGCGATGTGGAAAATAAGTATCTACAGTAACTTTTCTGCTCACGACCCAGCACTGTAGCACACTATGAAATACTTTGCATATCTCTTGCTCCAGCTGCGTGGTAGCAGAGGATACATTAGTATTAGTGTGCTTTCGCTACTCTGTAATACTTCCAGGAACAAGCCTGCATTTGCTTTTGACACTATGACAGACAGAGGAAAACATGCACTTGGTACCTCAAGAAGTGGTGATCCCAGATTAAGATTAGGAAACTTTTCCCCCCGTACATTCCTCATTTTTCTTATCTCGCTCTCAATAGCATGTACATTCCTCACTTTTAAATCTCTTTTTGCATTCGTCATCTCATCTCCCACTGGCGTCTCACTCCTATCTCCAACTTTTTTTCTCTCTCTCTCTCTCTATGCAGCTACTGTTTGTTCATTTTATTCCCGTGCTACATCATTTTCTCCTGCTCCCTCTCAGTTTGTACTCTATTATAATTTCTCTGCCCGTTCTGTCATCTCTAACCACCCCTTTTCTGTATTTATACTCCCTTCCTGGCTTCAGTTATGTTCTTGTAAGCCACAGTACACCACCCAGTTTTTCTCTGTATAAGCCAGTTCATCTATGCTACTGATCTTCTTTAATCTAACACATTTTAAGGTCTGGTGACTGCCAATAGACCGTGTAAAGGGACTAATGTTGTTAGCAACGCCACGTTAAGAAGATATCAGTGGATTATTAAATGAATTTCATTTTATCATCAATAAATGATGAGGCAAAGTTTAAAAAACCTAGGACATTTTAATTATTTTTTGAGATCCACACACAGACACACACACAGACACAAACCATAATCACAACTAATTGCTGGATCATCAGGTGGCGGCTATAACACGATAGAAAACTTGTTTCAGAGGCGGACAGCTGCATCTTATAACATGAAAGAGATTTAAAGGATTAATAACTAGTGACTCTTTCATTCTGACCGTTTTTCCTCTTCCTCATCTCAAACTGTGTGAGCGCGTACGTATGAGGGTGGACTATTGGAGCCAGCTACGATGTGTCAAACCTCATCATAAATTAATGCTGTCTAGTCCATACATGCCCATGAGCGGGGTCAGGGAGCGGCCACAGCAGGGCACAGAAAAAAAGGGCAGCATCTGTTATGAAATAACCCTTACGCCACAGTGCTTCTCCTTGTCATGTGCCCCGAGATCAGTGACCCTGCTCGAAAAGGCCAGAGACAGAAGGAAGAGGGTCAAACAGTGGCGACAGTTTGAGACAATGTCCACTCTTACTGACTCCTGACTCCCATCACTGTAGAGGAGCACTGTCTGGTGTCCTTCAGGCCTATTACAGCATGTACTCTTCACTTGTTCTCAAGCAGTAATGATACAAGCACACACTGATCACTGCAACACTTGCAAATGTGTGTGTGTAAACAGGGAACATCTGTCACAGCTGGCTGTAAAAACCTGACACACACAGCACAAGCTAAAGGCTAATGACACTTCCTGCTACTGTAAACAACACAGGGTAAACAAGATGAAACTCCACAACACCTGGACTCCAACCTGCACTTTTTAGACCTGTCACATGAACCGAAGTCTTAACTGAGCTGGGTACATGGGCGGTGTCATAAAAAATAAAAAACTATATGTCAGTTTTAAGCTAGCAGTAAGTTGGATATCTGCCCACTGAGCGTTAACGTGGACAAATCAAACTGATCAGAGAACAGCCCATTAAAAGCTAGCTATGTACTCTACATGAGCCTTTCTTTAAAATATAAACCCAAGAGAACGGCTAGCTCCTGGGAGTTCATGTAATATGTGAATATATTATATATTTATGTATTTTTATAGTATAAGTATATTCAGGAAGGAGTGACAGACAGGAAAAACAAAAACTGCTCTCAAGGTGCAACTTACCGTCATGACAACAGGATCCGGAGAGGGTTCAAATAAAGACAAAAGAAAAGTACCGTCACCTCAAACAGATAAAACCCTTCCTGCTCTTGAGTTCACAGCTCAGCTTAGCTAAACCTCTGGGGCAGAAACCTTACTTTCTCGCGGGGCAATTACGTTACGCGAAGTAAGATAAACCCCCGCCATTCAAACCCCTGTTAACTCAATCAGTCGGACCGCCAGCGTCCGCGGCACACTCTCTATCCGGGCTTCAGGGGAAAGTACATCCAGCTAAACGCGGACAAAGTGGTGGTATGGAAAAGCAATAAGTTCACAACTTTGTGACAAGTCGCGGGTAGCTAACGACACACTCCTTCCTCGGCTGTCTCTCTCTCTCTCTCTCTCTTTCTCTCTCTGTTTCTCTCTCTGTTTCTCTCTCTCTCTCTCAGCCACTTCCTGGGCGGATCCGCGAAGATCGTTGGAGAAAACAAGCCTGCCCTACCTAACCACACGATGCTGGCTCTGAGAGACAAACCCGGGGTCCGGGGAACTCCAGGGGCTGAGGGGGGTATCCAGTAGGGCCCCCCAGCAACATGGGGGGTAATATATGTACGATTCATTGCACCTATAACTCGTTATCGTAAGGAGAAAACTGGCTCAAACTGAGGTCTCACTCCTCTCCTCGGGACCAAACCTCTCTAAAATCTTGGGTGTGTTGGAGGAGGGGGGGTCCTTGACATGGAAAAGTTTGGTAATCTCCAAACATATAGAACAAATTCACAATTTTCCTGACTAAAAATATTTTGGCCTTTCAAACAAGGTGACACCCCCCCCCCCGTCCCTCCAAAATCCTCTCTTGGTAGCTATTGGTTTCAGTTCAGGAATTTCAACACATGCCCCAGCAGACCACAATTGACAAAGCTCAGTCAGTCTTATGAAATGCCTGTAGGGTGTAGGTGAAGTGTACGGACGCACAACAACCAGCCGTTAAATGAGCATTTCAAATCAGTTGGAGATACTGTAGATATGACAGCAGGTAAGGGTGCCAAGTACATGCAAACTTTACATTGATAGACAGGATGTGTGTGAGTTCTGGCTTTCTGGCTGCCAGCATGTCTGGTCAATATGTAACAGAGAGATACTGTATATTGAAATAGGCTGAACCCGCAATAAACTTGAACCATGTGCTACCAGTTTATTATGTTCACTACAAATATTGGTGATAACGGATAAAACAGCTGTATCTTCACCCTCCATACGGCACAGTGGGAGAGCGGTTGTTTCCACATACACACATACAGTAAGAGTACAAACATTTACTGTAAACAGACTGGTTGAATAACATACCTGCATTTGTTCTGATCTGTTGTGGCTACCTTTCCAAGAACTGCCTTCATCTGCCGTGGGACTGCCAGACCTCTGGAAAGGAACAGCTTGTAGTTATGAAGATAATCAATGTCTGACTGAGCAAACAGAAACCTCTGGAGTTTCACATCCATAGACCTTTTTTCCATATCTGGTGTACAGTATGGGGAAGATGTGGTTAGGTATTAACATATTATGCAGGTGAAAACCACAGAGTACTGGCTGCAGTTCCACTGCAGTGGATTATATTGTGCAAGGGGGAATGCAGCACACATACCACTGTAGGATTTTATTGATCAATTCCCAGCCTCTCTCTCTCTCTCTCTCTCTCTCTCTCTCTCTCTCTCTCTCTCTCTCTCTCTCTCTCTCTCTCTCTCTCTCTCTCTCTCTCTCTCTGCTTTCAAATCATTACCAGTTTTGCTGAATGTTACATTCTCCCAGTAATGTTTCGCTTGATTAAGGTTACTCTGATAAAACATGGACGGCAAAATCAAAAAGCCAGCCTACCTGTAATGAGGTGGAGGAGTGAGCTCGAGATAGATACCCGCTGCCGCCATAGTGCCAGTCTCTCTCGGTGTCCCCTGCATCTTCCCACTCTCTGGAGGGATGCTTGGTCAGGGAGTGGCTGAAACAGCAGAGCATGTTGTCAGCGTGTCTGATTTTGATTTGAGGGCATCCAATCTGATGTTGTGGAAGAAGCAAACCAGTAATACCAAGAAACTACATGTAACTGGCCTATTTCACAATATAACGGTAAAGGTTATATATGTGAGATTTAAAACATTAATATAGCAGCAAGCAACGATTTGCTATGTTAAGTTATAGAGGAGTCATTGTGTCCTGAGCAGAGAACAACATCACTCTCCCTCTGCCTTCGTTGCTATCGCAGCCTCCCTGTGGTTTGTTTACGATGCCGGTCTGCTCCGTGTGCAGCTGGGTAGAGCAAACTTTTATCGTCTGTTAATTAAGGATTTATTTCAACCAAATCAGAGTTAGGGATGGTTGGAAAGGTGGAAAGAATAACAAAGACAGTCGTAGTGAGTTTTATTCTGTTTCTGTCCAATTTGAATGAAGTTATGATGTTACAATGATGTGTGTGGTCAAATTACTGTTTTTGTCTATGGACCCTGGTGGGGAGTGATAGCAAATTACGGCTCCTTTCCTTAATGTTTTCAGACACTGTCAAACACTTTCAGTGGACTTACTTTGATTAATGTTAGCTCATGTCATGGCCACTGTAGCCCTTTTCACAAATATACTGTATTTGCATTTATTTCAACCAAACCAGTGTTGGTGATTCTTGGAAAGACTGTGGAAAGACTAAAAAAACATCCTGTAACAGGTGAGTTTTGTATATATATGACCCTTTAAATAACGTACATAATGTTTAAATATTTTGCCAACACCACTCCTTTCATTCGTTGTGGTGTAATGTGAGTCTGACCTGGCTGGTTTAAAAAGTTCCTGTCTCCGAGATGGCTGCTGGTTCTGAGGCCGCCCCATTTGGCCTGGCCCCTCTCTCTGATGGATCATTTTAACCTTCGGCACGTCGGCTATCATGGCATACTCCTCCCTGTTCCGTCCTGTGGACCCCAGTGATGGTTGGCCCGACTCTGAGGACTCCATGGAGCTCTGGGAGGAGGTGTGTTTTCGCATTTGAATCTGAGGTGAAGGAGAAGGGCTCCGTACACGGTGGGAGGGCCTCTTGTCATTAGGGGATTGGCAGCGCTCCTCATGGCCACGTCTACCAACCCCAGATCTGATGCTGCCTGGGCTCCTGGGTGTTTCCAAGGTGACGAAAGCCGTTCTTCTGCCATTTGTGGTCTGTCTAGAGGGGGAGGCAGCACGTGATAACGAGGAGCTGCGGTGGGAATGAGTCGGTTCCCGCCAGGAGAATGGTGAGCGATTGGAGTCAGTTTTTGAGTCATGGTTAGTGTTTTTTCTCTGAAGGGAATGGCTGGAATCTCCATTAGTGGCATTTCTGAGGATTGAGTAGCCTGGAGGGTCACTGTTGCCTTTTCTAGCGGGAGAGGAGTTGCGGCTGTTGTGATTCTTGCTGGTAAAGGAACTGCTAGTTTCTGTTTTCCGCAGTGAGCGCTGGTCAGGAGCATCATAGCTTTTCCTTGAAGGCAACGTACTGTGGCTATTATGACTTCTGACTGAACTGCTTACTTCAGACTTGCGCAGCAGAGACTGAGATGGAGCTTCATAGCTTCTCCTTGCAGGGGAGGAGTTACGACTTTCACGACTACGGCCATGTAATGAACCACTGGTATCTGTTTTCCTAAGCTGATAATGAGTTGGGGTTTCATGGCCTCTCCTTCCAGGAGAGGAACTACGGCTGTCACGGCCTCGACTGCCACTGACAGTGTTTGATTCAGTCTTACGTAGTACGGCTTGGCTTGTGTCATAACTTCGTCTGGATGGAGACACGGTGGGGCTTTCGTGTTCTTGATCATTCAGTTCATTCCTAGCTGTTGGGTTACGTAGCAGAGCCTGGCTTTCAATATCATAGCCTTCTCTTATGGGGGAGCCACAGCGTCCATGGTGACTACGTCCGCTTAGAGACATTATTGATTCAGATTTACGGAGGATAGATTGGCTAGACGAGCTGTAATTTCTCCTTGGCGGTGAGGAACTGGGACTGTCCCGCAGGCTCGAAGTTCTCCTAGATGGAGACGAAGTACGACTGTCGTTTCCACGTCCAGTATATGAACTGCTGGTGATTTCAGTTTTGCGAAGAGACATTTGGCCTGAAGGGTTGTTGTCCCTCCTTGAGGGAGATGAGCCTCTGCTGTCACGACCCCGACCACTCAAAGACCCACTTACTTCTGTTTTTCTCAAGGCACTCCTAAAATCAGACACAGTGCTGGACTGAGATTTTCCTGAAACAGCAAAGGATTTAAAGTTTCTTGGCAGAGTTCCTGACTCAACACGTCGTCCGTGAGTGCTTTGCGAGGAGTTTCTGGACCCTGGCTCTGTCCCTCGAGACCACCCTCCTCCATCAACAGTAGGCCTGCTGAGGGAAGCAGTGGACTCACTGCGTCTGAATGGTAAGTTTCCACGTGAGGGAGAAGAAGAGCGAGATTGCAGAGCTGAACCTTGCCTTGAGGAATCAAAACGTCCTGACTGTTGATAGGAAGAGACCGGAGAAGAAGGGTTTCCCCGGCCATATGAACTGCTGAAACCTTTTCGCCGAGTGGAGGCTAGCGACTCCGCTATCTTAAAAGGAGTAGGACTCGGAGAGCGGGGGCCAACTTGCGCTTCAACCTCAACGGCAATTTCATAAGGGTCAGGAGGCAGGACTTCCACTGGCAGGTCCTCATTTAGAGCCTCCAGTATCTGCCGTTCAGAGGCCACACCAAGGTTAGGATTTCTGAAGGGGACGGTGTCTTTGGGCTCAATGTTTCTACTGTTGAAGATGGGACGTCCTCTCTCAAAATGGCGGTAAGGAGCCGGCGGGCTGTTATCATGGAGTAGACGGGCACCCGCTGCCCTCCCCAGGGAGAAGTAGCCACTTTCACGCTTCTCTCTGTCTTCTTTTAACCCTGGAAGAAAAGGGAAGTCACAGTGGGACAAAAGTAGAAAGAAGGAGGGGGAAACAGAAATAAGACACATCAAACGCATCAAAGTTCAACTACTGAGCAACTACCAGAGGTTTCCTGACACAAATTGAGCTATATTGTATTACTGATAATTGCTCTTGGACACCTCAGCTGGTGACATCAAACAGTATTACCAAGTAAAGAACACCTTTGGCTGTAACTGGATATGGATTGGTCAAGTGCAGTAAGTCATAGGTTTACTGAAGGCTCGGTCTACCACTGCACTGAACTCATACTTATGACAACATGTGTTTAAATAAGAGATCAGGTGATACTGTTTCTCCTTCGGCTTACTATGCTTCTAGTAAATTGTGCATCTTTTCTAACTCCTTCCTATGCATCCTATCTTTCACGTACCCGATCGACTGCTGAAGCTGTCTCTGCTCCGAGCTTCCTCCATCCAGGCCCGAGGGTTGGGCCGATGGGGTGGAGGGTCAAGCCGGGTCATGTCGAGTGTGGTTGAACGCCGACGGATTGGCAGGTATTCGTCCTCTGCACTGACAGAGCCGCTGAACTCTTGGTAGTCACTCTGGTCACGACAGCTACGTGGAAGGGGAGATGGGAGAAGAATGACGAGAGTAGAGATGGAAAGGTGAGAGATTGGGGGTGTGGAGGGCAAGGAAAGAGGGGAGAAACGTAAGAGGCAAAAGATGGATCAAATCAATATAATGTGAACTTCATAGAGTAACTATGCAAGTGCATCACACAACATGGACGTTTTAGGTCAGAAAACATGATGAGCAGACTGAAAATATACACACTACAGTACTTCTTGGCAGTGTTTTTAAAGGACTATGCAGTAATGTGGTGATAATCTAGCTCACTAAAACACAAAAAATACTCATTACAGTCTACAACTCCACTTCCTAGCTCCCCTAAATGACTTATTACCACTGTCCAGTATGCCTACCTGTCAGTGCTGTCGTCGTCGTCGCCGTCACAGATGTAAAGCTCACAGTCCGGGCTTAGGATGCACAAAGAGCTCTCCTGATAACCAAGTCGGCCTCCATTGACATCACAGTAGCTGCTCACCACAGACAGACCGTCAGAATCCTCCTGATAGGATGACAAGGTAAGTCACGAGCCAATCACATCGTCGCAGCAAACTCCATCGCTCTCCAAGTCACAGAGGAAGAGGCACTGGTGACTGTATCTCCACACAAAGGCAATGCTTACCAAAATGTCAGTATGAAACCTATGATAAATCACAGCTTTTTTAGAGTTTAGGTTCAAATATACAGTGACCTCACACCAGAGTGAGAACGAACATACATAAAAATCCTAGATCTGTCTGCCTGGATCCATCTCCACGAGCAGAGGGTGAGCTGAATAGCGTCTGTCCCCTCCGTCCTCCCTGACACACACACACACATGGTTTGTCTGCTGTTCGATTAGGGTTACACCTCTGTAACTCGACCTGGCTTGTGGCTTTTCCTCATTAATATTTCATCACTTTTTTTCTTGCCACTTCTCTTGAAATAGATTATCTCAAAAAGAATCTGAAACTGTCTGTAAATGTCAGAAAGTGGCACAGATCCCTTCAACTTCCAGAAAACTACAGGTAAACTATTTCCAAGGAACTATACAGTAGTACACTGCACACTGAAACGTATACTATGTACTGCAACAAATCACTGACACAAAAGCGGTTATGTCATGGAAGCAGGATAAACAGAAAACAGTAGAGTTGTCAGAGTTTTAATACTGTACAGGCTCATTCCCGTCGTTTCTGTACGTTACCCCTCTGTCTACTATTACAAGTGATTCCCAAGAGGGCAGTAAGTGATCCAGCTTCATTAATTTATAATAGGAGCCACTGCTTGAAGCGTGCTCCTCGTTGTTGCCTGTCGTTCTCTGACCTTTTCTTAATTTACTCACAAGCAACAAAGACACATACATCATCTCATGAACTGTTTACAAATTGACTGTGAAATTAAAAGAAACATTATCTCTCACTCACAGAAACAGACTTTTGGATCAAGTGAGAAGTTCTTTTGTCTAAGAAAAGACCTCCTTAAATAGACTCTTTTCTATTCTAAATATCATGACATTTTGTGCATAATTTCTGATCTGCGAGACATTTAAAGTTGAGGCACTTAATAGAGTCGTTCCTCATTCTGTTTCCTTTGACCTCAGCTCTAGCCGCAGTGTCTTGCTGACTTAACCTGTGACTTCTAATGCGCTCACCTTCCTGCCTAGCCTTCAGGTCTAGCTAATCCCATCACTCAGCACATATTCTGTTCTTGTTCCCATCTCTACCCCTTTTACCCAGCTGCTCTGCTCATCTCCCTCCCCCTTCCTCTCTGGCCCTCTCTCCTTTCTTACCTTGCTGCTGGTATCTCTTTCCTCTGCCTGGGATGGGATCGGTGTTAGCAGCCCTCCTTTGCCGGATCCAATCCCAGTGTCAGTCCCAGTTTTAGTCCCAATTCCAGTCTCTGCTGTGGATTTCTGCTGTGGTGCTGCCTCGGCGCTTGCCCCTGCGCCAGCATGCAGGTGCCTCTGGCGCAGGCAGTCGTGGCAGCGGGAGGGGTCAAAGATGTTGGGCTGGAACTTGGGGCAGATGGGCTCATCGCCGGAGAGGGGCATGGTGAGTCTGGAAGGGTAACCTGCACAATCATCGCATCCCACAGAGAAAACTGGGAAACAAGACGGTGACAAGGAGCAGTATCACAATGAAATATAAAACAGTAATCACACAAACAACCCTTTGACCCAATTAACCATTAGACGTGTGTTAAATGTTGCTGCAGAGACATGTTCAATTCATTATTTTCTTAAACTTGCAAAGCATCTTGCACAAGTGTGGGCTAAAATGAGAAAAAGTAAGATTATTACAGTTTTCTTGAGAATAAAAAAGCCCAATGTGCTGTTGAGTCTGGCTGTGACACTGCATTACTGGACACAGGTGTACTCACAGAGCAGCGGCTCAGAATGAATAGGTAAGAGGATCTTTTATTTCATGGTTCATGCAAGATCTAAAGCGGAACTGTTAAGGTAGGTGATAACTAATCACACCAGAGGACAGTGAAACACAACCCAGTCAGAGCACTTTAAAGCTCCCCACCGAGTAACATTACCACCAACCACAAGGCTCATGCACTGTCATCTAACAGCTTTTACAAGCACCACAGCCTCTAGTAATGAATGAACCCATACCAAAAAGTAGGATAATTAAAATATTGGAAAATATTTAGTAATGGCTTTGATATATAAATGAAGAGAATTTATGGGCAATACCTGACAAGAGAGGCTCCGGTTGTCAGCTCCACTTTGAATATGTCATTAGGAGTCCGAAGATAAACTGCCCACCAGACCCCCATCAAGCACATGCCTCCTCTTCCCCATGCTCTCTATCCTCCCGAGCTGCCAAGCTCTCACATCAATCCGATTGGCTGTTCTGACAATGAGTGAAACTGAAGCATCCATGACAGCCATGATGGCTCTCGATTAACACAGCGACAGACCCTGAAGCACACAGACCTAGAGCCAACATGGAGCCAGTGGCCTGCCGGTTCCCCTATTGAGCGGTTGTATTAAATATCATGGGCTTTAGAAAGCGAAATGAAACGCTCATGCTACTGACAGCTGGCACACGCTGGCTCAGGTTAACGTAAATAAATAAACACTGGTGAGGTGGGGGTTTGACATACATTAAAACCATTGGTTGTGTGGTATATGGTTCTCAAACAAGGAATAAGGTTATGTAAGAGACAGTGGCTGGTTCTCCTTTAGATCACACACACAGGTAGTACTGAGCTAGGAGGAAACACAGAGCTAAGGGTTGATTTCCTGATGCTCTGGAGAGGATGTTGACAACAGCGTCAGGTTTCCTATTATACAATGGCAAGAAAAAAGATCCACACAAAGCACACTGACAGCGGCTGCATCACGAGGTCACCAGCAAGATGAATCTTTTATTTAATGAAAATGTAGGTAAATACAGCACAGCCTGTACATGTTTTTAAGAAATAACACTACAAAAAAAAAAAAACAGTTCTGCTTTGAAAGTTGTCCAAATCTGAACACAGGATTTCGAGAGGCAGGTGCTGTGGAAACACTGAGCGATGTCACGACTGACAGCCCAACACGGTTCCGACACTTAAGCATCCATGTCGGCTTGTGTTTATTTGACAAACTTCTCAGCATACACACGTCCTGCTGAAACACAGGAGCAAATACCCCAAAGTCCAATCTGTTTGCCTGTGGGACTCAAGAAGACACAAGAAGTCAAGTATCTTCCCCATTCACTAACTTTATTTCCACACAGCCTCTCAGTCCTGACAATGCACCCTTTTCCCGGTCTTTCGACGTCTCTGATACTTGCTGGTCCTCCCGGCTCTGTTTTTACCCTCTGTGCCACCAAGTCTCTTGTCTGTCGTGCGGCCTCGTCCTCCTCGGCCTTCCTGCTTCCCTTTCCTCTTCCGCTTGCTGGTGTAAGTGCTGAGTGACGAAGTCAGGGAGCGGATCCTGTAGCAGCAGGGGAGAGGGAAAAAAAAAAGAAATGTGGCTGGAGTGAGAGGGGCTGGAAGATGACAGGCAGACACGCTGAAGGAACATCTGAAGACAGCAGTTATGTCGCCACTGTACTGTTGGCGTGTGTAGCACATTTACCACCACTTCATCAACCATGTAGCCTCTAAAAAGGTCGAAAATATTGACACGTTAATGTCTGATCCCAAAGTGGAGAGAGTAGAGACCTGCTTGATGAACAGCTTACTTTTTGTTCATGATTGGATTTCCGGCTTTTCTTGGCATTGCAATCGTTTTCTCCTTCTCTTCCTCCCCCTTTTCTTCCTCCTTGCCCTCCCCATTGACCTTGAAAGTAAAAGATTATCAGCGTTAGTGAACTTTTCTTGCCATCAGTATCATTCATCCTCAATAACTGGAGTATCATCCAGATGACGAGAAGATGAACCGTTTACCGGATTTGCTGCAGGTTCAAGCAGGTGAGCCCCTGTGAGGTCAAGATCACTGATGGTTGTCACGGTGACGGTGTGGTTGGGGTGATCGAACTGCACAGACTTCGTTGTGCTGGTTATCATTTCTTCCAGGTCATCTTCAGCAGCCTCTGAGAGACGGGATCAAACGAGGACAAAAAACAATCAGCACAGACTCTAAAGTGTAAAATCATCCGTTCAGTGAGCAGCAGCAGACGTTTCACTCACCAAGAGCTTCGTTCCTCTCCTTCAGCATCTTTAAGTATTCCTTGTGCCTCTGAAAGCAGACAACCAGACACATGAGGATGTGCTCGCACACTTTAAGTTGGGTCAACGCAAAACAGATCTTTTACTTTACACTTACTTCTTCTCTGACTCTGATCTGTTCGTCCTTGATTTTCTTCCGAATTTCCGCCACTGCTGCTTTCCTCCTTTCCACCTTCCGCTTATGGAAACCAGTTAAATAGTCCCTGACAGGGCAGAAGAGGAGGACACTTCAGTCTCTGCAGGTTGGCTCGGTACTTACAGTTCAAATGAACATCTGGGCCAGTTACTCAAATAAAAACACATCCATCAACAGCCTAACCCTAACAGTGACAGTAACAGTGACATGGCTTAGAACAACATTACAGAGCATACACATAACACATATTGTGGATACCGTTAAAACACTGTAATAATATAACATACATATATTTAGGAGAAGGCTAATGCTAGCTGTTGGCTACCAGCTGTGACTTACTGTCTGTCTTTGTCGTCAAACATCACGATGCATTTGTTTTCTCTTTTCTTCGAGCCTGGCTTGAATTTAGCATTTTTGGACACGTTGTTGTGCTTTTTTGTGTTTTTCATGTTTTTCATGTTGTGCACGTGAGTTTACGCTACACCACTACTTCCGGCTTCTTCTCCAAGGTGGACGTCGCTTAACTTTGTCCGACTAGAAACAGGTTGATAAAAGCCTGAGAGGTTCCGCACACCCGAAACATTTAGGACAAGTTCAACATGTTGGATTTTTTGTTTTTTTCTTACAGATGTTCGGACTGTATAGTGAGTGTAATCCCCTAAAATAAAACCCCTTGTTTTAACAGGTGCTAATGGTTTTATTACAGCACGATCCAGATATTGTGTTGAACCGCAACACCGCTTATTGACATGTTAAGGAATGAAATATAAGCCCCATGTGAGTGTGTATTTTTAATCATCATGATTCACCCTTTATTTATGTATTTGATATTTTATGATTAGGTGCTTCTTGCTCTGTCCTGACTCCTCTGACACCTTTGTGGTGATCAGCTGATCTCCACTCCCTCCAGTGGCAGGGACTCGTTATGTATCCAGGCGTTTCACCTCTCTGTGAATTACTGGGAGTGTTTCAGTGTTCATCACTGGGCCACACAGTGAGTGTGTGAAAGAGGAAACCAATAAACTTCACACAGCCATCTTCATCAGATTTACGCTGACATTCACACTCAGCCAACACCCACGACATCAAACACAAGCTGTGGTGTTCTCAGCGCTTGTTATTGCTACTTATCCACATCCACAACCAGTATGATACTAAAGGGTGCCACTGAAAGATCACACACACCAACCACTGTCATGTGTTGTTGTTTTATTATAAAAACAAACATCAAAATGAACAAAGAAATTCAGACAATAGAGCACATCAAGGGGAAAGACAAAAAAAAAACAATTGTAACATAATTCTAATGATAGCAGAAACTCCAGCCTGCTGGCGGCTGGTTGAGCTTCGCTTTCTTCTCTGCACTCTTTCACCAGTCAGGAAAAATAATCTAAGCTGATCAAAGTATTTTCAGGACTCTTAAAGTTGCTAACTTACACCTTGGGTTGACCTGGAAGACAGTTCCTAATAACATACTCGCTTGTATTTTAAAAACAGCAGAGGAGTTACAGCGTGTATCAAATAAAGAGTGATTCTAAAATATCAGGCTAATTGTTTAAATGCAGGCCTTACTTCTTCAATAAAATATGCATCTTCCAATTAGGGATCCTATCGGCGACAGTTCGTGACCCTAGGCCGCTTTTATCCATAAAAAACAATAACAATGACATAACTGAAAAACTGCTCCCTTCCCCCCCCGAAAAAAGCATTTATATTAATATTACATTACATAACCATTAAATAAGATCATCAGAGCACAGAAACAGGAATGACAGAAGTGCCGTATCATTGATGAATCAACAATTACAAATAAAAAGCGAACTGGACAAAGATTTCACAAAGATACAACTCCTCCATCATTCCAAATATGATGAAACATAATAAAATAATTATTTTTTTTTACATAACATCAAGGCCATTTTGCTTGAGAGCTCTACATCATATGTGGACACATCCCCTCCAAGACCACTCCTCACTTTCATAAGACTATTTTCACTCAGATATACTGTACCTTAAAGTGACATGCCACCCAACATCTGTTGAGTACAGCAGACAGCAGATACTGTTATGGACGTTCTTTCCTGCTGTGTAAACCATGATGAATTCAAACTGACCACAGCCGCTGTTCTCCATCAGTTGTTTAAAGCCACAGCAGGTGAGTGTTTGATGATGACTTTTGGTGGACTATCATTTTAAGGGCCAGGCGACTGACCTTGGTCAGATCCAGACTCTGACAGAAAACCTTTCCTAGTCAGCTCTAACATGTGACAGTGCTTTCTTTGATGCGTGTCTCCTCTTGAGCAGTGGGTAAGGACTTCCTGTTTAATGTACTTCTGTTAATCTGCCTATGTACAACCTATGTACAATCACATTGTGAGTCTGTATGCAATTACTTTAATATGTAAAATGTATATGCATCTGTCTGTGTGTTTAGAAAGGCATTTTCAAACTTAATGGCCCATGATTGGCTGCTTCCCTCTGTTATTTAGACATTCCCCAAATCCAATCATTTTCCCCTGTTTCTTGTGAGCAGGTCAGCAGTAGTTGTCTATCATTCTTGCAATTTCTGCAACAGCAAGTCAAATTGCTAACTAAAGTGCTGTACTGCTGCATCCTAAAGTCTAAATACAGCTGCTCAGCAAGGTTTCATTAGAATGATGCTGCACTGGATTGAAGCATCACTTTAAATAGTCACTTAATTCAGGATAACTGACTTGGTGCTTAAGTATTCTATTTTGCTCCACAGTACAATGCTGCCATTGTACTGCGTATGAGGTAGATAAGAAGAGACACTACTCAGCACTGTATGGTGAAAAGCAAGCTAGTCTGTCTGTCTGCATCCTACAGCACAGCCATGTTTAACAGACTGTGGCTGTCTACTCTTGAATACTCCGAAGCCCTTAATTGAAGCTTGCAATTTCAATGAGACATTACACAGTTATTGTAGCACTCTGCTGCCGTGTGCCAATAATGATTGTACAGCTCGGTATACTACAGCTAATCAATGCACTGCTGCATTGCATTCATTTAAACAGTTATTAGATAATGGTCCCTTTTCCCTTTGGGGCCTATTAAACCTGATTTTCTTGTTGTTGTGTAGCATTGTTTAAAATGAGGCTGTTTGCCAGCAGGGTACCATTAATGTCCAGAAGGTGGCATGATTGTGCTGCAACAATGAAACTAAGCATCAATGGAGGAAATGTGCAGCAGCTGCGGTGTGGATATAGGGCTTAGAGTTAGATGTAGCTGTGGCAGTAAAAATCAGCTGTGTGTGTGTGTGTGTGTGTGTGTGTGTGTGTGTGTGTGTGTGGAGGGAGAGAGAAAAGCCTGGCAGTTTGAAGAAAAGTCTTGGCCCTGGATCAGTGTGAGGGTGTGAATGAGTGACAGAATTCCTTGTTGTTGGTGGGTTGAGTAGCCTGGTTTACATCTTTCTATGTATGATAGCATTGTTGCTGTACTGTACTCTGAGTAGCCCTAGTGTGTGTGTGTGTGTGTGTGTGTGTGTGTGTGTGTGTGTGTGTGTGTGTGTGTGTGTGTGTGTGTGTGTGTGCGCGCGCGTCTTCAGGAGGCAGCGATGGTCGTGCCCCCGCTGAGGCGCAGCAGGATCTGTTGACAGTCCTGCAGGGACCGACGGTCTCCCACTCGCTCCAGGGTGCGCTTGGCCTCGGCCAGCAGGCGGGCACGGTGCCCGGGCGGGGTTAGTAGAGGCATGGGCAGGTGGCGGCAGGCCAGCAGGATTGCATGAGCCCTCTCTCGCTCACCCAGGACACACTCACCTTCTGACAGCAGGGGGGAAAGAAGAAGAAATGTGCCGATTAGAATCCATGGCCTGCTGGTGTGTGTGTGTGTCTGTGTGTGTGTGTGAGTGTAAGAATACAGGGTCATGTTGCCCTCTAAGACTGTTTCAAGTAAGTTTTTGAATAGTTAAGTTTAAGAACAACCACCGGGGAACTGGTCCTGAGCCAGCAGTCAAGGTGACCTCCTTGTGTGTGTGTGTGTGTGATGTCTGTGTGTGTGTGTGTGTGTGTGTGTGTGTGTGTGTGTGTGTGTGTGTGTGTGTGTGTGTGTGTGTGTGTGTGTGTGTGTGAGATGTCTGTGCTTAAATCAACGTGTAAAGATGAGTTAATTACCGGCTGTGTAGGAGCTGTGCGTCCTGCGTCGGAGGTTGTGCTCCAGCAGCTGGTGTGTCCTTGTGGGACTGGCTCCAGCCATCAGCCTCACTGTGGTCTCATGAAGAAACACCTGCAGGAAGAAAACACACATCAGAGCCACGATTATTGTCACCGTCAAGTATTTCCAGGTGTTTGTCTGAGTGTTGGAGCAGAAAAGCACTGATCCCCTCACATCATTTCTGTACTACTGGGGGATATATACAAGAAATATTCTATCTTTCATGCAATGTGGCACACAGCATCTTGAGTGAATAATCCTCCATTACCGTCTCGCAACAGAACCTCATAAAATAATGCAGTTCATGGGGTTCTTAGAGTCTCGCACAAGTCAAATCATAACAAATGATCAACGACCGCTGTGAAAACAGTAGCTGTTGAAGACCCCCTGGCAACAGTAATGACTACTACAGTAATTCTTATGAGTATGATTGATGATACGTTAAACTGCGGTGAGATTTCTGCAGCTGCTTAGAGTGGGAGAGAACCCGATTTCCAAGGCTGATACAGTAAATGTGGTATTATCGTGAACAAGATTAGCAGGTTCCAGACGATTTACAGGCTTGCAGGCTGGCTCAGAGTTTTTTATTAACACAAGAAAAACAAAAGCTATGACATGCTCGCAACATATTGAGGTTGTTATGAGTGTTATACCATTATAAAAGGGATTATTTGTTCTTTCTTTTGAGAAAGCCAGACAATGAAGGCTAACTTTATGCCACCCATTTGGGCTTTAACAACTTGTTATTGGAATTTCTCAATATTTGTAAGATTTTAAGAGCTGAATTAGCAATAAATGAATATGAATCTACTCATTAATTTTGCCGAGTTGCCCGTCACAGGAAATACAGTACGGTCAAGATCAGACTGATGAATCCCTGGCACTCATTTATAAGTGACATTATGTGGTCACAACAGAATGTAGGGTAAAATAAAGCATCATGCATTTGCAAATTTACAAACATTACTTGACCTAAGTTTGTCAGTACCTGCTACAAGATTTTCCACCTATGAAGCTCTTCAAAATGTCCCAGACACTTCAGGAAAACAACCAGAACGTAGGTTTCAATGTTGTTGCTCCATCTAACCCTACCTGTTTCCTGTGACTTTTGACTTTAAAATGATCTCACTTTGTCTAGTTGTGGATGTACCTTGTGTTGTGCCTGTCTGTAGCACTGTGTGAGCTTTCTGAGCGCGCTGAGGTCCCTCTGGAAACCCGCCAACTGGGATCCAGGTGCCAGGCCAGGTTCCCCATTACTGCTGCCTCCCCGCTGCCATAAACTAGTCCTCAAGGTCAGCAGAAGGTCACAGACCAGGAGCTCCACCCCCTTGGAATAGAAAGTAGACAAAGATCAGATGTGCTGTTTGGTGCATTTACATAAAATGGATTATTTGAAAAGAAAATATATTTAAAGCTTGCAAGTTATTGTAAATGGTTGATTTATATTTTTACAAGATGCATTTTGTAGTATGCCAACCACAAGCCACCATCATTACCAGTGCACCTCAACCACCATGCATGCCAGAAATGAAAAACGACATGATATTCAGTGAAGGTGGAGTGTTGGGGTGTGTAGCGGGTGCGTGCAGATTGGGGAGGCCTCTGTACTGCACTGCAGACACATCGCACTCGGATTCAGGATCATGCAATGCAACTACAATGCACCACAGCCACCTCCTGCCACCCACACTGCGCACACACACACAGCCCCGCGTCAGCCTGCCCTGACCACCACTGAGCATGCAGTGTGTGTGTGTGTCTGTGTGTATGTATGATATAACCCTGAATGCATTAACTGGCTCTGTGTGTGTGTGTGTGTGTGTGTGTGTGTGTGTGCAAGACAGCAGACAAGATTACGTACGAATTACAAACCTAGAGCAGATCTTAAGGACAAAATGATGCCGGCGTTTGGAGTGCTGTGTACACTACCTTGTTCAGCCAGTTCCCAGACTGGGCGAGGGGCACCGAGATGCTGGAGCGCAGGTAGCTGCTGGCTCTGTCGCAGTGAGACAGGCAGGCTACCGCCCCCTCTCCCTTCAGAGGGGAAAGACTCATCTGAACTGTCTTGCAAAGCAGCAGCACAGCCTTGGGCAGAGGGTGGCTGAAGCAGAGAGGTGAGAGAGGTACAGAGAGGACAGTTACTGTGGTTTATTTTAAACAGAGATGAATGTGTAATAGTTTTTACTAAAATCTTTCAGTTTAATTTATTTTAAATGTTAAGAATTAACAGCTAGATAGTTTAAAGATGATCCTGTGCAAAGTTATGACTTCCCTGTTGAATTGTTGGAGATTATCTTAAATGTATCAGATTTTTATAGATTAAAAGATTCCTGTAGCGTGAATCTATCTGTCCAACTCGTGTTTTGTCCTATTTATACATACTGAAACAGGTTTTACTTCACTTACTCAAGAGTGTGTAGGGCCCTCGGCATCCGTTCTGCCTCTGCCAACAGTGACCTTACTGCGACATCATCACCCTGCAGCCAATGCACAGCAGCCTTCAGGACCAAAGCCCACCAACGACTCACTGGGTCCCCCACTGGCAGGAAGAAGAGAGCAGAATTTTTTGTAGAAAATAAAAAATAAAAAATAAAAAAACAACAATGAGGACAAACTAGCTCCAGTCTAAGAGCCTTGGTGGACATTTTTGGGGTCTGATGTGACTGGAAAAGCTTTTTCTCGTCAAGCTTTAACTGTCAAATGAGAGACGATGTGATTGTTAAGACACCCGCATTTTTATCTCTGCTCTGTGTCTCCTGCTGTATCAAAAGCTGTGTGTGTGTGTGTGTGTGTGTGATGATATAATGTGCTTTGTGCGCAGCATAGCTCAGTGTGAAAACAAGAATTGATTAAGACTGTAGCTAATTAACATCCCCTAACAGATCATCAATGTGTTTATATCCATTTCAAGTCATTTATTACAACAAATCAATGAAAGTGTTATCTGTGATAATCCAATAAAACGTTAATCCCAAAAGCTAAATTGGTTGTCAGTATACGGCAAACAGAGCAAAGAAAATCCATTCATGTTGACAGTAACGACTCAGATGGCTATCTGGTTAATCTCCACTGAAGAAATAGATTTTAAATCTCTTCCCCACGCAAACATCCAATATGATTCATGCTTTCTTGTGATTGGACAGGGTTGTTCTCTTCATGCTATTCATACCTGGTGTGGTGGTGTGATTGGGAGGAGTTGAGAAGGGAGGAGGAGGGGAGGGAGAGTCCTCTGTACAGCTGTTCAATAACTGGAGAAACTCCAGGGCACTGGAAAATTCTCTGAAGTGGGGCAGACCATATAAAAAGGTTAAAGATCCAGGATAGCTGATTAATGCACATCAAAGTGTCAAAATATTTGCTGGTAGCCCTGCCTCACCCAGAGTCGTTCTTGCGTTTGCCTGATTCAGAGTCGCTCTGTGGCTGAATGAGGGTGTGAACGGCTCTCTCCAAAAGCTTCCTGCAGAAACAGCGGTGAAGCTGTGCAATGGGGTCAGCTGAAGGAGGACCAGGAGGGAACCAGTTAAATCATAGAACACAGCAGACTTTCTCTAATGCCAAGTAAAGAGCACACGTTTCCATTAAGAAATAAGGGAAAGGACGAACAATATACAAAATAATCCATTTGTACATACAGCAAATGGCTATTATATATTATATATATATATATTATATGTCATATAATATACAGTTACAAGTGAGTCCATTTTTAAGCATTTGAATTGCCCTGCACAACCAAACAAGCACAATATTAATTTGAGGTCTATTAAGCTCAACACAATGCAACAGAGATCTTGAGCCAGGCTAAGCTAGGTAGCTTCCCTCTTCCCAGCAACGGTTTCCAGCTCTTCTTGGAAAATCCTGAGGCATTCCCAAGCCAGATGAAATATATAATCTCTCCAGCGTGTTCTAAGTCTACCCCAGGTTCTCATACTAGTGGGACAGGCCTGGAAAACCTCAGAAGAGAGGCATCCTGATCAGATGTCAAACCACCACAACTGGCTCCTTTAGACAACAGCAGTGGCTCTATTTTGAGTTCTCTCTGGACATCTGAGCTCCTTACTCTAAGGCATAGCCAAGACATCCTACAGAGGAAACATATTTTGGCCGCTTGTATGCACAATCTCATTCCTTTCAGTCACTACCCAAAACCCATGAGGGTTGGAAAGTAGATTGACTGGAAAATCGAGAGCTTTGCTCCCTCTTCACCACAGTGGTCCGGTACAATGCCTGCATTACTTCTACTGCTGTACTGATCCACCTGTCAACCTCATGCATCAACTCCATTTAACCCCAAGATACTTGTATTATTATCACTATTAATATTTATTATTTATTCATATACATATATATATTTAAATGCTATATTTCCCTTTAGGTCTCTATGGAAAGTTCATCTTGCAGTATTCCAAGGACTTTTTTAAAAGGAGTTTGTCTTTTTTTGTCACACTTTTTGTGAGATTGAGGGTGATGCTCTTTCAATTTATTTTTCTATTATGTCAGAACTATGAGGCTTCATGATTTTAACCATCAGAAGCATGATGTTATGAGTTTTTTTTGCATTTGACTGTTGGACTGACTGGATGGAAGAACAAAAGAATGAAAGAAGGACAAAGAGTAAAATAGAGTACGGACCAATTCTTGAATGTATGACATACCTGGATCTCTCTGAGAAGTGTACACCCCGTCGGTGCTCTCGGACTTCACCGACCAATCGCAACTCAGAAAGAACTGCCTACCCAGCGGGGTGAAGAGCCAACGCAGGCAGTCAGGGATCGGCCTGGTCTCTGATTGGTTGGCCACACTCTCTGCACAACTCAACAGATAACCCTGGGAGATAAAACACAGAAGAAAAGATGCTGATGGTGGAATCACAACTCATCCAAAGTAAATCAGATATCATTGGAATTAAGTCATTATTTCCTCTCCATATTTGTGTTTCTGTGATGCTTTATGAGACAAAAGTATATAATATTCAAACACAGGATGACGGCAGACAGAGGATGGATGATGTAAGAGTCTCACAGGTAAAAAGGACAGGTGGTGGCCCAGCATGGTGCGCAGGGCTGTTGCTGCAGTGACATAGATCTGGGTGAGCTGGGCGGGGGCCATCTTGCCTTGGGCGCTCTCGCTGAGGTTGACAGCACTCAGAGAAAGAGACAAAGCCCACAGGCTGCTGCGCTGAGGCAGCTTTCCTATATATATAGAGAGAGAACAGACACTGTATCACCGTGTTTAAATCTTCATAGCGTGTCAAAGTGAAAGTAAGGTGCAAAAGTGTTCTGTTGTTATTAATGTGATATTGTTGTGAGTCACTTATGTAACCCTTGTTTTTTTCTTGCCTGTGTACAGCATCAGCTCACTTTGTTCTCAACACTCACCTGTGAGTTGCAGCTGGCTCAGCCGGTGGTAAACCAGTGCTGCGTCCTTCGCACTAGTCCTAGCCTCCTCCCCCTCATGCTTCCCTCCAACCTGGTGAACCAGCCAGCCCAGAGGTGTTGGACGATGCAAGAAGTAGCGAATCACATTCCAGGACAGTGAGCAGACCAGGTCCAGACTGGTTGAGGGAAGAGCTCTGGTCAAGACGGACAGGCAGGTCTCTAAACTGTCCATTGCTGCTGTGTAATCTCCCTGCAGGAGAGAGGAGACAGGGAAAATAGTAAGCTAAGACTGACAGGAAAGATGAGGGGGGGACATGGGATGGAGGTCAGGACTTAGATCTGAAAGCGATTTGAACGAACGCTAAAAATAAACCCAGGCAGGGAACAGGCAGCCTAAACCGGGACATCAAAATGGTGAGAATCAAAGAAAACTGGGTGAAGTGTTCTTCAATAAGTGAGAAAACATCAAATCTAATTCTTAAAGCGCAGCCAAAATTGGAGAAAAGCACCAATATTCACACAGATACATGAAATGTGAGTAGTGTGATAATGTTTTCCTATATTTGGAAATGCTAGCTCACTCTTTGTTGAGATGTTTCCTTAACACACAAAAGGAATACATATAAGCAGCACTGCAAACCGTGTTCTTGGTTCCTCCTCCTCCTCCTCCTCCTCCTCCTCCTCCTCCTCCTCCCAGGACAGATCTGTACTCACCCTTTTGAGATGCAGGTCGGCTTGTTTGCGGTGCCTCCAGAACGATACGGATTTTGGAGAGTGAAGGGGCGTGACGGGCTCCCACAGATAGAGAACTCTGACACAGCCCCACACTGCTCCTACCCCACTCAGCACCCACACCATCACCCATGGCAACAGGCACCGTAGCCAGGATGCTGGAGGATGAGAGGAATTGAAACAAGTGGTAAAGGTCATTACACATTTTTGAATACTTGCATCACAAATTCAATCAGGACTTCTGAACTCTCAAATTGTGTCATGAACCCCGATAAACAGAGGGGTCAGGCCTGCTCACCAAAGTCCTGCGTGTGACTTGGGAACCAGACCAGCGTTCTAGACGGCACATGGCCCCCAGATAGGCTGTGGCTCCCTGAGGCCTCAGAGCCCAGCAAAGATGGCAGCGGGTTTAGGGACAGGCAGAAGAAAGTCAGGGCGCAGAGAAGCAATCGAGAACGATCCATCACTCCAACTGAGGAGGGCGAATCTGGCTCACTCTTCATCTGATGGTAAGAGAGAGGAGAAAGCAGGTTTACAATAATGAACATCTGTAAAATAATTTACAATCATGTCAGCTATTAAACTTGCATCATAAACCTTGTACATAATGTTTTGGCAACACTGTATTAAATGATGGTCAAATAATTATGGTGTAAATTTTAATTTGAAAAAAATCTCTGTTCAAGGTGGAAGAGAAACAGCCTTACGGGATGTGTGTAATCCTGTCATTGCGCGTTTACCTGCTCATGATCCAGTAAGGGGCTGCCCGGCTCAGAGTCCACACAGTAAGGAGAAAACTGGGGAGGGGAACCAGAACCAGAGTCCGAGGCTGGAGGTGACATCATCACTATTTCCTGTTTAAGCTCCACATCTTCAGGCAGGATCACTGGCTCTGAGACAAAGAGAGACAGACACTCAATAAAGTATCCAGTTGCTTCAGATGACGCTCTGCTCAGAACATTCAGTGATGTACAACACTTACTGTTCTTCTGGTTGGCCATCTTAAGGGCCAAGTTCTCCTGTCGTAGTTTGTGGTTGACCTGTTGCAGGTATTTGATGTAGTCAATGGCCTTCCTCAGCACTCCTGACTTATGCATCTGGGAAGAAGGACATGGAGGAAGACGTGAGGATTCAATTTCTGTTAAGCTCATGAGTGAAATCAGTCCTTTTCCCCTTACTTCCTAAACAATTTATTTGATTAAAAAGGTCAAAGTCAAAACCACTAACCTTTGCGTCATTGCCCATGACCAGGTCTCTGAGCTCTATGATCTTGTCGTTGATGGAGGACCGGTACCTCTTCTCGATGATGTTGTGGGTCGTCCTCCTCTCGCCCTCCTTCACCACTCCTCCCGGCCCTACTCCACCTCCCATCATCTGGCTGTGGTCCATGTTTGATCTGACGCCATTTGTGCAGTGGGAGGAGCCCGGCTGGAGCTGCTTGATTGGCAGCTTGTCTCCTCCTCCCATCATAACAGGGACGGTGGTCAGGATGTTGCTGCTCATCAACGTCTGGGGACAGAAGTCAGTAGCAGTACATTAGTTTTGCCTAGTTTTCCTTTTTTAGGGACCAAGATTGTAAACCAAATAGTAATGCAAAATCTTTTATGCAAGTAGTGTACCGGGACTTGCAGAGCTGTGTTCTGGATGGGCGTTGTCAGGGTGGTGATCCCCGTAGGGCTCTGCATGGTAGACAGCACCTGTGTGCCGTCTGATTTGAGCGTCGTCAGAACCAGTGAATCTGTCTTCAGAATCTGAGGCTGCTGGACCAGAAGCTGATGGAAAGACGTCCAAAGGTCAATGAGTGTTTTTTTTTTTTTTTTTTTACAAGCAGTTTAAAAGATCAGAGCTTTGGTACTCAGATCTGATGGGCCTCTCCTCATCTTTGCAACTACAACAAACTTAGGGAAACAAAAGAAGAGCTATTTTTTGCAGTAAGGTCGTTTATGTGTATTTAAATATTCATCTTTTATTATCAGATATCAGCTAAACAACAGTGAGCTTACTTACAGGTACTTGCTGCATCTGCTGTTGCATTGTGTGGACTGTGGTGGGCGCTGTGGAGAGAGTCTGGATGGTCTGACCGGTTGGAGTCAGGACCCGCTGGTGCTGAATGGTCACCGGTTGGAGCTGTGGTGATGTCATAATGCTCTGCATCTGTGGTTGGAGGACTGGGAATGGAAGAAAAGATGATGGATGATTTATCAGTCAAATTCAGAATACGCTGAGAATAAAGCATATTATTGTGGCAACGACATGTGATTATTAAAAGACAGGATAATGTACTGTATGACCCTCTCTTTAGTCACCTTGGAAACTAGGAGCAGGGCTCTGGTGGCAGATGACAGGGTTCTGGATGAAGCGTCCGCCGCTGGAGGTAATCATTACAGTTTGGGCTGCCTGGGTCTGGATTGGCAGGGGCGTCTGGCTGTGGGTCTGAACCAGGGTGTGGACTGGGAAGCTCTGGGTGTGCATGGGGATTCCCTGGGTGTGCATCTGCATTTAAGTAAAAAAAAAAAAGAAATCAATGCATAGTTTTGCCTCAGCATCTATTTTTCTCCTCAAACATTATTCAAGTTTGATGCAACATAAGACAGTTTTTCTGTCTTTTTTGATGTACCGTTTTAGGAAAAAGGTATTTCACTCAAGAGAATAAACTATATCTGTCAGGCAACAGTTTTAGCTGAGACGTGCATGGCTGTTTTTAGGGATGCTGAACTGGATATTACATTTTACAGTCTGTCAGTACTCATTTTTCACCTGTCAGCAGAAGCTTTTTTTTTTTAGTATGGACGGCACAATTTAAGAAAATAAATCCACATCGTGTCCACAACAGACAATGAAATAACAGCTGGAGAGGCCAGCACCACAGACTGAACAGCACTAGTTTATCACTGCAGCAGTTATACAGACACACTATGTCACTAACTGTTCATAAAACTAACTGCCCCCAGTAGAACTAGTAGTGAAATGTGGGTTATTAGCCATGTCAAACACAGGATTTCAGTGTGAACGTGGTGTCAGATAGTCAATACCTGGATGGTGGGCTGGGCTGTCTGTTGAGGCTGAGGCTGAGGCTGGATGGGCTGGACCACCTGAGGCCGGGGCTGAAGGAGTGGAGGGCTACGGGTCACCTGCTGCTGCACTGAGGGGGCTGTGGTGGGGGAGGGGGTCTGGGCGGGAGTGAGGGGAGGGGTGAGGGGTAGAGCCTGGGGAGACAGTGTCTGGGAGGGGGCGAGGCTAACGTTGGTACTCTGGTAGACAGCTGGGGTTGGGGTCTGAGGAGTTTGGGGGGTTTGAGGGGTTTGAATGGCAGGTCGTGCGGTGGTGCTGGTACCACCACTCTGTATAGAGCCTGCTGAGTTCATCTGGTCCTCAAACAAGTCCGGGAAGTCCCCCACCTGGTTGCTGACAAACTGCAGCATCTCTGAGGACACAGAGAAAGAGAATGGTTGTCTAGATTTCATTGAGTAAGTGTTGTGTAACTAAGAGCAGAATATGAATGATGACACCTGTAGATCAACATATTGCAGCATAATCTAAATCCCCATGACTGATGGTGACAATGATATGACTACCTTCAAGCTCAGGCCTTGGCCACACCCAATATTACAATACTTGGGAGGTAATAATCTGTATATTGCTTTCCCAAGTGTCCTTGAGAGAGAACTCTTAAGGTGAAACTAAATATAAGGTGGTAAGGTTGCTTAGAGGTGTGAATGCTGTTTCCTGGAGAAGTTCATGGACTGGCCTTGAATTGGCACATGCACACACAGCTACTGTAATGGTCATAAATCATTGCACAGATTGTACAGAAAGCAAAAGGCCTTCAAACAGAAAGCCTTGAAAAGGTGTGCTGTAATCTTACTGATGGCCCAGAAAGACAACGGGAACAGGGTGAAAAAGCACTGAGAACTGATGGATGGATGAATGGCACTATGGTTGTATTATTAAACACTGGTGCACACTATGTTAAACACCACCTAATTGCATTCAATAAATGGTTACTTACATGGTTAAGTGATTGGGTGTTAATGTAATATAACTTAATATATACAGTATGATATGTTATATATATGATATGACAATATATGTGATAATATGCACTCAATTGCCAATTTATTAGATCCACCTTGCTAACAAATCATCTTCTCTTTTGCTGCTTTAAGGTGTTGATTTACCTTAACAGTAATAGTTTGTGGTGCTGTTTAATTAAACTGCATTTTATATATATATATATATACACATTTTTTTTTTTTTTTTTTTTTAAAAAGGTATCCTGTGGATTTCTTCTAACCTCTACTAGTCCAGTTAAGCATTTTCTTTATGTGTGGGTCCCCATTTTGCTTGTCTCAGGACCCCATCCAGCTAATGGTTTCACACTATTGATCGACAAGTAGCGATAATACACCAAGACATGCAGCAATGCGCCAGCAAAGGGAGGGAAAAAGAAGACTGCCAGCAAGTAAACATCGATGTAAACAAAGCTGGATTTAAAATGTTTAATGTGTAAAATGTTACATTTTATGTGGAAGGAATTCACCATGTTTGTTACAGTGTGGTGAGTAACACTGAATGTAAACATAACTTTTGTTTGTGTAAAAAAATCACCCATCGCAATTTTGTATCAACCTCACTTTAATATCTTAACAGCTACGAGAAGAAAGAAGTTTGCCAAACAACACAAGGTTGCGGACCATTGCTGTGGACACCATGTCTTTCGTGGTCTCACAGGACTTTGGAACTTAAAGACTTCACTGCCTGACACGGTCCATGTGGTGGAAGCTGCCCTGGTTGATCTGTATCACTGATAGTGTATATGGCTTCAGCCATCAGGGTCAATGAGGCATCAAAGAACAGAGCCTGCAGTCTTGAACTTAGTCTTACTGCACAGCGGTGTGGAAGCCGACAATCCAACAGACCACAGAACACATTCATTGACTGCTTCAGACTGACATGAAAGCACTAAGCACGCCCCCACCGATGAGAACATTTAGAATATTCTGAATAGGAAAATTGATTACTGATGAACATTAGCAAAGAGAGAGACACTGGATATCATTCAGCCAAGACATGTGACAGCCCTGTGTCATTCTGATGACGTTACAGTTGCTTTACATGTAGACATTAAGTCCAGTCACTACTGTGTGTCACCATAATGACTGACTGTATCTGTCATTTAATTCCTTGCCACTCTATTAAAACAAATATTACTAATTACTAATATTTGTTTTATCTTTGCCTAAGCTTGACAAGAACTGTAATGAACTAAATGTAAATGTAAATGAAGCAAACACTTCCTAGTTTAGTTAGTTGGCTTTTGCTCTGTTTAAGCATTAGTTTAGAGCTGTGGCACGAACTGTATTTTGGTGTCATTGTGTTTTACAATGAACACAAAAGGCCTGATACCAGAACAGATTTATAAAAGTGGAGACAGTAGAAAAATAAAACATTACAACACCAAAGGTTCTCTTCTCATATCTTTGTCAGCAGCCAGCTTCCTGTCACCTCTGACTGTCTGTTGTCACTTGTTGTATTTCAGTATAGTGTATAAAGCAATAAAGGTGTTGCTATCTGTATATATAGCTTTATTTTTTGTCGTTGTCACACAACTTCATGGCTATAAAACGCGATTTGATCGAGGGTCACAAAACACCAACAGGCAAACCAAGGATAGTAATTTCTGGGGTTGTACTTATGACTGCGTATGTCAGTTACAAGAGGGACATAAACCACACCAGTACTTGTCTGAACATAAGCAATATTCCTAAAAGCAAAACTAGAACAATAAAGGTTTTAGATACACAACGCTGTATGAACATTAATTGGCCTTTTTGCTCAGGAGCTTCAACCAGCCTGTCTTTCACATGTCACATATACATGTTCACATAATGTGAGCAGACACACTAGACCCTGCTCTTCTACACCTCCATGGGGGGCAGACTGTGCATGACAGACAGGACAAAGCAGTTCTGAGCCCCCAGAGCTTCAGACAAGCTGACACAAAGGGTAAATCCATCAAAGGGGGACAGTTTCCTAGGCTGCTCAGTTCAAAGAAATCAGGTTATATAACCAGATTCGCAGTTGCTAAGAGAATAATTGGGAGAATGTTCTAGATATATGTAGGGTCAAGTGCATAAGCCCTTAGAGGGGCCTCTCAGATTGTATAGTCGATGAAATGCTCACAGCTCGTCTGAAGAACAAAGGTTAAATATCTCTGCAGGTCTACAGTAAACCAGCTGCTGCACAGAAAGAGAGGAGAGACCTATCGCCGTCTAGTTTACTAAGATCTGAAAGAGGCTGTGGAGATTTTAAATACATATGACAAAAGCTATGATTTCTATAACAAGGGTACATTTTCCTGCAGTTGGGTGATGAGCTGATAGCAAAATTGTATTAATCCATTAGCTTGAAGGCCAAACAGAAGCAAAACTCAAGTGTGGGCTGTTGCAGCTCGCCTGTGAATTCATCAGTTAACCCGGTTGTCATTTCTCTCTCTTTCTCTCTCTCACACACAATCTGTACATTCCTCTCTTTTGACACAATGATTAAGTGGGATTACATAACTGTGGCTCGGGGGTGTACCGTCTGCTCATTCTGTCCAAGGGCCCCCTTTGAAAAGAGAATTAACAGCAGACACCAAAGGCAGGTGGAGTTTCAGAAATGTTTCATAGTGCCACCGTGTGCAGTACTGTCAGTGTTGGCCGTGATCTTGTTCAGTACAGTTCTTTTGTATGTTGGTGAATATTACAAACCCACTGCCCACTGTGGGCCAGTAGATAAAAAGACAGAGTTCTACCCTCAAGCCCAGCTCATCTCACACTGTCTGACACCACACGAACACACACGCCGCTCCATCAGTCCGGTCTGGTGACTTAGCATTCAGTAAAATTCCACCCTAATGGAAATCTGGTGACTCTGCGCTGCCCAGCGTTACACCAAAAGCCCCGTCCTTTCACTGTGTGCCAAAGGGTGAAACTTGTTTTGATAAGCGGGAGACTGGATGAGAGATGCTGTTTGTTCACTGAGTGCCTGCCTGCATACTGCAGAATTGGATTTTTACAGAGATGTTGTCCCACACACTCTGCAGAATAAGCGTGGAAAATACGATGAAGAAAGGTTTTCCTCATTCAGTTCTACAGAATACTTCAATCTTGACATGGAAGTCTTAAGTCCAGATAATTGTTTCTAAATGGTTTATTTATGGCCAGTGGCTTACAGTAATAACAAATTCAAGGTTTCAACTCTTGTGTCTCCCTTCACTGCCCACACACACGCTTCCAGATAAATGACACCTCTTACTGTTACCCAGCTCTGCTTCATGGGAGATAACACTCGGCCTAAAACTTCAAATTACTTTTCTATTGAAAGCTGACACTTTATGGGAATAACAACAGAGAGCACAATAAAATCTAAAGCCTAAAATGTTAACTCAGTGTGCAAATTATGGACGGATTGAGAGGGCAATGTAACACGACAGACTTCCAGAAGTCATAATTTACTAAAGGGGATGTGCATATTTGCAATGTCCACATTATGTGGAGAATAATTCAAACCGACTTAATAAAGTATAAAAGCCTCTCCTATAACGTTTACATACAACACATTAAGAATTGTAGGCCCAATAAATCCTGACTTCCCATTACACCCCAGCTGTATGTTGAATACTTTGAAGAATAAACTTTGTGTGCTGTGCAGCCTTCACATAATCCACAGACAGACCCCCTTTCAGCTGCTTCCGCTCAGCAGGATGAGCATCTCCCGGAGCTGTCACACGGAGCGGAAACAGGCCGACACTAACTCAGGACACAACACCGTTAGCACTGATACAGTTACTCACCGTCGATGTCTCCCAGTGTGAATTCGTCCCCTAATTCCGCTAAAGTCGTGTCCATGTTCTCCATGGTGGAGATGTACTCTCCGCTGTCCATCCTGTCTTTCAGCGCCTCGCCTCCCCGGCTGTCACCGGAGGGTCGCGGGAGAAAGGCGACAAGCTCCGCTGGCTAGTCGTTCAGCGACGCCTACAAGGCTCTTTATCTTATCGTGAAGATAATTATCTGACGGAACGACCGTAAAACAAGACCGGAGCCTCAGGAGAGGCAGACTTCTACGTCGATAAAGTCATTCACATCGGTTTATGCTTAAGACGACTCCATCTTGTTTTACGCTCATTACGTCATTCACAAACAGAGTCTCTGGCCCAAAGCCGGCTCTGATTGGTCCAAACCTAGCTGTTGTTGTCATGAGACCAGTCATCGCCGTCCAATGACAGGGCCGTATTTACCGTGGTCTGATAGTACGTCAACCATCAGAAGCCTCTGTGTTATTTGAATAAACCGCGCCCCCTACCTTCATCAATAGAAGTGATCTCATGAGAGAACCTCATTCAGGAGAAAATATGTAAATAAACACATCAATAAATAGAGTCTAATAAAAACTGCAGATAAAATGATATGCATTTTCCTTTATGCAATAGCACCGACAATGTCTCCCGACTTGCAGGTCAAATGTTTGGTGTTCATTAAAAATAGTTACTTATTTTCAATCCTTTCATGCATACAAATAGTACACTAGAAAGTATAAGCTGAACGTTTTATTAGTCTATTTATGCATTTTTCATCTGTTTTAGCACTTCTTTTTGTTACTTTGTCCGTATATTTATACATTTTTATAAATCTATTTTATTACCTGTTTATACATTTTAATCTATTTTATTACTTATTTGTTTATACATTTTAATCTGTTATTACTTTGTTTAATTTGTCTACTGATTTATCCATTTTAATCTGTTTTATTACTGTGTTTACTTTGTCTATTTATACATTTGGCTCAGTTATATTACTTGCTATATTCTGTCTTTGTTTGGAGTGTTTTTCTAACCCAGCCGCTGGTGTTTCCTCACTGCAAATTGATGAGATAGCGTTTCCTCAGTTCGGGTTTTACTGAGCGCTGTTATTGAGTGTTTTATTGATTACAGAGTCTTTATTACTTTGTGTGTGGTTGGGGGTGTTTTATTGTGTAAAGCAATTTATGTTACAATTTGTTTGTATGGAAAGTGCTATACAAATAAAATAAAGTCTGATCATCAGGTCGTCTATGAAAAAGTAGCGCAGTTTAAAATACTCAATGAAAAGTCATGTTTTACTTGATATAAAAGTATATTGCTGTTTAATATACTTAATAGTAATACATACAGATGATAAAACCAAGTACAGTTGAATTATTGATGCATTATGTGCACTCAAGCACGTAGAAGTATAATTCCAGGAATGAGCCTGTGGTGATTTTCTAGCAAAGTGCCACAGTTGAGGTACAGGCGGAAAAGATAACTAACAACTCAACAACAGAAGATAAGAAATGAGGCCAAAATATTCAATCATGTCAGAATGCTTGTTTTATTTAACTGCACCAAAGTTAACACACGTATTACCTGTTGATACATTTACAGTAGTTGAAAACCAGTGGTACTGGTTGGTCAAAACCAGCGTTAACACAATACATAACAGCAAAACTCGTCTGTGGTTTACATGTTACAGGTAGGAAACCACAACGTTTAAGTGCTTTTTATTACTTCAGTCCTTTTGTTCATTTTCCACACTCAAGAATAATTATATACACAAATTGATCTCACGCAGCAAACACTTTAATATGGTGCTTAAGAGAATTTCTTATAGTCTCTTTATAATTCTGTGATTCTTTAAAGAGTGTGAAAGAAAAAGTAAAATTAAAAACTTTTATGAAATTCACGCCATTCATTCATCGAGTTTACAAAGTTGAGTTGTGACGACCCACATTTTCAGCAGTCCAGTTTCCAGGAGTAAATGTCTGTTTTTAATTTCTCTTTATTTTATAAAAATAAATGTGTATGAAGACATCAGGTCTGGTTCCAAACCAACCAACAGCAAGGTGAATCAATTGCCTCGTAAACTGATTTAGATAAAAATGTGTTTGAATAAAAGGGGAAATAAAGTAAAGGTATCACAGGACTGTGCACCAGATATCCTTCATTAGTCATCCCACACAGCATTGTGTCACTGAACTCATTCACCAGCCTCAAACAGTTCCTATCAATATTTGCAATTACAACTTCTGCTTTCTTTTAACTTTTATAATGTGTCATTACTTGTTCATATGATATTGTTTTATATTACATTTCTCTCACTGCTAGCTGTGCATCTCCGACATGGTATGGCTAGGAAAATATATGCAAATTGTTTCATTGTATTTATTTGTTCCAGTAGATCTCATAAGACTTCTTCTCTGTGTAACTGGCTTCAGTTGTTCTTGTGCCACATCTGACTTTCTCTTTTACCACCTTCACTACCAGACCACCAGCCAGGGCAATGCCTGCTGCAGCCTTGCCTATTTCAGCCACTGCATTCAGGATCCGTGTTGTTGTTGCCACAGTGCCCCAGTGGTCTGACACCCTGCTGGCCACTGACGCCATACTGGGCCCTGTTAACCCACACACAGCACCAGGAGACCCAGCAGCCACTGGGACATTCACAGCTATCTCCTGAGCTAAGGCTGCTCCTGCTGCAGCACACTGAGGAGTCCCAGTGACTACACCTCCTACAGTGGCCACTGCATGATGCCCTGCTGCTGAAGCAAAACTACTCTGAGCTACAGGTGCACTGGCTACACCAGCTGCCCCTACTGATGCAGTTTCAGCTCCACTGAGAGCTGCTGTGCTGAAAGCTGCTCCCTCCAGAGCTGCGCCAAGAGCAGCCCCAGCTCCCATGGTGCCTCCCACACCTGCTGCCAACCCCACAGCAGAGGCCCCTATGACACTGACCTGCCCGAGGGCATCCAGCGCGCCCTCCCCAGGACTGGCAGCCTCAGTGCCAACAATGGCTCCAACAGAACCACCTAAAACTCCACCTGTTGCTGCCCCCAGAGCCACTGCAGTTTTCCCTGAGGCTGCTGCCACTATTGCCCCCACAGCTTTCCCAACACTAGTGCCTCCCGCTACAGACATCCCAGCAAACTGACTTGCAGCAAAACCAACCGAGTTCCCCATGAGAGATGCCCCGGCTGCGGCTGCTAAAGGGGCCGCTGCTCCAAACACTGCTCCCACTGCCATGCCTGTGGCTCCAGCAGCCACCAGGATCTTAACTCTCTCCAGGACCTTAGCAGAGAGCGCAGCCTCCCTCCTCATCAAGGATGACCTGAGGGCATGTCGCCGGCTCACGGTCCTGCTGCAGCTTTTGCGCCTGCCTCTGAACCGGTCCCTCAGCAGGCTGAAGCCGCTGCCTCTGCTCTCCTCTCTCCATCTCTCCACCCTAAAATCTTCATTTCCTCCCTCCAACTCCCTCTTTCTGACCCCTTGTGATCCTCTATCGGTGCCCTCTGCTCCGTTAGACTCCAAGTCACATTTCCTTCGTTTTGCAAGTTTAGCCCGTTCTTCCAAGCTCCCATTGTTTCCTTGTTCCTCCCCCTCTGCTTGCCCTCGCTCCCTCAACATCCTTTCCTGCTCCTCCCTGATGACAGCCTCTGCTTCTACAAACATTGTGTTAGTATAAAACCCTTTGTTAGTCTGCTTCACCATCTTGTCCACTTTCATTAAGAGTTTGTTAACCTGCACTAAGTTACTGGGGTCTTTGTTGTTGAGTACATGGTACCTGCCCCCACACCTGTCAATCAGAGCCTTAAGCCCAGCAGGTGCAGTCTCCCTCAGGTACTCTTCAATCGCTAGGCCCTCCAGGTCATCGCCCCTGGTAAAAAGAACCACAGTGTGGTGACGGACTGCATCCTCCCCAAATATCTTAGCCAACTCGCAGACAGCCTGGTTCTCATTGTCTGTGTAACGACCTACTGGCACCACCAGAAGGAAAGCATGTGGCCCAGGGGCAGACAGAGACACGCATTTGGCTATCTCTGCATGAATCTGCTCCACACTGAGGTGAGTGTCCCCAAAACCTGGCATGTCAACCACCACAACTCTCCTCATCCTCTTCCGTGTGACAGTCTGGCCATCCTCCTCAGCATCCTCTTCCTCAGCGAGTTCAGCGCTCCCAAGCTGGCAAATCTGGGTGACAGAGCTGGCACTGATCTGCGACAGGAACTGCCTTCGGCCCAAGATGGTGTTTCCAGACGCACTCTTGCCAGATCCGGTCTTTCCGATGAGGACCAACCTGAGTTCTTCACTCCAGTTGTCTTCTTCCTTCTCACCGTCCATGTCCACTGGCTCCTTTTTCTCTTCCTCATCCCCTGGAGGAAAAACTGCAGAACAGAAACAGTCTGAGACTATTGATAGCTCATATCGATTGAGCTTCACTGCATTTGCATGTAAAGCATGGCAGTCCTCCTTTATTGAAAGACAGCAATCAATACTTTCATTGTAGTGAAGACAACAGATTATGTGACAATGCAACAAGCCTAGAAAGGTCAAGTGTTTGTGAGGACGGTTCTGGACAGAGACAACTCAATAGGTTAGCAAACGATACATACAAGTGCTAGTTTAGCGCTAGATGTTAATAAGTTAATGTTTATAAGTCAAATAAGACCAGGCGATAACTCTGAAACTAAAGAGCAGACATCAAATGCAGAGATTAGGTTTTAATCCCAGATATCGTGCTATGTATGAGCTAACTAGCTATTTTTAAACAAATGCTGCCTGCTAACAAATAACAACGTTAGCTAACGGTAAACAATTTCACATTAGCATGCTAGCCTTAGCATGTTGCTAACTTATGACGAAAACATCAACTATCACCACATGAAGAGATTATTTTACCAAAGTCCACGTTACAAGACATCGCTCAGTCTCATTAGAAGTGTGTTTTCCCTCTGCAGTCAGGCTTTAGTTGTCATCCTGTGAATGTAGCTGAAGCTAAATGCTAGGTTGAGCTCAAACTGTTCAAAAACATTGGACTTTGGTTGTACAGAGTCTGGTGGCTGCTGCCTGCCCTCTGTTGGACGATAGCTGCGGTACACACACACACACACACACACACACACACACACACACAGACAGACACAGACACAGACACACACACAAAACAAAAACAACAACAACACACACAACAACAGACAACAACAACAACACACACACACACAACACACACACACACACTGCAGGAATATGACAAACATGTGTTCTTGTACATATCAGAGTCATTTTATTTCATTAAACTTGATAACAAAATGGCTTGTTCATTCTGCAGCAATGATATTCTTTCTCTGAATATACATATAGTTTTATAACAGTCGTAATACTATTTCAAAATTACATCAATCTCAATTCCATAGATCTAACCCATTAAAATATGTTGAATTTCCATAAAAGATAAAAAAAAACAAAATATTTAACACAGAAACCGGTTCATATATTGTATTTCTGGGTGAGAGATTCTTCCAACAAGATAAAATAATTCTTACTAAGTGAAACAACTACACAGAGAGATAGGCAAAATATGTCAAAGGAAAGTTCACAGATGATCCCATCGAATGGTGGTAAAATAAGAATTGTTCAAAAAGACATAAAAAAAAGAGATAATTAATATACCATTGTATTGCCCTTTGGGAAAACAAAACATAGGATTCTTTCTTTAAAGTTTAAGCAGCAATAAAAACATAAATCTGCCTATTCACAAACATCCCTCTGGAAATCTCTCTAACAAAGCTCAGCTTGAGCAAAAAAAAGGAAACAAAAATAAAATTGGATTCCATCATCAAATCAAACTTAATCTAACCAGAAACAGGCCAAATTGAATGAGGTGAGGTCAAATCTATATTTGGCAACCACACGTAATTGAAGCAAATGGGTTTTAGTCACATTAAATCTAGACCAGACACAATACAGTGGGGTTCTGCAAAGTTGTGAAGCAAATTTATTATACTAAAATGAATTATATTCCAAAGAACAGTTATGTAATACTCAGGTTATCAAAAATGAGTTTCCCTTATCAACTCCTATTCCGAGACGTCTTTTACCTCTTACACAACGCTAGATTTTCCAATTATAAATCGCTGTAGATGTACAGCAATTCAGGTCTTTGTCAGAAACTGACAAACCTCCACTTCCACTTTACTTTTTTTTGAGTCAGTTTGAGGTTTCCTCTCTTGTTTTCGACAGAGCACCTGGCTTTTGTACAAGTGATGACAGCTTTTATTTCCTGCACTGTCGTCGGAGTCTACAAGTCAAGCCACCCCTTGCGGACTGTGCGTATGCTCCATCCTTCCTCTTCCGTCCCCTCTCCTCTGCTCTACCACAGGCACTGAGGGGCAGCGCTATAGCTCGGTGCGTGAGCGGGAGATGCGAGGGCCTTTCCTGATTTCTTTCCTCTTCTCTTCTTTCCTCCTCCTCTTCTCCTCCTCCCTCAGGATCTTCTGGAAAGCCTCGGCAGTGTGAAGCACCTGAAGCAGATGGGAAAAGGCGGATTTTTATCGAGGCTATGTGAGAGATGATGCTATTTTAGGGACAGTATGATAGAGCAAAGATGTGTCCGTGTTCCTATTGCTACTGGTAGTGAAGGTGTAAGTAGCAGGTCCTGAGGGTGTTAGAAGATGGTTACCAGGTGAGTGAGTACTAGTGATAACTAGGGGCTGGCAGAGTGTGGACTAACATGTATGCATCTTACTCACATCGTCTCTCTCTGTGCGGTACGGGTTTATAAAGTCTGGGGCTTTCTCTGTTATTCCCAGCTCCTGTGACATCTGAGAGATGAGCAGAATAGACAGATGACAAAGACAAGAAAAGAGAGGGGGCAAATTATAATTTCTTCAAAAGAGATAAGGAATGAAAATGAGATACTGTCACATCACTTATTTCACAGCTAAAAAGCAATTTGACGCAAATTGGCAAGCAGTTGCAGTATTATAGCTTATTTTCTCGTTACAGCTTCAGACACTATGAGCCACACAGAACGGGGGGATCAGAAGCCAAGAGCGGGGTTACTAAGGCACAAGTGAGGGCTGGATGCACACTTTCAGGGTGCTAACTGCTGCTGCTTGAAGTCTCAGAATTAATCCACTATATAATCCTCTTGGCACATTGCTAAGGTCACAGATTAATCCTGAAAGAGTTTAGTTCATTAACCCACACATTAAAAGGGGGAATACCATTTTATCTGCTTTGCTCTTTCAGGTTTCAAAGGCCACATTACACCATGGACAAATTTGATGACAAATGACACATTTTGCAGCGATGACAGAAAGGTATTAGCTGACACTGAGGATGTATTGTACAGTGACATGACATACAGATTGCAGTAAAATCTCCATATTATCTACTGTAAGACCTGAACCAGGATGATTCTGTCATCACACCACTGTGTGCAATATTGAACTGTTTTATTGCAGTGCTTCCAACATTCTCACTACACTCTCCTGCAGAGAAAAGGATTCAATTCACTGTGCACTTGTACTGAAAGCTGCATCTAGACTTCACAATACGGCTATAATTGTTCAATCCAACAATGATGCAGTTAATTTCTTTCAGCAAAAAGTTGATGCATCATCATATATCACATTTTTCTCACGCCTCAAATGTACAGAGAATTCCAAAAAGAAACAAAACTGAATCAGTCATCAGTATTAAAACCCATGGAAACCGTACACCATAAAATGTCCAATTTCCATTTTCAGCAGCTAAGCAACAACTCCCTCTTTTTCTGTTTAGCCCTACAGAATGCAGATCTCACAAATATTTTCTAAATTCAGCCGGTCAAATAGTCAAACTCAGGGCTGCAGTTACACCCTTACTGCAGAGGATATCAGTGAATAGTGACAGTACTGTTATCGACAGGTAACATTAGCTACAGTAGGTGATTTTCTGGTCTTACAAGTGTGAGGACGTGCTGGTGGGCTCCTCCTGTGAAAACCCCTGTCTGGTTACAGAAGTTCAGCCCCCAGCGCAGCAGGCCGCCCCAGTCAGAGTTCCGGTCGTAGTAGTGGTGGACAATGCGTGGGAAACGCAACGCCACGTCGCCAAAAAATGCTGTATTCTCCACCACATGGGAGTAAGCTGCAGATATTTATAGAGACAGAAAAAAAAGGTAGGTTAATAAGAAGAAATAAGACAGTGGGGGAGCTTTTTTTTATTTTGAAGATATATTGGTGCTGACAAAACACAAATGCATGACCAAACATGCTGATAAATGTAACAGAGGATGAGTGCAGCTCAAGCAATGGTTGATTTTGTTCAGGGTGGTGGCAGTGATGGGGTTGAATAACAATGATTGTATTTGTGATATTCAGACAGACATTAAAGAGAAAGCTCATATTATTGGCACCGGCTGGCACCAGAGGAGGATAAGCATGAGAAGAAGACTGACAGGTAGAGCATATAGAACCACAAGACAAACAAGTGGAGGAGACAGAATCAGAGTGTGAAAGACACACTAGAGGTGCCGTTAAATATAAGAGTCGAGCGAGAGAAAGGGGTGTAAAAGTGAATCAGACCTTCTTTGATCTTATCATCCATTGGGAAAGGGTCGTCAGGCTGCATATTGGCTGCAACCAGGATTTGTCTGGAGTCCTCCAACACCTTAAGAACGAGAGAAATGGCTCAATACCCAGATTTATTGACATTACACTACAGTATGTGCTGTGGATTCCAGTTGCAAGGTGAAGATTTTAAAGGAAAATGTATTCCTATCACAACATTTTTACACACCACTTTCACTGCTCAGATCAGGGGGATGCAGTCAATCTGATAAACACAACTTCACAGTGGACTCCATTAGGGCAAGCAACGTGTGGCCAGAAAAACAGGTTTTGCAGAAATAAGTGGTTTATAATAAGATAATAAAGTTAAACAGGGAACTGGGAATCACTGTATATATATATATATATATATATATATATATATATATATATACACACACACACACACATCTTTTTCACAGTCATATTGTGGTTGAAATACACAGAAACGGAGCACAAAAAGACACCAAATCAGATTAGAACCAGTGCAGCATCAATGGGGATTGCATATGGAAGAGATATTCTCTCTCTCTCTCTCTCTCTCTCTCTCTCTCTGACACACACAGCATTATAGAGATGCTGACAATGTATTTCAGCCACTGAAGGTTGACTAGGCTAGTTGCCCTTGAGAGGTACATGGATGCATTGATAACTATCCTCTGGGAAATTGATGCATACTGTAAAGCAAAGCTCAGAGCTTAGTGCGAGTGAATGGCACTCCAAGCAGCTGAGTCTGAATTAACATTCAAATGAATGCCAGGAAACATGCTGATGAATGTAATCATTGGATTTGAAGCTTTTGATTCTGTGTCGGGCTGAGAACCTTCTTATCCTCCGATCTGCTGAGAGCATGAGAAGGTTGAGCTCTTAGAACTAAACTGTTGCTGCTGTTGTTTTGTTTTATACTAGTGGCCTTGTTTTTGCAGCGGCCCACAGACCGTGTGAGGATATGATGTAAGAGTGCACACACGCACACACACACACACACCCTACCTTAAAGAGTCCTTTGAGCATGATGTCTATGATCTTGTACTGCTGATTGATGTCGTTCAGCTCTACCAGGTTCTTGAGCGCGTTCAGCTGATCTTTCCTCTTGGTCTCAAACAGCCGCTTGTCTGATAAGAGGAGGTCAGGAGGACACGCATACACTCCATATGGGCATAATTCACACAAATGCTCAATCATGCACCCATCTGGCACATTAAAAAGGCACAGAAACGTATTCATGTGCATGCACAAGCTGACACTTGCACGCACACACTGACATCCACAGACACGGCGGTGCATCTGGCAGCGGCTCTGCACGCTAACAGCAGAAGGATACAGATCTCCAGGTTGGAGTCATGTCTTGGCCTGTGTGTGTCCGAGTCCGCCCAGCTGAGGGTGGCAGCGGCGAGTGCCATGACCACCGCACACACGCTCCGCATGGTCAGCAGGGGTCGGCAGAGAGGCGCTCTTCTGAACACAGAGACGACGACCGAGCTAGAGAGGTACATCACATTGTTAGACAGTGACACATTTGGCAGAGCTGTGTGATTTCAGTTTGTTGCGTCTCCTCAAAACATTCTCTGACGATTGTCGTGCTTAACACATTTTCTTTTGATACAGAGATTTTACTTTCATCTGAAACAGCTTTCTTATTCATGAAGCCATTATTCTTCCAAAGCTGCCGGAAAGGTTCTCTCTCTCTCTCTCTCTCCCTCTCCCTCTCCCTCCTGTGATACTTTTGGAATATGCGAAATAGAGAGACATGCTGGGAATATAAGTGGTCAATATGTAACACTGGAAGGTAGCCGACATTTGAAGAGAGGCTCCTTATGTTCCTTTTAAAGAGACACATCTGACGTCTGGCACTTGTATAATCCCCAGAGGAAACTTTTTACAATCTCTGTACCAGACTCCCTCCCTGCTCCCTGCTCCTCCTCTCCCTCATCCCCCTGGTCTCTCTATCCGAAGCGCTGGTCTTCTCCAAAATTCTCATCCAGTAACAACGTCCTTTCCCTGAGAGGCTTTTTATACATTTGAAAGGGAGGGTGGGGGGGATGAAAGTGAGAAAATAAATACAACAACTAAAAATAAAGCCTCATCAAATGAAAATTTGATGAAAGCCAAATTTTTAAGAAAACATTAGCAGAAAACAGAAGTAACTGGAGGGAGAAGACAGTGTTGATGAAAAGCCACAAGACATAATTCACATAATTCATGCATAATTTAACATGGGCACCATCAATGAAACCATCAGAGGGGTATGGGGCTTTGGATAGGGGGTGTGAGGCATGCAGGGAGCGTCAGATTGTAGCAGGAGGAGGACGACTGGAGGCAAAAGACGAGCTGAGGGGCGTCGAGGCTTGTGGAGGAGGGTGGTGATGTAGGACTGCGAAGGCGAGACCCCGCGGGGAAACAACAGCTTTCGTGGTGAATATTTCATCCAACTTTGCTGAGACACAGCGGTAAAACGGAGAGACGCACAGATAGGAGCGCGAGTGCAAGATAGAGGAGGAGTGCGAGGCTGTGCGGGATGATAATGAGCACCAGGGACTTGATTTTGCACTGACAGAATTCATCTTTACAAGCTCGACTGATGATTTTCTAGAATCTGAAGGGCTAGGAAGTGAGCAAACGTCTCAAGGCGTGAATATTAATTCAAACTGAATGAGCCCCCTTTAAAGATATCACACAAATTAGCGGGGATAAGCATGTGCTTCAAGAATTACACTAACCCTCTTCAGAATGCCATCCTTCTGTTTACAACAGCCGTGCTTTTTTACAGCACATCCTTACAACAGCGAGTCCAGGAAATCTTAAAGTAGATCTCAAGATATTATTGTGGATCTGCCAATACGACTGTACTGAAAACGAAAGCTGACAATCTCCCTTTTTGTTGCAGCTACTTTTGGCTCTAAGTGCTGCTCTCTGTGGTCCGAAGCCTATTATTTAAAAATAAAACCATAGGACAACTTTTTTTCTTACAGAGTCAGCAGAAACAAGTGTTCCCGAAGACAGCTGAGTGAAGACAATGTTCGATTAAGGCCAATTTGTGCATTCTGAGAACATCTTTTGGGTAGCTTCCCAGCTTTCTGAGAAACGCCGCACTAAATATCCTTAAGTGCTGCTCGAAAGCCTCAATATTTCTAGATAACAGCCAAGGAAAAGGGGCCTTGTCTCCCCTGTGGCAGCGGCTCGTCGGGTTATTTGATGTTCCTGTGTGCTTCCGAGCAGCCAGCCATGTAGCTCTGACAGATATTTATGAGCAAAAAGGTTATCGCCAGCGGCACAATTTAATGCAGTCAACACATACATCCAGCAGCTGTTAACGTTTCCGCACAATAGGGCAAAGTGCTGAGACTTTAAGAAGTAGTGTAAGACGGACATTAAGAGTGGATCAATCATCTCTAATGTGGCATGGGCAGCGGAGAAATGAGAGCCTAAATGCATCCATTAACTATAAGCAGGCAACTCTGATTACACAGGATGGTCAATTTAGAAAATCAAAAGTTGTAGGAGAATCTACCGGCACTCATGTTTTGAGATCAGTTTACACTTGGCAGTACAGTGTTAACCGGGAGCTGGGCATCTTTGACAGATAAACTGCTAACATAAAATCCACCAGGGTGATTTCTGTCTGTGGTACTAACAGCAGAAATCCCCCCCGCCTCCCTCCCACACCTTTCTTAATTGAGGTGTACAACAGCATATACTGTGCATCATATTATAGGACCATTAATGCAACACAGCTGCAAGAAATGTGCTTTTACATTCTCCATTAACCGAATCTCACACTGGATAGATCTCCCTCCAGCCGACGCACTGATGTTATCAACTATCCGCAGCAGGAGGGCCGGCCTCAGATCTGGTGTGTCAATGTGGCAGATTGGGTGAGGTGTGTTTGCCGCGGGGAGGTCTGAAGGCAGAGTAGTTCTTGCTGAAGCCGTGTAAACCCACGTAAATCTCTCGGCCGGAGGAGATTTTCCTCCCCTGCCAACAACAATCTCCTGTGGCAGAGAGGCTCAAGTTTGATTTCTTGTGTGGGAGATTCAGGTTCCAGTTTTGTCAGATAAGTAGGCAACCACATCTAATCATACAAAAGACCCCTGAAGGTATCTCCACGAGTCTGAACTGCCTGTGGTGTGAAAACATGCACCTGATACTCTGCAATGCCAATTTCTCTAAAATCACAGGGCAAAAAAAAAAATTAAAAATCCTGCATATAATCTCCAATCAACAGCGGGAAGTGGTCCACACTGTCAACCAACCAACTGTGTGACATTCACTTCAAGAGGCAAAACCGACCCTTGAGGTGGAAGAAGCTCCTGAGAGGATGGAACAAGCAAGATGCCTATCAGGCAGCTGGGTGTGCAGCAGGAGTGGATCCAGATTCCCCTCAGGCTGCCAGCCTGCTGTGGGAGGTTTGAGGTTCAAGGACTGACACATCATCTCTCTCTCCCTCCCTCTCTCTCTCTGCTCGCATCTGTGAGGCTCTCCCTTGGTTATCATTCATGCAGAGGCAGAGCCACGGACATGCGTAATGGTGATGATGATGATGGCAGAGTCTGGATAAAGACTGTCATGTGGACCATCAATTACAGATGGCTTAATTGATTGCATGTCCCCTACCTGACCCACGTTCCCATCAGCCGCGCGACTGTCTGCGGGCGGTAATTAAGATTGAATTTGTTTTATTTCCAGCCGATAATTACGCGTTTATATTAAGGGTGTGATGTAAGATCACATCTATTGGGGACATAAAACAACTCCGCATTAATACACCGCAATTATTTCTGCAAGGGTTCCTCAACGGGTGCGCTTTTAGGGGAATTAACCAAGTATTTGAAGTCGCTCCTCGACAAACCGATCCCGCCTGTCATCGCAGCTGTATGCCGGATCCAGCAGTCGACGGCGGCGGCCAAGCACCGGAGATCCAGCCGATAAAGCGCCGGGCATTACAGCCACAAAACTCAGCGGATCACTCACCGTGTTGTAGCGAGAGACGGCGGCGCCACACGGCAGCGATTATCGGTCAGCGTTTTTGCTCCAAAGTAGTGCAGTTTAACCTCTTTATCTCCGTACGAGATGTTTAAGGTCAGCTCGCCGATGGAGCGGGGACGGGACAGTCGGTGCGCCCCGCTGGATCCTCAGGTGACAACTGCTCGAAGGTGGAGGTGTTCATTTACATGCGGCTCTCGCTGCTCCACTCCGTCAGCGCCACGATCGCACCGGCTGGCTTCGGACGAATGACAGGCAGCCAGCGGGCGCAAAAGCACGGAGGAGGATGTTGTTTCCGCACGGAGGGTTTAAAGAGAGACACCGCCACGGCGAGCGCGGGGTGCGTTCCGTTTCCCTCATGTGTTTCCTCTGAGGTGTTTTAAGGCTGACAGATATTTATATAGAACTATAAATCTTTTTTTAATTGAATTTTTGTTTTCAAAATTTGTTTTAGCATAATTACTTCATTTTTTTTTTTTTTTTTTTTTTAGAAAAATGTTTTTTATTTTATTTTTAAAACACATACATATGAGAAGCCGCCCCCTCCCCCCAAAAAAGAAAAGGATCAGTGAGTACACATCTAATACACATCGGTAAAACCCTGCAGCGAGAGCATTACACATTCACAGGGGCACTGGTAGGATGCCAGGCCACAGTGCCATGGCCCCTGCCTACTAGGTCTGCTCTGCAATGTGGGAGGTAGTTTAGAACAGGGGCGCCCACAGCTCATCAGAAACCCCTCTCATTCCCCTTCAAGACTGAGCTGCATCTGTAAAACTTTAAAGGTTCTTACATACCGCTGTTTAACAGTAGGAGGTTTGGGCTTTATCCACTGAAATAAATTGATCGTCTTGGTAACTGGAGAAGCTTGTTCAAAAGTTTTGGCTGGAAAGTCAAAGAGAGCCCCTTCGCCTGAAAGATTCAGCAGAAACAAACCAGGATTCATTTGTATTTCCTTATTAAAATAGAGTTAAGTTCCTGTGAGACTCCCCCCCCCAGAAATTAAACATCAGAGGCCAGTGCCAAATGTAGTGTATGTACGACCTCACATCTTTCCTGGACCTGACACAGAGGGGAGAAACTGGCTTTGAGTTAATAGGTTTTCAGCCTAGAACAGATCTATCAGCACTTAAATATATTGTTACCCATTCCAGGGGGGAGGGCTTTGTTTTATGTAATGAGGCGCAGGGCTGATGAGGCACCCTTCCTTCCAGCAAATACTGTTCCACATTTTGATCGTGCTGATCATAATTGGACTGTTTCCGACCTCGGTCAAGGATGGGTTCAGACAAGGATGTTTCATTGGTAACAAGGATGAGTAAGGAAAGAGAAGGGCATTGTCGGGCATCAAGATGTCTCTACCGCCTTGAGTTATGAAAGAGCCTCGGCCTCACGTGTGCATATTTTCAAGAAGGGAGCCATTAATTGTTTTAAATTACTCTACACTTTGAATTAAATGGACCTGAGAAGACCACTTGTCCTTTCTGACTGTTGATTCAGATAATTAATTAGTTTTAATTCAGTACAGAAGAACTAGATTATTTTCTTCCTGGAATACCTGAAACCTGAATCTGAAGGTGCTGCTGTCAGCGTGTGGTAAGAAGATAATTACTGCTATGACCAGGTCAATTACTTTAATTTTCATGCGTCACATGATCTACAGTGATTTGTGTTTCTATGAAGTCAAATTTGTCCTTTTCCCTTTTGTTCACAGCCCCTGGGACCCACAGGGGTTTCCATAAAAACAAACAGATTTTTAATTGAACAGCAGTTTTAATTTGCTTGAAATGAGCCCTGTTACAGAATCCATAAAAAGAGACGAGGCCAATATTAAACGACTACACTAACGGTAGGTTTCAACTTCTATCACACCACTGTTGTGAAATTCAACATATCAATACAAAAATGAAAGTGAGGTCCTATGTCTGACTGTCCTTTAGGTGAGACACCCTGGTGCTGCTTTAAGAGCAGAACGGAAAACACACTAGGTACATAGGAATTCAAGAAATGTAACAATAAACAAACAATGAACAAACAAACATCAGCCATAATAACGCCAGTTTGCCGGAACGTCAGCCTGCTGTAAAGTCCGACAGACAGATGGACACATCTCCTACACGCCTGGAGACAATAGTTAAGGAGGAATGAAGCAAGGAGAAAGTAGGTGTGTGTGTGTGTGTGTGTGTGTGTGTGTGTGTGTGTGTGAGGAGAGAGAGAGAGTTTACATTTGAAAGCGAATAATCTTAAAGGACTATATGTTTCAATTGAGTGTATGTATTGTGTTTACTGTGCATTAAAATGTGTTATTATTTAGTATTACTACTGCGTCAATAACAGCTGACAGTGTTCTACTTATTAATGAGTGTATTTGTTTACTGTTAATTTGATATGACAATATTGTTCTTGTATAACAGCACCAAGAAAGCTAATATCAAACTGAATAGACAAAGGCTGAGTTATGAGAGTGTGTGGGTGGGTGAAGGGAAGAACGAGCGTGTGTGCGCGTGAGCTTGTGTGTGAGAGAGTCAATCAGCACGACAGATGTACTGAGCCTTTAAGTACAGACTCTGACTGAAATACAGTAACGACCCTGCGTTGTACAACACACTTTCAAAGAGATTAAGTGAAAAGCACAACACAGACATTCAATAAATTGCCAGAAAAAAATCAATGGCGATGCTCTGCTGTAACACAGTATGGGTATCTTTCATGGTGCGCTGAGAGTGCGTGCTTGTGTTGCAGCTTTAACAACACTTAGATACTCACAGAGGCATGTTTGGGTTTTTTTGCAGGGTGTGAACTGCAGTTTGTGTGTAGGTGAGAGTGCATGTGCCTGCATAATACAGCTCAGAGTGTTGTTTCACTTCTGGTGAGGGATACACGACGGCCCTGGGCAGACTGGGGCTGCAGCTCTCGGCTGGCGTCTGTAGGACGAGGGACTCCATCATACTCCTCATTCTCTGATTGTGCTCCTCTGTGGGTGGCGGCTGCAGGACACTGCTCCGGATCTGAGTGAGCAGAAATGGAGCAGGAAGTTTCATCATGTTGAATTAAAAGGGAGAAGAGAGGCAGAGCCGGAGAGAGAAGCAGCCCAATGAAGAGCACAAGACATAATGCCAATAAAAGGACTAAACGTTAATGGGCAGTGAAGAAGGAGACAAAACCAACAGAAGGGGGAAAAAAAAGTTAAATAATGTCTGAATCAGAGAAAAGAAGCTTAAGCTTAAAAAATGACTATGCAAGCTGACAAAAGGCACATGTTTGTTTACAGTTACATCATACAGGAGGAAGCAGAGTGAGACTGACTCACACACACACACACACACACACACACACACACACACCTGGGATTTGCAGAGTGCTAAATAAGTCAGCAAGACAGGAACCTCTTCTAACCCCAAAACAAAGCTATTTATCTCAGCTGTCGCAGGCACATGCAGTAGATAATAAAGTGAGGGCTGTGCAGCAGGAAATAGAGCTGTACTGTAGATATAACAGGCAATAAGGAACAATGATCACTCACCATAAACAGCAACAAGAAAATTAAACTGTTCTTCACAATGAAGAGACAACTTTTAGCACAGCTAAAAGGTCAGAGTGCATTTCCAGCAGCTATGAGCAGTCCCAACCGAGAGGCGGACGTTGAAGAAGAAAAAAAAAAAAAAGGATTACTGTTCCAGATTGTTCATGAGGAACCGCCAAGTGCCGCCACTGATCTGCTCCCCTGCAGGACTCAGAGATTTCAGAGACTAACTAAAGGTCACCTCAGAGTACGCCAGTGAATCCAGAGTTACTTAATCACATTATTCATTTTGATCTTCACGTCTTGTCTGAAGATCTGAGCTCGCGTTCCAGTTGGTGTACAACATTACACACAATAATAAAAAAAGGTCTGAAAGTGCATTAACGTCGTGTGCATCAGTGAAGCTGAAAAGGGCAACAGGATGATTTAAAAACAACACAACAGAATTGCAACCATATCAACACGGTACAGTTCGGACCTACAGCTGCATGAGTACTGTTATTAAAGCACCAAGATACTTTTTGTTGTCACTAAATTATCATCATCTTCTTCAGGAGCACCATAATCATCATTCTAGGCACCACTGGAGTAGGCAACTAAGGCTGCAGGGATCAAAGACTTCTTGTAACTTTTTGTCTGGACTGGTGTGGAGGTGTAGGGATTAGAATTGATGGGGAAGACAGCGGGTTCAGACAGAATGGGTAATGTCTACTCCAATACTCCAGAGTTGTGAAGATCAGAGTAATCAGCTCTGTCACTACTCTGACAAAAGCAATTTTTGATTTGACACCAAGAAAGCTTACAGATATGAAAAAAAAACGGACAACCACAACTGACTATTGTTGGTACACAGGGAGAGAAGCGGAAGTGTTGCACTCAGAGTTAAAGCAGTTTTTTTATCTGGCAACAGTTCCCATCAAGTCACTCTGGAGGATGGTATTTTGAGAAACAAGTGGCTGAAAGAAAAGGCAAAATAAAAAGAACCTGTTCCAACACGATTCAGCAACCGAAAAACGAAGGTGAATGATGTGGAGTTAGTAGGGTGAGAACAATTTGGAGTGCAAAAGAGAAGGAGAGAGGAAGCAAAGGAATAGGCAGAGAAACAGAAACAGCTAGCAAGTGAAAGCCCTACGCAAGAATGAAAGAGACAAGAGTGAAGTGAGTGAGTCCCTAAGGCTGAGGCAAGTTATAAGAAGTCTGTGGGCCTAAGACGTTATGAAAAGGGACTCTCCCCAAAGACGAGCTCTGGTCTGCCAAGCTAACTAAGTATGCAGTGCAAGCTGCAGCTTCACCCCTGCACACACTTAACACTGGATCATATAGGCGTTCACACACAGTTACAGACAGGAAGACAAGCACAAGCTGATATATCAAGAGTCTGACTGGAAATAACCATGAGATAAAAACGCATATGTGCCCACACAATGTGCATACATGGCTGCACACACACTCTCTCTCTCTCACACACACACACATATAAGACATCACTCTTTTAGGAGGGAGCAAGATAGGGATGTGATACCAGATCATTGACAAATGAGCACAGGAAACTTCCTGACTGATATTTTACTTCAGTCCACAGGCAGATCAACAAAACCTATGAAAATTGTGTTCAAATGTGCGTGAGTGTGAGTGTGTGTATGTGTGACAGATTGGAGCAGAGGAGATGACAGGGGAGAAAACTCATACTGTCTTGAGACTGTTAAGAGAAGTGTGTCTGTCACACTGAACCCTGCTTTCCCCTAGAATGCCTCCAGAAACACACATTTGAGCGCGCACACACACACACACACACACACACACACACACACACACACACACACACACACACACACACACACACACACACGCAAGGAAACAAACACATGCGCACACATTCATAGTTCATGATTCCCTGGCACACACTGCACTGGGAGCTGCAGTGTGTGCCATCATTCTGTCACTGCTCTGATTCTGAGCTACTTTCAGAATACTCAATGTGTCTCTGGTCCTATATATGATGCCAAATTCATGCTACGCAATCTGATGTGGCTGCTATTCCTTCTGTGTTTTATAAAGTCTTGAGGCAAACCAAGATGGGCTTTATGTATTTGCTACAAAGCTAACACGGTTAGCGGCAAGGACGTGGTTCATCAGGTTTGACTTGTTGGAGAGAATACGTGCATCGGAAGCTAGTTCAATTCCATATTTCCTCTGGGGATAATCTGGGGAACCTAAAACATATTATATGCTTGTGAAGCTCCACAATAAACTGCGCTGCCTCAGGTAGTCCTGCCAATATATTTTTGTGCTACTCAAATTAACTTAACTGTACAATACTAATTTCTGAATACACCACTGAGAATTTGTGAACCCAGAAGGCTCTACTTTCACAGCAGTAGAAACACCAGTGTCACTACCACATAATGGTATATTTTTGATCTCAAAAGGCAATTTGCATGAACACTTGGTATTCTTTTGCCCAGGGTTGGAGAGGACAGTGCCGGGAACAAGGTCCCCAATTTCAGTGTCCCTTTTTGATAATTTGTTCTTTGTATTAGTAAAATCAAAGTCAGTCTGTGATGGATATGCACAGCAACTACAGAATAGTGCAGAATAACACAATACATACATACAAACAGTTTTTTATACAAACAAAAATAAAACAGTTTTAATCAATCATTCACCAACCAGTAGAGGCTGAAACCAACTTTCTAACATCTATGCTAGTACAGCTATTAGGGTCTACATCCAATATCAGCAGCGAAAGGCTGAACAGAGCACAGAGACTGGATGCACAAGACCATGTACAATCATTTTCTAACAAATGGCCAGTGGCAACAAAACGTCTACTGAGAGCTGAACAGATATCATTCTTACTTAAAGCTATGCATTCATGAGCTACGGTACTTGGAGGTTAGGGGTGGTGACTTCATTTTTACAGGATTTGACTTGCTTCCAGGATTTTGACAGTAAATCCAAATAGTATCCTGACTTGGCAGCTCCGACTGCAGTGTAACGAGCCGGTTGGGTCTCTTGTGTGTCTTGGTTGTTACCCGTGTTGTGTTTCTCGCCTTAAACTGCCAAGTGAGGAGCTACTGGGATTTGTGATTTATTAAATGTTGTGTTTCTAATGCAAACTATTAATCAATGATCACAGATCTCAGAGTCAAATATACCAACAGCTTCAATTTTTTAATTTCCAGTGCACTAGGATGACTTTTTTGGGATATTTTACATTTGCCCTACTGTAGTCAGAAATTTGCTGAAATCTGGGAGTAGAGAATAAAATTAAAAGCTAATGTTTTCTCAAGCAAGTATTTCTCTGGCTTTATGTGCTACCTGCAGAGCACAACATTATCCCTTCCGTCTGATATGTAACTGACAGACGAAACCGAGGTCTATGGATGCAAAACAGGGTGCAGTAATTGGTCCTGACACAACTGAAATATGTGCCTGTGTCAATAGGGGTGTAAATGAGGATTTAAAATTCAGTCTCCGGTTTCTGTGACCAGATGTAGATCATTAATGCCGACATGACCGATGATTCTGGACACCGAAGGGTATTTACGACTAACAGCTGCGCTTACTGAGTTAATGCCAATGAGAAACCCTACGAGATAGCAGAAACTCTTTGCTTTGTTTAGATCAGGGTGTCTGACTAATAATGATACAATTATAATAGTGGAGCGAGGCTGCATGTGTGAGATCTGTCCCAGGCAGGTGCCAAACAGACAAGGTAGTCAGCGTGCGTTTGCAGAGGCGGAGGCATCAGCTCCAGATGACAGACAACAGGTCGGCCGGGACTTCAGGAGCCACAACACGACTTCACTAGTGACCTCTGATCTTACAATTTGCACAGGTCTTTGCAATTGCAGTGTTAAACTAGAGCCCTCAGTAAACTGTTTACTTATTTACCAGCCTGTAAAGTGATGAAGTCCCACACTGAGGCTACAAATAGGCATTTTGCTACTGCAGTGCTGCTGTGCAAAATGCTGGTACTTTATTTGCATAAATAAACCTGGTCTTTCCCATTCCCATTTCCCCCGCTGGCTTTGTATTTGGCTGCCAGTACTGTTTCTTCACAACAAATAAACAAGCGTTTTAAAGTAAACACTGTGTGAACCCGACTGATACTGAACTTTGTGTGAACTCGATTTCTTTTCTTATTTTATTCTAATTCATTCATTCAAATAATGTTCATTCATGGGTAACGGCATTAAAGGCCTATAGCTGTGAGAATCCACTTGTTTTCAAAGTGTGTCCTACATTATTTTATCTGTGTGTGTGTGAGCACACCATGAACAAGTGTACCTGTGTGAGGAGCAGCCTGAGGGCCTGTGCTGCTTCTTCACTGAGCTCCTTCAGCCCCCTCCTCTCCGCCGCCTCCATCACCTGGAGCAGGTCAGGCTCCCACAGCACTGCTGTACTGCCGTGCTGCAGGAGCTGAAGGACACAAACAAAGAATAAACAGATAGACATACAATCGCACAATCATGAGCAGATGAGGTCATTAACAAACATGGGGGAGTGAGGAGAGTGAAAAAAGTAAAAAATGAAGAAGAGGGAGGTAGAAATAAAGAGAGACAGAGGAAAGCATCAAGTATCAAGACAACAACGAACTTGTTATCCCTTTGACGTGATTTGATATTGTGGTTGATGTATGAGTAAATTCAATGCGCTATAATTGTGTAAAAATTCAAATTTCAGACAAGAAGTGGTGTCTGAAACTTTGTATGTGACAGCTGAAAAGTAGTTCCTCTCCTGATTTCATTGAATAATAAATAAAAAGGAAGTGTTTAGAGCTTAGACCACAACACAATAAAATGTTAATGATGTTTCTTTCATTTTCCATGTTTTGTACTGTTAGCCTGCTTAACACTGTACTGTATTCACCCTCACTACTAACTTTTGATACTTAGGATACTTAATATTTCTGCTCAGAACCATGTCCAAGAAATTATACTTCTTATACTACTTTGAGTCGTGTGTGTGTGTGCGCGTTGTGTGTTGTGTGTGTAAAACCTCTCACAAGCGTGATGACTCTCAGAATGGCAGGGTGCAGAAGGCAGCTCTCTCCTGAGCTGAGCAGGCAGTAGATGAGGAATCGGCTCCATGGCTGACACACCATGTACTTTGCTAACAGACACACACACACACACACACACACACACACACACACACACACCACACACACAAACACAGAGAAAAGAAACCCAAGAGGGAGAGAAATGTCTAACTCAGATCAATTCCGTTTCATTTTCCTCTGCTCCTCCTGGTGCAATTACTGTGGTTATGGTTAATGTCTGAAAACCTGTCAAAAGCCACATCAAAACAAACAGCAGGCATGTAAAAAACAAAACAAACCTGTATGCTACAATGCTGGAGATAATATGAGGAAGAATAATGTGACATATACTCTTTTTCATCCGGACACTAACTCTAAAATACCAAACACACGACTATTATAACACATGCATTACCTGCACACATCCACACTCTTTCATTTCCCTTTCATGTGAATACACTTGTACATGTTTTGTCTCTCCGTCTTTGTGGTCACATGTGCACATGTACAGGTAACCTACACTCATTCTACCCCCAACTGTCTCTCTGTCTGGTACCTGTAGTGGGACTCTTCCTCTGAAGGAAGCCCAGCAGGGAGCTTAGACAGTTGACTGAGGCTCTCAGCAGCAACTCGTGCTTCTGAGGAGAAAGAGACATGGTAGATGGTGAAACACAAGAGAGAAGTTCTCTAAAATGTCATATTATTGCAAATGATTTGAGCCGCAGGAAGGGGACGTCTGACTATGTGCTTTCCCTTTGGCAGAAATGGACACAAACACCGCAGCAGATGCACAGGAAACAGACATGGACTACACAGACACCCACAGACACATGCTCACCAATGGACGGAGATATATTCAGGAACAAAAGGGAGAACAAGGGAACACTGGAGAGAGCGACTGAGTGAGGTTTTAATAATGCATGTCTCTCCCACAGAGGCGGTGCTAGCAGTGAGCACTATGTAGCGTCCAAAAATACTGAAGTAGGCCAGGCGGGTATATAGATGGCAATGGAGAGTTACACCCTAATCCTGAGGCGGAGGGGAGGTGATAGGAGAAGAAAGGAGTCAAGAGGATGAGTGGGAGGGGATGAAAGAGCGAGGGAGGTGAAGTGGGTATAGGGGTAAGAGAAAGGACAGATGAGAAGAGGGCAGATGAGGATACAGAGATGAAAGGAGAGGTTAAAATGGGAGCAAAGAACAGTGGTGAAAAGTGAGGAGAAGCAAGAAAGTGGAGGAGAGAATGTGTGAGGAAGCAAAGAGAGGAGCTGCAGTGTTTCCCAGCAAGCCTGAGAATAAAGAGGAAAAGAGAGCAAAGCGGGAGCGAGAAGGAGAGAGAAGGGGAGTAGGGAAGTGTTTCTCATATCAGCTGCTGAACAGCAGACTACAGAGCAGTGAACCATAGAGCTGAAGCTCAGTTCAGCACTACAGTCTTTCACACAGAGAAGAAATGCCACTGGTGTGGAACCAGAGGCTAGCATGCTGCAGCATAACCACCAGATAAAAAAGAAATACACAAGGATGCCCAATTAGTTCCCATAGTTAATTATCTTTAGAACATCAAACTCAAAAATATAAATCTCTCTTGTGCAAATGTGTTTCATTTTTTATTTACTTCTCGTGATCGAAGCATTACAAATTAACTTTAAAATGGGTATCTGTAATATTTCTAATCTATTATATCATTACAATAACTAAATGATGCAGTAATGGCCAGTGTACTAGAAGAGCTGTATTTTGCATGCAAATGAGCATCAAAATGAGCCCAGTGGTATTACACTTCATTAGCTGGAACTTTTTCCAGGTTATTTAATAAACCCATTCAAATACATCACAGGCTTCTAACTCCCTTGGCAACTTTGACACCTTTCCCCTAGTTCAAACACCGCTTTGATTACCTCTCACCGCTGGTCAGGGCGACAGCATGCTGGTAGTTTGGGACATCAGTTTATGTTTTTGTTCTTTACGTATTTGTCTCTGTCTTGAGGTTAAGTTTTAATGAGCTACCACTGCAAAACTGTGGCAAAAGAAATAATTTAGCTATAACCCATGTGCATCTGGACCACCAAGAATTACTTATTAATCTATAAATGTTATACTTTCAAGTTGCTTACCCTCAGAAGAATAAAACACATCAATGTGTGTGGGAACCCTTCATCTTGAATACAACCGCAGATATCTAAAGACAAATTCAATGCGCCAACACAAGGGCAAGGTGATTGTCAGTGACACTGAAGGAAAAACTGTATGTGGCTCTTTTACAACGTCGGCAAGCAAGTTTGATATTTGCCTGTACTGCTCTCCCTCTCACTGCTTCGCCTTCTGTTTGTTCATTCGTCATCAGCGTGCATTGTATCACAATTTTCTCTTTTTGTGCAACTGCATACAGATGTCAGGGTGTTAAAAATAATCTGAACTCCAGTCTGTTTAATGTACAGTCTTGAAGTGAACTGTATTCAAGATGTATCCTATTGCCATTTTATGGTCAAAATGCCACTACTATTGCTCATACTGGAGCTACTCATAAGTCCTGCAAGCCTTGTGATTCATTGATTCACAATGTCTTAGCTTCAGTCATACAGAAAAATTGCACTCTTTATTGTGTGGCTGTTCAGATCGTCCATTAACTGATGTCAGTAAAGGTAGTAGCCAATATACTCCACTACAATTTAGTGCTTCACATTTATGTACAGTGGTGCCTCTGTGTATTGTGATGCTGGAGCAGTGCTTTGATCATAAAGAATTACCACGTTTAAAAACTGTAAAGGCCTGTGAAAGTATCAACATATGCAGTAGTTCAGTGCACAGCAGACGTTTATAGATACCATTCTTTATAATCTCTTTGATGGAAGGTCTATTTACTGCCTTATCTTCGGCACTGGATTCCTCATATTTTGAACCATGTTGGCTCTGTGCTGGCCGCCACCCAGGAGAAGTAGTGCTTCACCTATTTATTGTTAAATGAATGGCGGTGACAAGTCGGCCTCTTTTGTCACAGGCAACCAAAGTCAGTACACCAGCTACATGTAATAACATTTTTGAGACGACTGAGATTGCTCTGGATACGTGTGTTATTCCATTAAGCCAACTGCTGACTCAATAAAAGTCTCATTTTCTACACAAACTTGTTTGTGAAAGGCAGGTTCAATGTTATGCCATTGAGATTACCTTCATGGTGTCTCTGCGGCAGATTAAAGAGTGGGGAGTAAAATATGGGAGGAGAGGCATCGTCATCATATCAGCATTTACACCCACTGCTGTGTGTATCTCTGTTTGAGGATGGATGTGGACAATGATAACTGATGGAATCTTTTGGTTTTTAATTATCTGAATCAACATTTCTGTAAATATTTGTTAGGATCCCAAATAAGCAAATATGTGCTTATAGAATTAAGAACAAAAAGACTGCATTGGAATTATCAGTGTGCAGCTCTCTTCTCCTTTTTCTAAGGACCAACACCTCACTAGCAGGAGGTCATTTTCCTTTATGTTTTCATTATGTACCTGTGTTCATCATGCCACAATTAAAAAAAGACTGCTTTACTATGAAATGTTTTCATTAATACAGTGAGACAAACATTTTATGGAATTTAGGCAAATGCTGTGAGATGCAAACAAAAATGACTTCCTTTCACACTTGAACAGCTGACTCTCCAACCATCACTTGTTGAAAACAATACATTTAGTAGCACTCCACCTTTTCTATACAACAAGGAATTTATGAAATGTTGCCATGGCAGCCCCTGGAGTAGACTCATTATTGTGCCCATAAAGCACAATACTACCCCCGTGCTTATTATTATTAAACTTATTATTATTCTTCCGACGTTTTTCGCGCGCTCTTCTCCCAGAGCTTTGTCGCACATACACAAAAAAGGTATCAAAACGGCGGCTCGTGAGGACATTAGTGCTATGACTTTTCAAGAATTTCGCCAAACGGTTTGCCGGTAAATCGCCAAAACCGGTCCAAAAATGAATGGGTATGCAGAACCTCCAACTGAAAAAACTGCCAGAGTGTGTGACATCATCGCTAGAGTGGGAGAGAAAATTTGTCTAAAAATAAATTTGTAAACTGCTGTCATGGCCACAAATTTCACTCTACAGAAATAATTTATAGATAGAAACGTAGGTAAACCGTTGGGGTCGCAGTGATACCACTGCTGAAGCTGTCAGACAAATAGTTTTGGCGGGAAACGCACTGATGCGCCAGCAACTCCCTCTCACGGCCCCATCTACTCCCATATTAAAATGGAGAGGAGGAATCTTGAAAACGCCGTGAACCTCTTCTCTCTCAATCTCCCCAGGTCACATTTTTTAACTTTAGCCACTGAAACTCGGCAGCCTATAGTCAACAAGATGACGACGCCACGGTGTTTCGGTTTCATTTCGGTCGTTCCTGGCCATGCGTTCGAGGGATTCGTTTTAATTGTTTTCTGTCTCTCTGAGGAGTTAGAGACGAGAGAGCGGCCAGCTGCTGTGGGCTCCCCTGATTGCCATGACAACCAAAGCCCGCCACACACACACACACACACACACACACACACACACACACACAGCTAGCACAGAGAATGACAAGGCATTAATAAGCTAGCTGGCTAGCCCTAGCAAAGATAATAGCAGGTGGCTAACAAGCAAACAATTTAAAGCTGAATGATTTTAATATTAACACAAAATAAGAACAATACACCTTAAATATTTTACCCTACTATGAGCTGTTCCTTAATTTACATTAGCACTCCTTCAGGAGCATAATACAATAAACACATTAACCACAGCTAGCACTTAGCTAGCGATTAGCGGTTAGCTAGCGATTAGCGCACAGCTAGCGATTAGCGCTAGCTAGCGATTACATGTAGCTAGCGATAGCGGATAGCTAGCGATTAGCATGTAGCTAACACTACCATTGGTTTATGTGTTTATATGTGCTAGCTTTAGCCAGCTAGCTAAAGAAATGACATGATATTAATATGCTAGCGCTAGCTAAGGAGGATGACAGGTTATCAATATGCTATAGGAGGATTACATGGCATTAATAATCTAGCGCTAGCTGGCTAGCTAAAGATAATTAGCAGGTGGCTAACAAACAAACAATTTAAAGCTGAATGATTTTAATATTAACACAAAATAAGTTCAATACACCTTAAATATTTTACCCTACTGTGAGCTGTTACTCATTTACATTAGCACTCCTTCAGGAGAATAATACAATTAAACACATTAACCACAGCTAGCACTTAGCTAGCAACTAGCGTAGCACTTAGCTAGCGATTAGCCACAGCTAGCGATTAGCGGTTAGCACGTAGACATGGTATTAACATATGGGCCAGAGCAAGGCACAATCAAAATTGCTTTAGGAATTTTCTAGTTTTAATGTAAAATCCAAATCCACAGAGCTATTTGTGCCAATATTGACTATTGGACGGTATTACTGTTTGCTTAAAGGGTACGCATTATACTCATTTTCTGACTCATATTTTCATTTCAGGGATCTACTAGAAAAAATGTACATGCTTTGGTTTCCTTAAAACACATTCTTTTTCTCATACTGTCCATTGCTGCAGCGCCTCAGTCTGAAACCGTCAGCTCCCATAAGTCTGAGCAGGCACCCCCCACCAACTCCACACGCACGCACGCACGCACGCACGCACGCACGCACGCACACACACACGCACACACACACACACACACACACACACACACACACACACACACACACACACACACAAAACACAGCAGAGTTTCAGGTGCTACCCTGGGTTCTGCCTGCATGTCCCGGAGTGCACACGGCTAAAGTCCACTCAGGTTTAGGAACTAATATAAATGAGAGCGAATAACCAGTTTCCTTTTCACACCTACATACTACTGTGCGCACACACACACTCTCACACACACACACACACACACACAAAGATACATATATTAAACCCCCCCCCCAAGTACTACAACCTGCAAAAGAAGTCCACTGAGAGCAGTTGAGAGGCACTGGGCCCCTCTGCAGCCGAGCGGGTACAAAGCGCCGTCTTCAACCCCCAGGGGTCTGGGCCCGACCAAGCCAGGACCAGTGCTCACACACACCACTGCTGATGCCAGGTCAACATCAAGTAGAGCCTGCAGCAACCTCAAGTAGCTGACTGGACAGAGAAAATGAGACAGAAACCAAAGGGAATTAGGAGGAGATGGAATGCCTGAACACACAGGAGGGAAAGGAGCGAGCAAGCGAAAGGTGGAGAGCGAGGCCACAGGAGAAACAGGTGCATGGTAGAACTGAAAAGAAAAACAGAAAAGAGTGAGTGATTGAACAGAGTGGGAAGTGAAAGTCTGGAATAAAAAAAGACGGTAAAAGCAGGTAGCAGAGGGAACAGAGGCACAGAGGGGAGGCAGAAGTTAACACATGAAAAGAATTGAGGGCAGTTTCTGAATTGATATGTGACAGAAAGGGAGGCCAAGAAATTAAAGATGTCAGTGCCAAGTGTAGAGTGTGTGTGAGGCAGTGAGAGACAGGGTTGATGGAAGGTCAGCAAGACTGAGGGACCAAAGTAGTGATAGAGATAAAGAGAGAGACACGGCCAAAACGATTGCTAAAACACAGTGGGATCCAAGCGGAGAGCAGCCAGACATTTGATTTGCACTTATCCCATGTACACTGAGATTAGAGCTCTCTGAGGGAGGGAGGACTCAATTAGTGGCAGCAGAAGAGAGGGACGAGAGACCTGGCACAGAGACAGAGAGGGAGATGGTTTGATGGAAAAAGAAGGGCAAAATGGGAAGCATAGGGGAGATAAAAAAGAGACAGAGAAGAGGCTGAGTGAGTGAAGGAGCAGAGAAAGACAGAAAAAGAAGGAGAGATAGGCGGCCAGAGGGATGGAGCCGATCCATCACAGCAACCCTGACAGGCCACTTATCCAACTGACAGACAGAGACACAGCAGCAGCAGGGATGATCTGTCTCCGAGTGGTGCAGTGGGATGTGGGGCACTTAATATAATGAAAGTGTGTGAAATTCATGCCCAGGGTTTGGTTACCTCCGCTGAGGATAAAACATTGACAGTCACTTTACCTGTGCAGGAGTATATGTAAGCCAAACGGAGGTGAACCTCATTAGTCTGTCCTGAGGTTTACACAATATATGGACAGTTGCTGTAATAATCAGGGGCGCCTGAGTGTCTGCTGTACTGAGGTATCTTGGTTTTACACACTCTCTAGTGTGTCTGTAATTGCACCGGAGAGTGTAAAATGCACTAACCCTAACCCTAGCAGGATGCAGCTGAGAAGAGATTGAGAGAAGCTACAAAGCAGGGAGGACAGAAACAAATGGGAAAGAGAAAGCATGAGCTCTGCACAAATGCACACATGTAAGATGATTTGCTGATGCTTCAGCTCTATGGTTCATTGCTGATGAACTGTTTTTCAGTGTGTTACCTAGCAAGAGACTGTCTGTGTTTCTTTTCTGAACAAGGAGTCGCTGCACCACTGTGTCCAGACTCCAACTGATGCTCTTGTGGACCTTAAATAATGGAGACAGAGAGATAGAACAAGGAAGAGAGGGGAGAATCAGAAATATAACAAGATTAGTACCAAATATCTCATTGCATGTAAGAATGTACTATCCCTGCAGTGCGAGCAGAGAGCAGAGAAGAAAGTGCATTGTTTTATACCACAGCCTCGAAACAAATACCAATTGGTGTTTGGTATTCTGCGGCCACATCTGAAACTATGCTCTGTTCTACTGTATGTTCTTTGTCTTGCCCTTGACACTGCCTTGCTGTGTTAAGTTCCTGAAGTTGTGATAAGAGCAAAGCTGTGCTGTACTGTGTACCTGAGCGGAGTGAATGCGCTGCAAGGTAATGAGGGAGGACAGGAGTAGATGGCTGCAGCACAGCAGTGCTGAAGGAGGACAGGCTGGAGCAGAGGAGAAGGAGGAGGAGGAGGAGGAGGAGGAGGAGGAAAGGACTGTCTGCAGCTGGTCCATCAGTCCACTGTTGGAGAGCAGCATGGAGACAGCTGGGGAGGAGAAAGCACTATGTCATCACACTTTGATGGCGTCTGTGTAGCAGTTGGTCTGGATGACTGCAGGGTGACGTGCTGCAGGCACCAACCCACAACTATACAAACACACACACACACACACACACACACACACACACACACACACACACACACACACACACACACACACTTTTGGAACATTACAAACTGATAAACTTAGTAAACTTAATACTTTCAGGCACAATCACACATACACACACACACAGGCTTGACCAAGTGCATGGTGGACCTATCTTTTGATATGACTTAATATACAATGTGGAAATAACACTGTTGCAGCAGCAAAAATTAATACATACAAGAGCAAATGCTTCCCATAACACTGGGGTTATATGCAGTACATAGGCAGCCAACCAGGTCAACTGTAAGTACTAGAAAAAACTAAAACTACATATTATTTAAAGATATAATAACCTAGTTTTTCTTTTGAGTTAGAGGGTTGCTATTCCTGTCCTCCTCACCACCAGTTGAAACACCATCTAGCCTGAGGCTGAAGTCACTTGCATCAGTAAAATCACTACTGGTGATGAAGAAGCAGATTGGGAAAGTAGGTAGGCTGCAGCAGAAGTATGAAAAATTGGAAAATGCTATGAGCATAATTAGCTTTGCTTCCCAATTGTATTCCTGCTCTCTGGCCACCAGCCTCACCTCATTAACTATAAACCAGCTCATTGCTGACCTCTGCTGAGGTATTTTGTTTCTTGTTCAGGTTAATTATTTAGCTTGCAATAAAATCAATGCCAATCAATATGCCATGTCAAATGAATTATTTATTTCTTAAAAGGCAGTGTGTCATGATTTGATGCCTCCTGAATGTAAATTATTCTACCATTTATCATATTTTTAGTGGAGTCTATATTTTGGCTCATTGATTCTAATCTTACTGTGAATTTTGTCTTCTCTTGAACAGAGATGTCTAATAAAACCTTTAGAAGACCCACATCTTTCTTATTTTTCTATTACCTCCAAAAATAAAACTAAACTGATTGTGGCATTGTGTGTGCCTTTCTGTGTCTATGTCTGAACTTAGTCTACCAACCATGTGACTGTGGCTGTGTGCATGTGTGCATGGTTTGGTCTATGCGTAACATATATATTTAAACAAGGTGACAACACAACCCCGAGCGCTTGTCGTGCTTCTGTGCAAATATGTGAGCAGCTCTCAGACTTTACAGCATGTAGTGCTAAGTGTCTTATACTATGTACAGGACCAAGACACAGCCTTTGTACCATTACTTAAAGATGTACAGTGGGTGTCAGCTTGTATGCTTATTATTTCTTGTGTCTCCATGCAACATGCTTGTCCAGGTCAGCCTCTCACCTCTGTCAAAATGTGGTAGAGGGAAGTGGAAACAGAGGGACAGTGAGATAGAAACATAATGAGACAGAGGGTGAAGAAAAAGGCAACATGTGGAGATAGAGAGACAGGAAGAAAGGGTGTCTAACCTCTGTCAGTGCAGTGTGCAGGGGACAGACTTAGGCAGCAGTGCAGGTAGCTGAGGGCAGGTAGCAGGCTCTCTGTGTTGGTAGGCTTCAACCTTCCTGCTATATTACTCACTGACACACACACACACACACACACACACACACACACACACACACACACACACACACACACACACACACACACACACACACACACACACACACACACACACACACTTAAGTCTGATGGCTCCCTTATCTAATATTTTATCTGCAGAGCTCTCAAACGCATTGGATAAAAATTTCATTCAAGAGAGACACTGAGACACGATGTGACAGATAAAATGTAACATGATGGGATTCGCCATTTACTGCCTGTCACGTCATCTCTACCACCGGTCAGTAGAGAATGAATTAATCTGCTCTGCCAATGAAAATGTCAAAGATGAGGGACTGTAAAATGTAACTACAAACACAATATGAGGTTTTACTAATGCAGCACAAACAAGTGGTACAGAGGGATGAGAGTCACAGAGGGATGAGGAGTGTTGACATCGAGGCAAAAAGGGAAGAAAATTTGTCTCTAATGATAATATGCTTACAGTTACAATTTGCCAAACATGAGTAGTAAATTTCAGCATTTTCATCTGCAGATCAGCAGCAAGCACTCCTCTGAGTATGTTTGCTGATGATGATATTAAATCAGGCCTCCACTTGGGAAGGAATACAGGTGAATGTGGAGAGAGTTGAGATAGACTCAGCAGGGGCATGTATTCAATTGACAGAAATGAGATGTAAGTGTTATTACTAGATGATTCTGTGTCTGTAATTTAGCATGTGTAAGTGAGAAGTGTCTGTGTGTGAGATAATGTGTGTGTGTTTGTCAGGTTGCCAAGCAAGCATTTTTTTTAATCTACCTCTAATGCAGGGTGTTTGTTTGACTATGTAAAGTAATACAAACAACGTATGGGAATTGTGTGCTCGCATGCTAATAGACGTGTCCCGTGGGGAGAGGAGTCACACACAGTGTGACCTGTCAGCACCTTATGACCTTACCATGGTAGAGCAGCTTAAAGTGCACTCCGTCCATCTTACTGTAGGAGGAAGATGTAGGCGGGTCGCTGGCCTGCGTCTCACAGAGCAGCTTCAGCAGCAGAGGGAGTGAGTTCACCGCTTAACAGAGAGAGACAGAAACAAAGTACGACTGTCAACATACGTGAAAAGGAGGCCAGAGAGGCAGACAGACAGATATATATATATATATATATATATATATATATATATATATAATATATATAAGACAGAAGTTAAACTTAATAAAATAGTGAAGAGAGTAAAAAGATACAACTGTGTGTGTGTGTGTGTGAGAGAGAGAGAGAGATAGAGAAGAGGAAGTGGTGCTGGTGAGAGACAGTCTCATTACTTAGTGATAAGAGTTTCTAAAACAAGTACGAAGATCATGCAGTGACTCTGGGAATCTGGTTTACCAACAACGGTTGGCTGGAGCACAGTCATCATGAGGAAGCAAGAAGACGAAGAAGCAGAAGCAGAAGAAGTATGCACATCTCAGAAATATAAAAGATTACCATGCACACTTTAAATAACAATATTCTGGGTCTGAATCCAGAAGGGATTAAGGGTCAAAGAAACAGAGAGAAAGGAGAGAGGGAGCGTGAAGAGGGAGGCGAGGTATAAGGAGAGCAGGAGTACTCCAACTGTAAAGAGACTGGAGGAAGATCAGGCGTCTACATCTTCTTTCACCCCTGTAGTGGATAACACTGAAATGTCTCCCCTCAGACGATGCCGCCGCATTAGAGGCTAATATAAAGTATATATTAATGCAAATTGCAGTGGGCTGAACTGCAACACGTGCAAAGATAACAGCCAGTAATCCCCACAGGGCCTGGGATGAGCACAAAGCAGGCAGAGGCTAACCACAGCAACAGTCTCTAAATCCCCAGCTGGCACACTGGTGCTGTGCCCTTCAGCTGTGCTCATTAACCTGGTCAAGTATACAGACATAATAACACCATCTGGTAGACACCTCCACCAAAAGCACATCACAGCACCAGATATGCATGCACGTGATGCGCAGTATATCTTAACAGAGTTGAAGCCTTAAAGCTGGAAGCGTGTGCCCTACCACCTTATATGATTTCCCAAGAATCAAACCAACACTGAACACCAGAAACATTTTCAATGAAAAACGCAGAGTAAAAAAATACTTCCTCTCAGCACTGAGAGCATCTTCACTTACAGAGTTGTCAGTGTTTTTAAACGTTTTATAATTCTAAATTTTACAAGTTTGGTCATCTGTTCATTCCCATCTCCTCTGAAGAGATTTTAATTAGCTGTAATTAACATGAAGATTCATTAACTCTAAACTTGTATGATGATGACATGATCATAAATAATAATAAATTGTAATGTTTTACAAGATGGGTTTTCGTTGACGATTTGATAGATTCTATAGCAGACAGTAAACTGGAAGCAGAGCTGTTATATATATATACATACATACATGTATAATGTCTCTTATATACTGTACATTGCACAATATGTTGTAATTGAAGAAAAAGTTTGATTTAATATTTAATCTACCTTCCTCAAAAAAGCTGCACTTTCCCTGGTCTTAGTTTATTTCATCTGAATAATGGAATTTAGGACTAATACTATTAGAACAAAGCTGACACAAACACAACAGTTTCCCTCTCTCAAATGTATATATAAGGATACAAAACCCATGTATGATAGCAACCTTATGCACACTGATACTACTGCATGTTGAATCAAGATCAATACCATATGCTTAATTCGGGAGAGTCATCTAGATAAACAAGTATCTCACTTCCCACCGTCTGTACCGACAAGGGATGTTGGGAGGATTTGTTTTAACAGAGGATTAATGGTTCCTCCCTGCCAACATTAATCAGAAGCGACAGTGTTCTGGGAACTGTTTTGCCATTTCAATCCAATTTAAAAACAACCAAGTTTTAGGAGACACTTTGTGATTACACTTCGGTTAAAACGAAGTTTTACTGGCAGGACAGTTAAGACAAATAGCACCACCACAAGCCACATTTACTGCGTGTAAACTAACCATAAAGCTAAGTTCAATCTATCTTCATGTGTTTACCCCTATGAAAGGTGTCCCAGAGTAAGAACATGAACATATTTTTTGGAGAATTTAGTATAATCAGATATTTGACAGAGACAGAATTCTACTGTCTCTTAATGTGCCCGTAATCAGCCTGCTTTTAATTGTGCCGTTATAACGAGGTGCAGTTTGAACAGTTGTTAGAGCCATCAGAAAGAAAATGTTGCCTAGCCGAATGGCCCGACGCAGGTATTCTTTCAAATGATCCAACATGTGAGAATAGTTACACTAAGTGCTTTCCATTATGTTGCAAAAGAACACCATGCCAAATGGACCTATTAATCCATGCACAATGCTTTATTGATGTTTTACTGCTCTTTATATCAATTGTTATTTTCACATCATTATTTAAATGCCCTACATAATTTGTTGGCCTACTCAGATCAAGTTTGTGGAGTTGAGGATGAACACATTTTTAAAACTTTGAGGATTTTTAAGAATTCAAACCCATCATCTGAATGAATATATATAAATGAGAGATTGACAGCCTGACACAAGTTTCATACATCAACACACGATTTACCAATTTCTAGAAGTTAGCTTTAAGCAATGTATATGTATACTTTTGGTATGCCAGTGAAGCAAGTTTCAGTGGCCTTTTTCGATGCTGTTCACTCACATTTTATTTATTGCCAGAACTTTCTCACAGCTGGAGAGTGTAGCCATGCAAGTCGTACTGTCAGTGTCCTCACCTCAGCCTCTTCTTTTCACCTGCCACAATGTGCTTGGGACACAACTCCAAACTCTAAAAACTACAAAGTAGCAAGACTTGGCATTTTTCACTAAAGCCCCTACAATGCCTAAGCGGTTGTGTTTCTGTCGCTTAGTTTAACTGATTTCAAGGGGAATCTGACTGAATCTGGTAGCAGGTAATACAGTTAACTGTATAGAAGCAGCTAATTTTCTCGCTGATGGTCTTGTTTGTTTATGAAGGTCATACAGACCAGTACTAAATGATGAAAAAGAGGTCTCTTAAGGAAAAAGGTTGGGAACCACAGCTATAAATTAGTATTGAGACCATAACCAGTTAAAAATATTCCTGCAGTATGCTTAAGCTTAGAGGCAAACGGGCATTGTGGTAAGACAATGTGAAACACAAGTTTGCATTATTTAGTTAAATGAAAATTGGTATCTTAGATATCAAAATGTTTGAACAATGAACACTATGTATTTCTAGTCTCCACAGTAATCATGCGAGTTGAAGTGTAAACTGTTTTCTTCATAAAGTCTTGATCACATCAAAATGTTTGTTGTACAGCGTGTGAGGAACACAATGTAGTGGGAATTCTGGGGAGAGCCAGTTAACCAAAAATAGCTTTTCTTAATCAAAAATAACTTTCAAGTCAATATGAAGAGATGGCCATCTGAGACCAAATAGCCCAAGGTGTTTTTCTGCAGCTGTCTGTTTATAAAGCTGAGATTTAATTAACTCTTTCAGTGTTTGCTGTGTGTAGAGAAAAAAAAAGACTGTCATGGTGCATTTATTCTTATTACATCTCACGGTGCAGGAGCAGGTAAACCTTTGATTATATGTTTGTGATTATATGTTTATGTTTATGTGAGTGTGTATGAGCTTGTATCGTGCAGGCAAGAGACAATTTAATTAAAAGCTTGCTATATTTGCTATACTAAGTTTTAATGTGTAAGACTGAGGCAGAAACACAGCCAGGATTAAAACAAAACACTGTCTGCCGCATCATAAAACATAAACTGAGGGGAATAAACAGCAACATTTACCTCAATCTATCCCCTGCAATTAACTGTATCTGTGCTTTAATGAGCTATAAGTGGGCGGCAAATCAAATCAGTTGGCATTAATGTTGATACGTGATTGTGAATGATGACTGCTGTAGAAAAACAGTTTTTGAATGAGAAACTGAATGTATAAATGCAGCGGCGTGTTCTGTAGGGGTGTGTGAGCAGACTCTGGCTCAGGAGGTACAGCGGGTTGTCTACTAATAAAAAGGTTGGCAGTTTGATCCCCAGTTCCTCTTGAATGAATGTGACATGTAGCGTAAAGCACTTTGAGTGGTCAAAAGACTAGAAAGGTGTTAAATGTACAGTCCATTTACCATTCTGTAGCCCTACGAGACATAAAGGTATTAATGTATAGTGAACCTCTGTGTATGACTAATTTTAGGTAGAATAAGGACAGGTGACTCCTTAAAGGGTGTAACGTGTGGGCACAGCAGGGGCCAGTAAGCTTTCAGAGACACAGTGTAGGTTTCGATGTCGGAAGAGAAAAACCAATGGCCAATGGTTTTATGGCCCATGAGGAGGTTACCTCATGAAGTGATCTGACTGTGGTCAATGTGATTTAGAAGAATAAATAGGTCTGCGTGTGTGTGTCTGTGAGTCTGCGTGATTGTGCATTTATGTGTGCATGAATTGGTAATGTGGTATTTGATCGTACACAAGTGTGATCAGCTCCATAATATGTTCAAAACTGCCTGATTGAGGCCCATTCATTTTAAATGAAAGAATCCATTACTGTGCTGCAGGCAAATGAAACTGTCATAAAGCATTTATGTTGTCTGATTCATCTCTGCATCTCCTATTAATTGCTAGTAGAAGTGTAAATTAAAGGTCCAGTATGTAACATTTAGGTGTATTTATTGGAAGAAATGGAATATAATATTGATCATTATGTTTTCATTAGTGTATAATCACCTGAAAATAACAATCGGTGTGTTTTTGTTACCTTAGAATGAGATAGGGAGCGGGTTGTCTTCTAGGGAGCCCACCAGTTTGCACAGCCATGTTTCTGCAGTAGCCCAGAACGGACAAACCAACCAGATTCTAGATAGGGCCTTCTCTACCTAACCGCATGACACTAAATCCAACACACTGGTCCCATAAAACTGCTGTTTCAATTTTCATCACAATCTCCATGAAGGAGGAAAAAAACAGGACCTCACTGATTTTGAAATGACAGTTTATCATTTTCTTTCATTACTGTACATCCCACATCCATAAACTTGAGCCACGGGGTAGTTACACTGATCCATGCAAAGATCTTTACCTCAAAATGTTTTTTCTTTGGGGATGCAACAGCTATTTCTACAATACTTTGATACATTTATACACTCTGCTTTTGCGAGTTAATGTTTCTTACCCTGTGCAATGTGTCCCTGTCCAAACCCGGGGCCCAAGTTCTCCATACTGAGCCTCTGTAAAGCCTGGAGCAGAGCTGGCCTAAGATTGGCACACAAATCTGCCTCATAGTCTTTCTGACCACGCAAGAGAACTTCCAGCACCCTGAGTGCCCGCCCTGCCAGGGGGGCCTCCCTGGTGCAGACCATGTCCTGAGGTCATACAGACAGACAGTCAAACAGAGAGATAGACACAAGCTTTAAAACAGAATTATTTAGAATATATTTTTCTACCAGCACTGTCCTTAATGCACCCAAGGCGTCCAGCTACTCCAGCAGGTTAAACACAAACACATGTTTTACACAAACTATGGGACCAAGTCTTATTACTGTTTCAGGATTGACAGATAGTTCTATTTGGGTGTGAAACAACGCAGCACATCAGCCAGCATTTAAAAGTATTTTCACTTTAATGTGGCCAACTTCCAAGTTTCTGTTTGGTCTGTGGTTCTCACCAGGAGGGTCAGTATGACAGCTGGGTACTTCTCTATCAGAGTCAGTAGCTCCATAGTTTCTGTGTCCGGCTCCTGATCCTGCCTCTCATGTGCACAGCTTTCTCCCTTCTCTTGTATGTCTGCCTGTACACGAGAATAAAATCCAACCACCTTTTCATAAATTCAGTGAGTTCAAAGGGAAGTAAAAACACACAGTAATTCATCCAATCTCTAACTCTGTTGAAGTGAAATGAATTAGAGGGTAACAAGTTACGTGTGTGCAATCAAATCGCTAAAATGATTTGTGAGTCTGAGATAGAAGTGAAACAACTGTCCCCTCACCATGGTCTGCTCTGCATCTGCGTGCTGTGCTTGTTTGGTCAACCAAAGTTCCAAGACCAGGGGCCCAAATTTCTCTGCTAGCTCCGGATAGCGACAGATGAAGTGGAGGAGTGCAGGGTGGTGAATGTAGAGGGAAGAGAAGCTTTGGCAGGAGGAGAGTGCCTTGCTGATGCAGTTAAAATGAGCCTTGAGTAGGTTGGTAAAGAAAAATTGAAAAAGCCAAAGAACTTTCTTTGAGATGAGCATACACACACACAAGTCAAAAGGTTTTGAAAATAATTTTCTTCACAAACCAAATATGAGACTTTTAAACCTTACTGAGGCAGAGCTCTCAGCCACAGCAGGAGGTCTCCCGTAATCTATTGCTTGTTTATATTCGTAGTCAACATAAAGTATGTAGCATGAAATACTTTCGGAGAAGCTGCAAGACAAAGTTTTGCCACGTAGTGTTAATTGAACTAAGTACGTTATTTTGGAAAAAATGTATTTGTATAGCTCTACAAAAGCTATAGAACTAGGATTAATATTCTTGCCTGCTGAATCATCAACAGCAGAATATGGATTTTGTATCAAAAGATGAATATGAGCTGTCAAGCTATGATTCTGAGTATTCCTTGGCCTCCACATTAAAGTCTACATATTGAACCACACAGTACTATAGCTCCAGTACATGCTGTTCTCTTTCCCTGTGCCAAGGAAAAACATCCCGTTAAACCTATTTCAACTAATATAATTTTTTTTCACATTGTTAGGTTGACTCACTGAACAGAAAAGGAAGGAGAATATTTTAAATTGAGGCAGACTACTTTTTTAAATATCACATTTTAGTAAGCAAGGCAAAGGCAAATCCAAAAAATGGCAATGTTCCACTGGAAAGCATAAAACTGAGCTTAAACCTTTCTTAAACTAACCTTGATGTGTATATCTACTGTACTACCTTTCTAAGTTAGAGTATGTTTTGATTTCTGTTCAGTGAGCTGATCAGAATTACCCCGTCGAGGTTGGGGCTCTTGTCTTGTGTCATTGCCAGCAGGTAGAGGGCAGAGCGGAGCACAGAGAGAGGCAGGGCACAGCCGCCCTGCTCCTGCACCGAGCGCAACAGCCACACCACACTGGAGAACACTGTCTGGTCTGGGAGGAGCCTGGATCACATGCACACAGACACAAAACATGCACAAAAATGATGACATTGCCTTAGAATATTTAAAGTACACATAGATGTGGCTAAACATTTACATTCTGGGTTATACAAACACACAGACGCACATACACTTGAATGTCAAACACGCCTCAGCAGATACGTTCAGGGTGAGGGTATTGAAGTGGACAAACACATCAGCTGTCTGCAAAGCAGACAAAGTGCTTCAGGGGCATGTTGATGTCATACACTTGCAATCTCTCTTTCTCACACAAAAATACACACATCTATACCAACACATATTCAGAGATCCTATCCGTGACTACACACACACTCAGCCCTCCCACACTATGTAAATGTCTGGCCACAGCTCCCATTAATCTTGATGAGACCACACAGTGGCAGGGAGAGGCTTTCATCCCCTTCCCTGGGGGGTAATGCATAGCCGAGGTTCCGCAAAAGGACAGATTAAACTTTCCAAAGAAGCCGACGTATCTCTGAGGTAAAATAAAATATGTACTTAAAAAACAGCCCCGATGGGCTGCAGCAGTGCCGCTGGAGCAGGGAGAGCGCTGCAGCGATGTGTCAAACCAGCTGGTAGAGCTGAGTTATATATTGATATACTGACACTAGATATTGTTTGGGATTTTGGTTATTTCATTATTGTGATATAGCTCAAATGTTCCCTTTTCTGCTCCCAAGGGCTGCATTACAGCAAATTGGTTAATTGTGAAGTATTCATGTATTTATTCAATTAAATTATTATTATTATATTAGTTACAAAACTTCAGCTGGGTAAAATGACAACAACTCTGTTTAATAAATGGACTGCACTTACATAGTGCCTTTCTAGTTTTCCAAACATTCAAAGCACTTTACACCACATGTCACATTCATCCATTCAGGCAGTTGGCACAGCATCAGGGGTAATTTGGGGTTCAGCATCTTGCCCAAAGACACTTTGACATGTCGAGGAATCTTCTCTCTGATCAGTGGATGACCTGCTCCACCTCCTGAGCCACAGCCATCTCCACATTAGCACTAGTTTCTCAAGGTTAATTAAAGTGTCAAATATCTCTGGAAGCACCTTAACATTTATAAAGTCTTTTCAGGTTGTAATATTCGATTCTGTCGACATCGCCAAGCCATACCTAATATGGAGTATAGAGATGTTTGACATTTTACTCTTTATATTTATGAACTACAGCGTCAGATAATACTGCTCAAAGACTATTTGGGCTGTGAAAATTGATGTTACTATGGGAGAACAAAGTCAGTACTTTTGGATCACACTATGCTCTCTCTTCTTACCATACCACTCTGCAGCAGCACCAGGCACAAGTGAGATTAAAATGCTTTTCACTGATGCTGAAAATATTGGTTAATTCCATTTACACAAAAATACCAGCTCAGAACATAAGATTTTCCAACTTTTTAACTCTTTGAAATGTTGCAACATTACTGTATGAATCCCTGTATGATTTGTGGATGCGCATGTCGGTCTTTACATTTTTCTTGTGTTTATTCATGTTATCTGTTGATTGGTGGTACTCTATGTCATCCAGTGGCCAGTCCAGACTGTGTGTGTGTGTGTGTGTATGTATATGTGTGTGCGTGCACACTGTATTACCTGTCTCCTTGCTGCAGGACAATATGTAGTATTATCAGAAGACAGTACTGTGTGGCCCTTGGTCCTTTATTTTCACACAGTTGGAGTCCCGGGGCCTCACACAGTAGAGAGGGCCAGTCTGACATACGACAACACAGAGAGGGAAGGTTGTATAGCAGAAGATTTTCAACCTCCTCAACATCTGGGGGATGAGCCAAGAAATAAAACAGAAAGGAAAATGGTTTAATAATCAATTCAAGAAACAGGGACAAGATGAGAGAGGCTGAGAGAGAGAGAGAAGAAAGAGGAAAGGATATGGATTAAGGAGAGATTTGATGGAATAAAGTAAAGCAAAGCAGAAGAGGCCCTGAGGTCTCGTTTACAAAGGAGCATTACTCACCAATTTTGTCTCTAAAGCCAAGCCAAAGCTGAGGGTTATGAAAACAAAATCACCCGGGGGTGAAAATGTGTGGGTTTACACTGTTTCACTCTTTTCCAATTATCTATCTTGTATCCAAACATAAAGCCAATATCCATCATTAACCAAGATATGGATGTCATGGACGCGTATATTCAATTTTTATCATTCTTTGAGAAACGATATTATGTAATACAGCAAAATTAACGGCTTTTTTTTTCATAAATGAGGGCCCTAAAGAATAGCATTTGGAATGAGGAGTGTATGAAAGACAGTGAGAAGTGAAACTGCATGGGAGAGCTGGATGAAGACAGGAGGGCCAGTGTGATATAGTGCACTTCCTCAAGGACTTGAGGCCAAAGGACTCAGACAGGGGGCAACGAAAAGGGATATATGTAAATAAACAATACTGCATAAAATGGTAAGAGAAAAAAGAACCACAGAAGAGACAAAAGGGGAGGTGAGATGTGAAGTACAGCAGGGAATTCAGATATTTTTCTGAAACAGCTAAAATAGTAGGACCATATCTGGGTTATCTTTAGGGAACTGCAGAGAAAGAGAAGAGGGGCGAGGGAAGAAAAGACTGGGAGAGGGAGAGGAAAATGAGATGCAGCTGAAAGAGAACAGCATAGAAAGAGAGGGGGAAACAGAAAAGAGGGCCACTGAAATGTGGCACTGAGTAGAGAAAATGGTGCTGTGCAATGCAGCCTCTTGCAGGTCTGGGGAAAAATCGAGGAGCGAGGAAGGAAACAACACCATATTCAGTGTATGAGGGAATCACAAGAAAGAAGGGGCAGAGCAGAGAGAAGAATGACAAAGAAGGCACAGGGAGATGGCAGACAGGGATGGGGGTCACTGATGCATGACTACACAGAGCATATAAAGCCAAAGCAGGGTCTGTAGGGAGAGAGACTACCAATCAGCCAGAGAGAGGAAAACAAAGTGAAGAAGGGAACGGGTGTTAGAAATACAGAAAGAGGAGGAGAGATACATTTAAACAGGAACTAAAGGGGCAGGTGGCCAGCTTGTAGAAGGCTGCAGACAGAGAGCACTGTGGTCCAGAGGGGCCGCTGTGGAGAAAGAGTAAGAGATGAATGGTATTGTTTGAAAAAATGAAAAAAAGGAAAAACAGGAGAGGGCCACGAGACAGCGATGCAGCCTTCACATCCAGGGAACTGGTCGAGAAGAGCAGCAGGAAGAAGAATAGAAGGGTGTATTACAATGTCTCAAAGGGAGGACTGGGAGAGAGAGGAAGACAACGAAGGGCAGACAGATGAAGAAGATGAGAATGGAACAGATGGGAGAAAGAAAGCAGACCTACAAAGCAGGTGGCAATGACATGTTGCCTCCTGCTCAGATTTCAATCAACAGAAAATAATAAATAGAGAAATGTTTCCTTAAATATTCACACAGCTGTTGTACAATTAGACAGCTATACACAAGTATAAATGATATACTTTGGTATCAGAGAGCAATTCAATCAAAACACAAAACAGAGAGCGTGTACAGAAGACGGTTAGGACAACCAGCAAAACTAAATACTGGTTAACAACGTTCAAAATAAAGTTAAACATGAACTTTTTGAACAAGAAAAATATTTAACATAAAATAGGATGGTAAAATTCAAGATGAGAGCAACTAGGAATGAAAGAAAGCTGAAAATGAAACTGAAACAGATAAGGGTGATAAAAGGGAGGACGATGTTGACAGACAGAAAAAAGGAACAAACAGCAGTCCACAGAAATCATTATTCACAGCCACAATCACACATAAACAAATTCCCATGCAGCATGTACACACACACAGACACACACACAGACACACACACAGACACACACACAGACACACACACGCACTTGCGTGTATAACTCTTACATTTCATTACCTCAAACAAATATTTTACTCAAAGGTGTTCTCAATGACACATCATGTCTCCTGGGACCAAATGCAGTTTCCAACAATTTATTTTTTATTTTTTGTGTTTTTACTTTTTTTTTTTGATAACATTTACTTCAGTCTCACCCATTTCAGAAGCAATGGCTCTTTAATTTGAAGTGTTATCTGTGTTGTCACAATGTGCATTGACATTTAAGAGACTTAGCATCAGCTCTTTCCCCCAAGAATCAGCAAGCAAACCCAATTCAGTGTCCAGTATTCAAGGCTATTTAACACATACATGTTTACAGTACACACATCTGCTATAGCTATTGTTTTGTGACTTTTCTACAATGGGATTAAGAGAGACATGTGTGCAACAAAGAGAAACTGTATGAACTGAAATGTAACATATTTACTTTTTAGTGTAATCATTTTGTTAGTTTACGCCAGTGAGTCTAGAACAAAATGGATTTTTGTTTCACAAGCTCTCTGTTTTGTTTGTTTTATCACAAAATGCCTAATTAATGTCAAATAAACTCGAGCTTGACTTAGTTTGTTGATACTTCCTTGATCTGTTCATTCAATGCAACCAGGTGGCACATTAAATTTAACTGGAAAGGCATTTACAGTTGTTCACAGGGATTAAGATGGGCACTTCTACATGGACACTAAAATTCTTTAATATATTTATATTTTATAGATCGGAAATAAATTGATTGGAACAACTGACCTACACACAACAAACAGCTGAAGTGTTGAACAGTATTAACGGTTCTGTTCAACGCTTAGCTCACCAGATAGCAGGTACTATGACAGCATTGCTTGGAAGTTGACAGGACTAACAGGGTTTTACTGGTGCTGCGTGTAGCTCTGTGTAATGTGCAAGTGTGTGTGGGCATTTATTTGCATACCGTGCTGGAAGGCCCCATAAGCAGGGTCTGACTGGGAAAGCAGACACATACTGAGTTTCTGTAGAAAACCACAGGCAGATGCATTCAGATTTGGGTTCCTGAAAGAATTGGTAAGGGGCAGAAAAACACACAAGAGGCAGAGCAAATAAACATCAATACAAATAAAAGCACAGGAAACCTGCAGAAATAAAGAAAGAACGAGGGCTTCTGAAACAGGCAGAGCATATGTCCTGCACAACGCACGGTCAAAACAGTGAGGAGCCAACTGTGACGCACAGGGCAGGATGTGCCTTAACTTAGTCCTTTCAAATATGACACACGCATGGCATGGTTCAGTTTCATTACAGCTCAGAGCAGGGGGGCCTAAAACCTACAGCGTTAACCACATTTATGACCACGCGAAAGCACACACAGACACACAAAAGCACGTATGCCTACAGACATAAACTGAAAAATCTAAACACACACACTCACACAAACACACACGGCAGACTTTGAAGCTGGAGATCTAATGCTCTGAGACAGACACACTGCTGAGAAGACTGGCTTATTGGAAAAAAAAGTAGACAGAGTGAGTCAGAAATGACAGATGCCTCAGCCATGTTATCTGTCTCATTGTTCATTGCGCTCCGACAGAGAATGATAATAAGAACTCAACTTTCTGAGCCACCGTGGTTTAACACACACACACACACACACACGCACACGCACACGCACACACACACACACACACACACACAGAGCTAAACATTGTAGACAGCAGTTCTTTGTTAATTGCTGTGTATATCGGTGTATGTTTGTGTGTGTCTGTGTGTGTGTGTGTGTGTGTGTGTGTGTCCTCAGGTTATCCTGTTACACTGTACAGTACCTGTTTCCTGCACAGAGGAGCCCTTTGTGTTCCAGAGCCAGCCGGTAGAAACCAGAGGACGCTGGAGGGGAGAGGAGAATAAAAGAAGGATGAGACAACAAGAAATGAGGAAGAGGAGAAGAGCAGTAATAAAAGCACAATTTATATAACACCTTTCAAAACAAAAGTTACACAGTACATCACAGACAGAAGAGAAACAAAAACATGACAATTAAAAAGTACAAAAAAGTTTAAAAGTACTTAAAAGAGAAGGAGAAGGCGTAAAAAGGAGGAGAAAGAGGAAGAATGAGATGAGAGAAAGGGAGAGATAGAAACTTATCTTTATGCCAGACATCAGCCAAATGATTCAGTCTCAGTTCATGATCCCCAAACCTCCATATTTTAATTACACATTCGTTTTCAAGCTACTTTTCAAGTCCCTACTGATCCTTCAGGGGGGAAAGCTCATCGTTTGGCTACATTGGAGGTAATGGGACAGAAGTCCTATTTTAATTCTATGGGGGGGGGAAAAGCTATATCATAAAAGCTGTATTTAATATCTTGGCCGTTTCAGTGCTGTGGTGAGAAAGAACAGTCCTCACTTATTAGAGGGAACTATTAATTTCATAAAGCTACTAACTCACTCTCTTGTGGACATATGCCAAAGAACCGCTCAGCCATATCTGCAGAAAACGGTTGTGCTTTATTAACCGCTTGCAGCATAAATATAAAGCGCAAGTTTCTTTTTATTGCCACCAAGCTGGCTGAGGGTAGATGGCCAAGGCAACAAGCTTCCTGTCAATAAGTGAGGCTTGTGATGTGGACTGCCAGCATTGGATAGATTGCTCAGTTTCCCCCCTACACTGATATGAAATTTCATCAAATCAACAGTCAGGCATTTAGCCTTATCTTTGATGAGAGCAGAATCAATAGTTGGCATTGCTGTTTCTGCCATAATTCTAAACTGCATACGATATGGATTTGTTTTTAAAAATTACCAAACTACAGAAATAGAAATGTTCAGTGGTGCAGAGGAGAACACAATCTGTTATGTGATAATGAAATGAAATTAAGTTTATTGCTCTAGCTGGGAAATGGGCTTTATAGTGAAATTTATTTTTGTTTCTGCTTATTTAATTTAGTTAGACATTTAAGGCTTTAAGTATTGTAACCAAGGTATCATGGCAACGACGGGGCATGTAGAATAGATCTGGCTGCACAGTTAATTTGTTATCTTTTTGCTTTTATTACTGAAGCATGTTTTACTTATTTTAGAAATACACTCAGTATTAGAGAAAGAAGTACAGGGTTTGGATTGGGCGCAGAGGACCATGAGACGATCACAGCACTCAGCTGATTCTCCCCATCACCCCCAGGAAGAGAGCCGGGATAAGAGCTAAGCTAAGGCAGCTTGGACATAAGGCTATTTCACTACCCAGCCTAGTCCTGGCTAATGTCTGGTCACATAAAATGGATGAAATAAGACCAACTAACTCAGCAATGGGACATTAGAGACTGCTGTACCCTCATCTTCACTGACACGTTCCACACTGACAGAATGTAAGACTTTACATCTATGATGCTTGGTACTCACATGAGGTTACAGTGGATAGACAATGGTCACCAGATGTGGAATTTTTACTGTTATAATGTTGGCCATATTATCTGAGAATTCACCAGTGTGTTTGTTGCTGCCACCCAGAAGAATCATATCAGTCTTGAGGAATATACATCATCAGTGACATCAGCAAATGTGTAGATGATGTGGTGATACCGAGGACAGTAAAATGGAGACTGAATGAAGAATGGACACCACACATCCACCACCATAGGCCGGATTTAAAACAACGAGGAGACTTGAGGAAATCAACAATCTTGCAAAGTGGTGCTCAGAGAACAACCGTCTGCTCAACATCAGCAAAACCAAGGAGCTGATTGTTGATTTTAGGAAAAAAGAGACAAATACACACCACTGTAGATAAAAAAAACAAAAGAACAATTCTTATTTCCAGGCCATTTCCACAATGAAAACATGCCTATGAATATTATATTCCATTTCTGCCAATAGATCACACTGGGCTAATATCAAAACATGAGCCTTCTCTGTACCAGCTCATCACAGTTTAACAAAACTTTAGCTTTAAATTTAGCTCTGAAGAGAAAATCTGAAGAGAAACACCATCCATCATCTTAAAATACGTCCATAAAGTCTTGTTTTATTGTTTAAATAAGCAGCTTATTTATCAAATTTCAATTCTGACATTGGTTGACTATACCAGATATACTCTATGTCCAGTGTGAAGGGGAGAAACCATACACCACCACTTTGCTGCCATGAAACTAGAAGACAGGATTTATGATACTGAAATCTAATCAAATCATGGAACACTTGCTGTAGATGTGAGGTTATACAGAGTTATCCAACTTACCTAGCTTATTTGCAAAGACAGGCATGAGGGACGGAACGAGGGTGAACTGGGAGGACAGGATGGAGTAGAAGTGCTGCAGTATCTGAGCGTTGGGTGCACGCTCACACATCTTCTACACAGACACAGACACACACACACACACACACACACACACACACACACACACACACACACACACACACACACACACACACACACACACACACACACACACACACACACACACACACACACACACACACACACAGGCAATCACAGACAAATCACCATTCTTGTCTGATTGATTTTTAGCCTGAATAGAACTAACTTTACAAACAGAGGTACTGATCGATAGGCTCAAATGTCTGTGTGTACAAACTAATGAATATTGATAAGCACAGCAACACAGCCTTGCTGTGCTTATTAATACAGTCATTTAGAGGAACAGCCAGACAGAGTAAGGTAATCATTGTGACCTATTTTTCAGAAAAGAGATAGGACAAATTGTAGGATCATTCTCTCAGCTGATTAGTTACAAGTGTGTGTCACAGAGAGACAGAAGTTTAAGATGAGATACATAATGAGTCGGATATGTGCATCTGTGTGTGTGTGTGTGCTTCCAGCTCTCACAATGACAGTGGGTATCCAGACGGAGTCACAGCAGCGCAGCAGACACTGACACAGAGACTCCAGTGAGTCCTGAGCATGGCCATGTTTAGATGGAGCTGTGAACGTGTTCTCCTTCAGAAGAGGCTCTGATGCACACTCCTCAGCCAACCTTGGACACACACGTACACAATAAATGCAAACACACCCACTCACAAACATGAAAAAAATGACAACAGACAGACACACAGGAATATAGGTACACGTGCATACCAACTCCCTCATCTACACTTCAATTTAAAAACTCTGCTTGTGGGATGAAAATATAACATTCGAGGACTCCATTATATTCACATTTTGCATATCAAGTGATTTAATAAAATACTTAATACTTAAAACAAGTCTTTCAGAAACAAGTCAGATTTCTTATTGGTATGAAAAAAACAAACCTTAAGATATTTTGAAGTGCAGGATCGATCAACAATGAAAAAACAACCAAAGACTGAGCACTTTCTCTGTACACTAGTGAGTCAGTCTATTCACGTCCCAGTGATCCCATTTAACTCTCTGAACATGTCTGAACTGGACAATGCCCTGACCTGCAGGCAGCCTGAAAACAGACCAGCGCCTGGAGCAGAAATCCTTCAGACCTAGAAGCCTGACTACTGTGGTCTGACCTCTTCAGACTGCCCTGAGGACAAAAGAGAGAGAGATGAGGGGAAAGCTAAAGAACCCAAGTGAGACTAAAGAGGAGAGAAGGGACTAGAAGTAGAGCAAGAGACAAATCTGATCACATCCTATCACATCACAAATCCTATCAAAGCAAATTGCCCAAACAGATTCATATAAAACTTCTCCATTAAGACAGACCCTGAGATCTTTTTGTGTTTCTTCAGTGAAAGTTCCTATTGACACCTGGTATAAAGACTAATCTTAATCTTGTATCTGTATTGTGCCTCAGAGTGATTAAAGAGGTTCTGCACACTAAACGTTTTTTGAGCCGTAAACTGAATTATATGACTATACTGTGATGAAACCATCAATTCTGGTGTTGAAAACTCACATTATTATTAAGTTTATGAAAATCTGCATTATGTGGCTTAAAAACGACTCAGCATGCCCTCTACTGTTTTAAATCACACTGTACGTTTTAAGAAAAATGCTGAGATAGAGACTACCATTTGGGTTTATGTCAGAACATCTATCTATGAAGCAAGAAATCTCTGTCTGTATGTCTGTCTGTGTGTGTGTGTGTGTGTGGCTCAAATATCTCTGCAGATCAGGATCAGACTGACCTGAGATTTTCAACATGGCTGCTGTGTGGTTTAAGGGTGTGCAACGTCGGCTTTGTTTGGACTATAAAGATTCAGTTAATAAATTATTATTTCATAAATTATTTCCGAATTCCACTAGCATTGTCAATGACAGCCACCGTAGCCACGTGCGCACCAGAGCCAATCACTGCAGAGCCCAAACATCCTGGAAAGCGAAAGTAAACTGATGTCTCGGTCCGGAGGGCTGGCGGTTGCGTAATTTTTGATCACAAACACTCCGTGAGTTTTTCACCGATGACAGACACTGTTTTTCGGGCAGAAATGTAACGGAAGAGTCAGTAAGACAGGCGGGAGGACAGACAGGAGGACAGACAGTACGCTTCTCCACGTACAGCTGTGGTATTTTTTTTCGTCGTGTAAGTTTCCAAAGACAGTTACAGTTACTACGTTACTGTTGTTTGGTCCTGTTACGTTGCTTAGTGGGACATTTCTCTTTATTAAGTTGAGTGAGAGACCTGTGCAGTTATCAGACTGTCTGACCGACACGCCCTCGCTCCGCGCCGTCGGCTTATCCGTTCACACTATTTTGGTAGTTTCAAAACAATTTTTTGATGTGGAAACCCTTACTGCCATTTCTCTCTCTCTCTCTCTCTCTCTCTCTCTCTCTCTCTGATGTATGTTAGCCTATATTACAGGGCTAATAATATGTCCTGCCCAGTTCATTTACTAGGCTCTGCTACAAGTTAGTCTGTTTGTGCTGCCAGGTTGCATCCTATTTCAGATGTAGTTCACTTTCTTCTTTCAGAATTTATATGCGCTGACCATGAGGTGTGGTACTTTCACATTAGTAGAATGGGGTTCAACTCCCTACAGTGTCCTTGCTAAAAGACAAATTATATGAAAACACAATAGTTATCAATCTACACATTTCACAACAAACCTAAATGTCCCTGACGTCCCACCTTCAAACACAACCTCATTTGGCCATCCATGAAAAAGCTACTTAACCTCCCATTTTCTATAGCAATACATACTTCCCACGGGCACTGCACTAGTTTATATAAAGACAGTGTTAACTCCCTCAGACGAGGGCAGCCCACCTCCCCCAGCCTCCGATTTGAGTGGGAGTCTGTGAAACTGCTGCGCTCATTTTCAAATATATGCCGATCGAGACGCATCATACACAGGAGTTTATGCTAGTTTCTGCTAACCATAGACTTCATATTTTTATATTCTGGTGCAGTGGTTTGGGCTGCCATCACAGCTGTCACATCGAAAGCCCCCTTACAGACACACAGACACACACACACAGAAGAGTTAGCCTCTCAGAGCCGCTAGCTCAGCTACCACACAGAAACATTTACAAACAGCCGACAATGTGCTTCTAGTGAGTGTAAAATCTCCGGCGGACTCTTTGTGTTTCCAGCACAGACACGGAGACTCTGACAGCAGCTGCTCAACATCTCTCTGTTTCTGTGACGCTGCCATTGTCAGTCTGTCAATCACTCCGGTCTGTGTTGAGGACACGCCCCCTAAAGTCACTGTCCTTTGCAAGTCTCTGAGGCACTTTTTAAATTTGCTGACAAGGAGTGAGCGAGCGGAACTGAAGGGTTTAGTTACACTTTTAAGTGAAATACATTTATTGTTTAAGTAGGAGCATGAATACATGCCAACCAGCCATATATGCTGACATTAACATCACTGTCCCTGTTATAGGCGGAACGCTCCAGTTTTAAGACAGGTATCAGGATTCCTGTCTGAAACAGAAGACAGCAATAAGGGACAGCTATGAAAAAACAACAGAAAAAGACCTTCAATCCTTCATGGAAGACTGAGTTCACCTTGATCGAACATGTCAATCACATATGTAGTGGATGACGTGTTGCTAGATATATCTAGACAGATCCGTCAGTGTTTTTTTTTTAATGGCACTGATAGCTCACATAAAATTCTCTGGAGAATCACCTCAAGAGGAAGTCCTAGACAAACGGCACAGACAGGCCTCTTCACCACCAGTTCTTGAATTATGTATCTTATATACTTTATATTTGTGGATAAAACAAATGTGACACTAACTCACAGAGCTTCGATGATGATGAGCAGAAGAGGGTAGTGGCAGCTCAGAGAATCTGTTAGTGATGGCTTCTATCAATCCCTCTATCTCCCTGTACTGGACTGGTCTGGACTGGTGGTTCAGGCTGGAGAATTCAAAGAGTGGCAGCAGTTAATACGAAACAAACACCTCACACGGAATTACACTGTATGACTGTTTTAAGTCTGTGGGGAGGGAGGGAGGACAGTGAAGGGAAGAGACAGAGAGAGGGACATAATGTGCATTTCTGAGCAAGTGTGTAAGTTTAATGATTAACAGTGATAAAATTCAGGTTAGTATTACACATGATGTAATGAAAAACCCATGGTAAATACTGTCCAGCGTCAACTGAAGTTAGCAACAGCCTCCCAGACACAGGTGCATAGGTGCAGGATGCATTACAGGTTTGTTTTGTGTCAATGAAAACATGACGGAAGTCAGTGGCAGCACTCCTGAGATTCTAAGAGGACTAAGTCTGGCCGTATTTTGATTTGTATACGAGTGCTAGAGTAAAAATTTCAAAAGGAAATTGCCACAAAAGGGGGCAAGACTTCAAATCTTGTGAATCATCTTCATAACCACCACTGAGTACTTTATATAGCGAATGCAAGTAAATTTTTAGCTCAATGCCGGCTTCAGAATGGGGAAAATGCCATGGAATGTCTGTCTAACTAATAGCTCAATAATGTAACAGAAGCTTTTAGTGTTATCTTCTCTCTAAAGTGCAAAGTGCTCCTAATTTTATGGTGGTTTTCAATATAAAACTTGATGTGAAATGATTTCAGTGTGTGTGTATCAGTACTTAGAACAATTAACAAAACTGCGATAATATTGATAACCGTGATCATTTCGGTCACTATAAACATAATCACGATCTCTAGCTCATAGTATGGGTTTACCAGAGGGTATAAAGCTTACTCTTTGAAGCGTCTCTTTGAAAAAGATGCCTGAATCACTTTATCCTCAAGTAAATCTATGCACGTGTATACTCTATCTGAGTGTGTGTGTGTTCTCTACTTACCCGTGACACTGTGTGGGTGTGCGTGTATACAGATGTGGTTTGTCGACGTGTGTACCGTATATGTGCATTCATTTGATGATGAATGTAAGTGACAGTGTGAGTAACTGACCTGAGGGTACTTTATACCTGTTTTCAAGTTCAACTTATTTACATCATTCATAACTAACATTTCTGGAAGGACACTACTGAGAAAAAACTTTGTCAATCACAAGAAAAAAAGTTAGGAATCCTCAGTACTGGCTGCACCAATGTCCTTGACAATATCTGAATTATTTACATATCTACAGTATGAGTGTTTGTGTATACCTGAACAGGGCAGAGGCAGCGTTGGCAGCCTGTGTGGCAACCAGCAGGCAGGAGGAGGAGACTCCAGCTACCACGGCCTCTGAAACTGCCACAAACCCCGGGGCACTGGGGAACAGACGAACACCTGGGGGCTGCCTACACACACACACACACACACACACACACACACACACACACACACACACACACACACACACACACACACACACACACACACACACACACACACAGCGGCGCCCCCACAGCCCCAAAAATTACAGTGTATTCTTTCATAGATAATGAAGTGCTATCAATTGTAGCCTAGCAGCTAGAGGAACCGATCCTAAACTAGACAGAGAAACAGACATCTATGATAAACTGTACAGGAAACACCGTTGTAAGCAAATACTTAAATATGGGGACAGTTAAAAATGGTATGGTGCTGTAGATGACTCAGTGAGAACTTTGCCAAAAGTACAGAGAAAGAGAGCAGCCTTTCAGGAATTTTTGCTGATATGGGTTTTTGACATGGATGTCAATAACGGCCCATCAAAAAGCTGACTGTTCTTTTACCTGATCTATTTATCATTCTTTGGCTTGCTATGCCAATACCAGCAGTGCCTGTTGTTGCTGAGTCGTGATGAACCCGTCCTCTCTCTGTCTCACTCACCTACACACAGACATTTATTTTCTCCCTTTCAGGGCAGGGACACATAATAAACAAATAGCGCTGACCTATTGGCGTTACAAAGATCACCAGAGTATGTCTCTGGTCTATGACGCAGCACCACAACAGCTGTCGACTGACTCCCTTGTTGCCACAACAGTAGTCGCATAGAACATCCTAAACAACACATGCATGGATATAAAGGTGTACACAAACGCGCACACACACACACACACACACACACACACACACACACACACACACACACACACACACACACACACAGAGTGGTGTTTAACAATTGATGCCAACACATAAAAAAACAGCCACAAACGCACATATGCACACACACACACACACACAAATAGAAAATGCACTCACTTACATACATGCACTGTAAAGAAACATGGTAAGACTTCAGTCCTCTCTCACTTTCTCGCTCTCTCTCTCTCTCTCACTCACACTCACACTCACACACACATACACATACACATACACACACACACACACACACACACACACACACGCTATAAGCTTGTTCAGCACTTTAAGAGCTCTGGTCTAGCTACTTTTTTACTGTTGCACTCAGTGTAAAGGACAAATTTCCCTCACCATTTGACATCTCTTATCCCCTGTATCATTGCTATGTGACAGGTGGAACATTCCATTAAAATTATGTGAACCTTGCAGAAATATGGCAGTGTTTTACTGCCCGTGATATATTTTCATCCGCGAGCCAGCAGACAGTTAATTCAAATATAATTAAACTTCCCAGTGCACCATATTTAACGTTTTACAAGAGGTCGGTTCTCGGCTGGTGTAGCTGAAGTTGTACATGCTTCTTTGTTTGAGTACAAACATACGGTGGTGTAAAAATCATTAGCATAATTGTGTGTGTGGTTCTGGTCATATAAACATGTATAAGCTTCATAACTACAATTGAGAACACCGTGTTTCAGTTACAATGTAATAACTTCTCAAATGCCACAAAATGAAAAATACAAGTAAGAAAAATGTCATACATTCATAGATAATATAATAATATTACACTATTTCATTAACTGGCAAGTTTTACAAACTGAAACAGACAGTGATTAAGTCACTGGGTCAACATACTCCATGCCACTGAGTGATAATTATGTCAAATTAACAACACATCGTTCACAAGTTCAGTGGGCTACAGTATAAAGTGCTTATTAATAAATAAACAGCAAACTGTTTCCTCAGTTAAAAATATTTTCCAATGAAAGCTATTTACAGTGAAGTCTGTGGATCATCCAGCGTAACCAGGACATTGTTTCTCAAAAGACATGTTGCTGCCGAGAAACATGTCTTCTCAATGCTGGAGAAGTCTCTGCGGTAAATATCTTAAAACATTAATAAATAAACTCTCAACTGTCTTTTGTGATTTAGCTGAACTGACCCTTTACCATACAAAGGTGTAACAGTAATTGTGTTTGCATGCAACAGGGACTTTTTGACAAAAATGTCAGCATGGAAGACAGCTGCAGGTAACTGGGACATCTTAACTGATCCATAATTATTTTTATTTGCTGCAGCTGTGTCCCCTCCTGTGATATGACAGTGCTCTGTTGGAAGTGTAGAGAAGCTGAGATGTAGTGACAACAGTTTTAGTCAGTGAGCAAAGATACACAGTACAGCAATTTTCAAGGGAACATACAGGTCCAGTGCAGTGGAATAATTCTGGCATTGGCAAAGCTAAAAAAGCTTTGGTGGTTATATGCCTCCTCCAACCAGTTAAATTGCAGTTTACATCCATGTCAGCCCGGACTCATATAATATTTCTAATGAAGACTGAGGGAATTATATAAAAGATTTAAAATGGCATTTTTTGGCAAATAGAAGAATGATATCAGTGAATATATATGTTTGAACTCATTAATGGTGTGACTGATTAACACCTCATCATCATCATGGATATATTGTCTAAATGTGGTGCTTTTGTTTTCTCCTGGCATTTTGAAACCTCTCTATGAGCTGTAGGTGAAACTCACTCACAGAATCACGATAAGCTAGTTGCGCTCCAGTACATTGTTTGCAGTCACGTGATTCTGATGATGCTTCAGAATGAGGCAGGAAGTGAAGGATTAATGAGATGGAAAGATGACAGCCCGTACTGTGCTAGTTATTTTTATCTTACTGTGTCGTCCCAGACAATTCATTCTTAAATGATGGCTTCAAACCTATTTTGAGGTCGCAGTCACTATTTCAGTGCTGACCAAGTGTGAAATATGGCCACAATCTCCCTTCTGTTCCCGAGTTATGATGTTAAATAATGGCCAGGACGATGACGTTGACCTTTGACCCTTTGGATAAAAAATCCCATCATATCATCGTATCCCATTACACACCTTTGTCATAATCACTGCATCAATTCTTATGACAAAAGACATGTTGGTCAAGGTTATTTTGACGTGACAGCAACCTTTGACCTTTGAGTCAAAAGTCTTTACTGTTTGACCAATTGTGAAATATGGTTATGCATTCTTAAGATATAACCAAAAGTCCAAAAATGGGACGGACGGACAACATGAAAACGTAAAGCTACTGGCCCCGGCTATCGCCAGCATGAAGGCATAAAAACGTTACTGAGCAGTCTCACCTTTCCAGTATCTCAGTGAGAAGCAGCAGACCTTGTTTCGGCACTTCCAGGTTGGTCAGCCGCAAAGCCTCCTTCAGGCTGCGCACCAGGGATTCAATACCTAACACACGCAAACACACATACTCATTGTGTCAAAGAAATACATGACTCGATTTTGCACATGACCAGGCAGACAGACCCCCACCCACCCCCCAAAAAAACAACACACATTTGTCTAATCTTGCTCAGTGTCGAAGTTATGACAGTGCTTTGACAGATGTCTACTACACTACAGGCTAAAGCGACTGACATGCTCATAAATGTAATACGTGCAGAAAGCACACACACACACACACACACACACACACACACACACACACACACACACTCTTGCATGTCAAACAAACTGTGGCAGTGGTACATCTTTCTAATTTACTGCAACACAGAATCTGCTGTATTGATCTCGTGTTTATAGTCAACTAGAGCAAGAACTTAATATCACAGGGAGTGGTTACACCAGATATTCTGTGTACTGGCAAATTAAGTTTGTACTGCAAGAGTTTTTTACACAATTACTCATGAGTGCAGTTGAAGTGCTGCAGAATTAAAAAAGGTCCAAAGACTGCGGACTCTCAAATAAGTCATCTACACCAAAGGCATACAAACGCATACACGTCTTTGTGTCACAGCAATAATCATTAGGCATGAAAATATTGACATTTCTGCCAATATGTGATTACTAGTTCTGCTGCTATTTAGTCTGATATTCTAACATTACAATAGCAGCGTCTGCCTAGTTGAAATAATTAAACTGCAATGAAGTATGAGGTACACACAAACTACTCCAATCCCACTTTGGAGGGTTTATTAAAATGTCTTGTCACTGTCAGAAATATTACACAGTGTATATGCTGTCACGTGACCTGTCGTACCATGAAACCCCAAATCCTACAGTGACACCATCACAAACAGACATAACACAAACAGGGATGACATGATCGTGCTTCAGGAGTTGTTTTTTGTTTTCCAACTGCTCTCACCATAGACAGAGTGACACTGGGAAAAGAAGAGCGGGTCCTCAGTAAGCAACACCAAACAGCTGTAGACAGACCACAGCAGCACCTCACTACTACTACTGGCCAGACGGTCAAAGAGAAACTCTATTTGGGAAAAGAGTAATGGAGAGAAAAAGAGAACTTGTGTGAGCGGATGAAGAAGAGAACACGGAACAATACAGATACAATTTAATATTCTTCTTTAGCATCATCATACAATTTTCCAAAACAGTAATGTTTTCATGCTAATTTAGCAGGACACATAAAAAGGATTATAATATTCTTTTTTGAAAGCCCCATCATATTCTGAAATTCAGGGACGAAAGTGAAACACAAACAGAACCCCTAAAGTGATAAAGAGATATATATAAAAGTAGAGGAGAAAGCAACAAAGGCAAATAAGAGGAAAGAGGGATGCACAGAGAGGCAGCAAGATAAATAACAACAAAAGAGGAAGTCAAAAGGGAAAGCAGAACAAGGCAGAGGAAATTATTTGTAGAGGGCAAATCAAAGAAGGCAACAGCTTGTATAGTTAGCATATCCTAGCCGCTGTGTTTGTGTGTCTGTGCATGCATATCACCAGGTACGTCAGCTTTGATGAAGGGGCCGCTGCACAGACTGGGACAATGAACCAGGACAGCTGCAATACACTTCGTGCTGATCGTCTGCAACGTCTCATCGCCACTCAGCAGCAGCTGGAAAACACATTATATGGGCTTAATTAGAATACACCAGTCATTGAAGATGCATAGCATTCAAATAGCGTGCAAGGCTTCCACTGTTTGACATACATGAAGTATAGCCTCTTCAACACTGCCAGACGTAAGAGATAAAGCAATGTTTTGCCAATTGTCTGGCTCTCATCTTCAGTACACTGTCTGTGCTCTATGCTGCACAGTTAGTTTATGAATGTTTCAAAGGCAAACATAAGCACCATGAGCAAGCAGGTACATCAGTACATCCAGGGTAATTGGTACATGCAATTAGTACTACGTAAAACTATCTTTGAACAATGTTCAGAAAAGTCTGTTTTGTTTTTAAGAAACGTCTAAGCCATGGAGAAATGGTTTCGGTCAGGGGTGCCCATTTATTTCCCAAAACTGAAACTTAATGGTGGGTCTAGGGCCACATGCAAACACCTATTGTATTGTTAAGATGCAAAATTAAACTAGGATCCCAAGTTCCTTTAGTTGTCTAAAATGTCACTCTTCCAACTGTACAAACAATAGAACAGTAACATTACAATTTTTAAAACTTAATCTGTTTTTACTTGAAGAATCTGGTGGGCCAAATTTAACCTTTTGGCAGTCCACGGTCCCCACTTCCGGCAACCCTGGTTTAGGTGGACACTATATAAGTGCAGGTTTGCTCATCATAGTTCCACTCTCACACCAAAAGCCCAAAACGTATTAAAAGTGCACTTGCTGTAACATCGGTCTACCCTAATTTTTGTTTAAGTTTGAAGCCAAAATCAAGTCACTGGGCATTGGGTGAGGTAAAAGTATCAACATTACAATTACCATTATATTACATTAGTGATTTTATCTTTCTAGGTTTATAACCCTCTATAAAAATTAATAGCTACACTTTCTACAAAACCTTAGACAGACTTTGTGTGCTGTATATTACATAATTTCTTACCAGTAACAACCACTAAACAAATTAGATTAGATTAATTAAAAAATTGCAGAGATTGCATGTGTTTTTATCTTTTATCTGTGTATCAATCTATTGGGTAGGATGGATCCTAAATAATCAAATATGTTTTGGGGGATTATTTTGAGTTAGATTTTATTAAAACCCTACACACAATGGTGATCTACAAAAAAACTACTAAAGTCATGAGCTGTGCTGTAATGTGAGTCACAACTGTGAAAATCGAACTAGATGTAATCTACGCATTGATTTCCCAGACATGTAGCACAAATATTTGTCCAGGGTAAACCCCCCCTGAATCCCTATTCAAAGGCACATTAATCCAGGATTAGAACTTCTTGTTATGATTAACGTCAGTGCCAGAATGCGGGTCTTGGGGGTGGGAGCAGGATGTTTGGACAGAGACCTTTTTCAGGATGAGAGGCAGAGGGCAATGGTCAGTGGACTGTTGCTCTTGGTTTTGGCTGAGGCTCTGGCTGTTGTTGGGGAGGCTGTTCTGGTTCTCACTGCACACGATCTGATTGCTGGGGCTGTTCATCAGAACTGACACTGCCTCTCCCTGCTGCACCAGCAGCCACAGCAGGCCTAACAGATGAAAGACAAGGTGTGAAAGTAGATACTGATGACAAAGCAGTCTAAAAGAATACATTCAAACATCTACACAAATCCTCACACTTTAACAATAAGGTTTTAGACAAGACACGAGGATAGATACATTTGAAATGCACTTATCAATACAATAAAACACTGTATGAACATGTTGTATTGCCAGATTCTTGCCAGTACACAGCCCTCATGTGGGAGAACTTTTTTTTTTTACTTGGGAAAGATGTTGAGGTTAACATGACAAAAGAAGATATAATACACATATGTAATAAACATCACAAATAAGGTCCAGCCACAAGTCAAACCAAGTGTAATACAGATGAGCACGTCCACAGAGGTCCTGCACTCGACCCCTGTAAGAGTGCAAAACTGTTTCACAGATTTCACAAAAGGATATTACAGTAGGACAAATACATACTGTACACAAATGAGAACTCAAACACACAATACAATAAACAGTTACATAATTAGCAATTAAATGTTGCCCAGCTGCATGGATTTTCTTTTCCAGCCATCTGAAAGAAATCATTTTTAAACATTAGAACATTTTTCCTTTCATGGAAATGTCTTGAACACAGTGCTGAAGAAAAAAAAATAATCCTGTTTAATTCCTCCATTGTGCTGTTCTCACCGGGGCTGCTGAAGGTAAGCTTATTAAGATGAAATCAATTCAAAATAACACAAACAACAACAGCAAACGCTCAACTGCAGCTACTCTAAAAACTGGAGTAAACCAACCTTGCGCCCCACGGTGGATCCCACCTCTCCAAAGTTAATACAGTGATAAAACTACAACTTCAAATTTCTAGCAGATAATGAGACCGTTTCTTTTCAATAACTCCTCTTCACATCATGTAGACCTCCATTATGGTTATCGCCAAAGCTTATTACCCTTACAACTCAAAACTCCTACAAGATAGCGACACTCTTTCATCTCAGTGTAATCCCTCCTCTTTCTCCATCTAGCTTCACTCTGAAGTAGATTCTGGATGTTCACTGAGAAAGATGATTATGGACGTGTTATTTTATAACCTGTTAACTTTCCTAAAAACAAACAAACAAACAACAAAGCAGCTCTGTGTCATTATCAACAACCCCTGCCAACTAGCGGAGACATCTTATGATGAAACAGTAGTTCTTAGGTTCTGAGGAATTTCTCAAAGTGACTATATGTGCATAAAAAACAGGAAACAGACGGGGAACAACATTATTGTCAATCATGCTGTAAGTCCACTCCCCATCGTTATTCTCTCCCGGGCAGTTTGGATTGAAGTTATGTTTCACAAATGACAAAAAAAAAAAGTAATAGCCTTTCTCCCAGACTGTCAGCAAACTAGTTCTGTTGTGCTCAGCTCAATTTTTCATCCATTTTTAATAACATCCTCCCCTTATCTCCACTTGCAAATTTTTCATGCTTGCCTAAGCTAAGCATACTGTACTGATCTCAACAACTTCAAACCTTTTCATGATAGCCACTCAATCTCACTTTGCCTATGTAGTGCATGATAAACCTAAATCAGGCCAATCATTTTTGCATTATTTCATCCAGGCGGCTAATGATGCTCTCAATTATAATTTTATACAGTCAATTTGAAAAAACTAAGTTTCTACAAAGTTGAAAAAGTTATAAAAACTCACTCTATATAGTCATTAAAACTTTCAGTTTGAAGAAGAATATTTGAATTTAGGCTATATCGTGTTCCAGACAGATGTTTGCAAATGTATTGATCATTTTGTTAATAGTTATCAGTTTTAAATATAAATATAAAACCTTTGAGTTTACTGTCATCACAAATGTTGTCAACATGGTTCATCTTAACCAACCTCGACCTGGTTAAGATGTTTGAATCCCTCTTGCAAAATGATGAAGGGCTCAACTTTCATTAAAATTATGTTTTTTATATAACCTATAAAACGTTGATATATAATAAGTGACAAATGCTTTTTTCCTCACCAACACAGTTGTTGATGAGTTGGGTGGAGCTGGCATTGGCCAACGTCTGTAGCAGCAGGATGCACACTCTGTCCCTGATGGCAGTGGGCAAAGACTGGGCTGCCGAGCCCCCAGCTGTCCCGAACAGTTTGAGCCACACATACAGGACCGAAGCCTTCAGCGCCTCATCTGGGTAAAGCAAGGCCGAGCACAGGTGCTCCAGCGTGGGCACTGATGGACATGAGGTGGGAGACAGATGAGTAAACACATAAACAAACAGAGGTTTTAAACAGGATAAAAGAAAAGGATACATACGGGATCATATGGGGAAACAAAACCAATCAATATTTTACAGACAATGACAGAGTAACATTGGAGAGAAAGTTGCCACAAAGATAAAAATGGATTGCTGATTGGCCACTGGGGAGAGAATGCACTAAAGAGGCAGCCAGAAGAGCGAGCGAGTCTCTTCTCTTTGCAGGTATGCTGTCTGAAGGGAAAAAGAGAAAGACAGAGAGGCACACATGGAGAGAGTGATGGCGTAAAAGATAAGAAGAGACAGATAGAGGTAGAAAGGCTGAGTTCATGAAAGAGAGAGGGTGGGAGAGTATAAGATGTGAGGAGGGAGAGCCACACACAGATTGAGTCAGAGGGGAAAAGAGAGACAGAATGAAAAGACATAGAGATAGGATTCATTTACAGAGGACCTTAATGCTCTGTTATTTGCAGAATTAGTTGCAAGATAAAGGCTTCATTAAACTAAATCAACAAATAAAAACATAAAAAGCACAAACTCACTCACTTAAATATATTTAAGAAAAAAATTATCAAAAATAAAATACAAATAATATACTGAATGAAAGAGAGTGTGTGTACTGAGCGGTTGCAGACTGTGGGCTGATTGTTATACACCATCAATCTACCATATAGCCCAGTGAGCAAATGGAAACTCTCTGCCCATGATCACATCCACAAAATACAGATCAAGTCAAATGATTGACCAACACAGTGTAAGAAGCCAAAGTACAGGCCGACAGTGGCACGCAACAATGCTGGCAATGCTGGCACAGTGGGGGGAAATTGATTAATGACAGTTGTAATAACCAAACTACAGCACTAATGTGGATATAATCAAATTGTTAGAGTGCAGGGTACACATGATGGGAGGTGAGACAGAGAAAGAAGTGGCTAAAGAGAGAAAAGACAAGCACATAAGTATAAAAGAGCGACCTTGAGAGCAGAAGAATAAGCCAGGGCTCGAGGTACAAGAGACAGAGGAACAGAGAGTGAGCGAGTTTGGAAGAGAGAGAGAAAGGGATGGCATAGTAGGGGAGCCAAGCCCAAGCCCAGCTGCTCTGTGAAGCAGATCAAACCCCATGTGAGACAGGAGAGGCTCCCAGACATGTTTGATTAAACCAAAATATATGAGGCGGCCAAGATGAGAGCCAGGCGTAAAAAGAGAGAAGGAGAGAGAGCAAAGAGGAGAGAGGGGGAGGAGGGAGATAAGACCTCCACAGAGGATGGAAATAGAAGGAACACAATGTAAGAGTGGTAAAATGGATGGGTGGAAAATAAAAGCCTCACTGTTGTTTAACAACACGTTTTATGAGGCATGCATACAAACACAGACGCATAAAGAACTGAAACAAAAAAGATGAAACATTGTTCTTCAGCTTTCTTTGACAGAGGAAACCAAAGGTTAATTTCCGTTTGACTTGTTTACTGTTTTGCTGCCCCGCTGTGCTCTCTGTTGGTTTTGTGATCCGCTCTCTACAGTATTTGTCTGTTGTTTTGCACTCATTGCTTCACGCTGCTTTACCTAAACCTTTCTCTGGCTTGCTCTCTGGCTCCAGCTTCCAGTGTTTCCCACATATAAAATGCATTTGTTTGACCCATCCATATAAAGCTTAAAGCGCTGATCAGCCAAAATGGTGAATTAATGTGTAATCTTATTGGAGAAACTATGTCCTTAATGACTCAACTGTTTGATTTTAGAGCTCTGATCATCTCAGCCTGTGAGAAACTCTGCAGCTTGTACCATTGTCCTTTCCTTCCCTTATCATCCTTGTTATCTTTGTCTGCTTCCTATTTCCGTATCTCATTAATGCTTCATCTTCCCTCCCTGCTCCCTCATTTGTTCTGTATCCACTCCCCGGTAAGGACCTGAGGGAGTAGGACAGAAATGAGAGAGGGAGGAGGGAAGAGAGAGAGAGAGAGAGAGAGAGAGAAGGAGAGATTAAAGACAAAGAGATTCAGGCAGAGAAAAGCAAATGGGTGAGAAAAACACAGGGGTTAATCTTTTAGATAGACAGGCAGACACTGAGTCAGAGAGAGAGAGCAAAAAGTGTCGGGTGCTCTGGGCTGCTGTTGTCATTGGCGCGCTGTTGTCGTTAGTCCAAACAGCCCCACGGAGACTCGTTGAGTGACAGGCCACAGACAGGCACACACAGTCAATAGTGGCAGCCCGCATCTCGCATCAGCATCGCAACAACCCACCACTACCTGCGGCTGCTCAGGGGAGCTTGTAAAACTCATGAAAATACACGGGAGGTGGACCCATGTAGCATAGCAAAATAACTATAACGCTTGTTTATTTGGCATAAGGCTCACATTCACTCTTGTCTGTGAGGACAAGCGCTCAGGCACGACACAAGCACACTCCAACGCGCGCGCACGCACACACACACACACACACACACACACACACACACACATACACTCGAAGTTGATTAACAATGCCCATTAAACTGAGTGGCATAATGGTTCAGTGAGTAGACAGACATACAGGTGGTTGTGGCAGAGATTAAATCGGTGCGGTTGAGTGTGTGTGTGTGTGTGCGTGTGTGTGTGTGTGTGTGTGTGTGTGTGTGTGTGTGTGTGTGTGTGAGAGAGGGGTGGGGGTGCATTACTGTTATGCCTCACTACACTGCAGAATTATACATAGATATATCTAGAAATATATCCATATATGGGCGATTTCAGGGGAAAGGTTGGATGAACATGAATTTTTTTTTTTTTTAATTTTCAGCTAGAGCTGGCCTGGGATTGCCTATGCAGATAGAATTTTAAGTACGGACACAGCACAGTTATCTCAATGCAGCTGGAGCGTAATTGAAAAGGTCATCACAGCTAGAGAGATTGAATTGAGAAGGTTCGTGGGGAAATTATATGAAAAATACGGTTTTTGGACTTTTTCAGAAGCAGAAGGAGTGGAATAGAGTTCAGGATGGGGAAGACTGTTTCAAAAATGGACACAGTACAACTATTTCTATGCATTAGGAAAATAACTGAAAAGGTCAAAATAGGCTGCTGTGATTGAATTGTCGATATGCCAGTGCAGAGTGAACAAGGGATGCTGAAAATTAAATATTTTTTCGTATCCTTCTCTTCCATTCAAGGTGAACTGTAATATACATGTATGTAAATGGAACTCAGCTTCTGAGGCGAATTGACCCTGAGTTGCTTTATTTTCATATTCGGTTCGTTCCAGTGAAGATCTGAGCTTGACCATCTGAGATGTGACCTAAACTCAGTTGCATTTTTAACAGTGACCCAAACCAACCCAAGTCAAAGTTCTCTTTATTCTCCCCTAAAGCAAAATGTGTCTCTTGGCTTGCCCACAGCACAAGGAGTTCTGAGGTCAGGGGCTGCTACAGAACAGCAAAAGGATCCAGATCCAGCTTTACGCCCATTGAAACAAATTTGTGTTTTTGGGGCTATATAAATAAAATTTACTTGACTTGACATCCCGCTCAAGGACACTTCAGCAGGGTGAAGGTATGTAGAGTTCACAGACAATCTCGCAGTAACTAAATAAGTAAATACATCACATTTTTGTTCACTATTCAAAACCTTAACTGGGCAGACAGATATAAACTGCTGATAACATTTCCAAGTACAAGAGCTGTTTATCACTTGCCACCAGCAACTTTTGGTGCATCTTTATTGATATGTACTGGAAGTGCTAGTAATGACCATAAAAAATGAAAACACACCTCTGTTTCTCTTTGTACACCGGTGCCTACATAACTGTGAGGTGTCTTCTGTTACAGTGTCTCACCGTATTGAGTCACCAGACTATGGGCCACATCGGGGACTGCTTCCACTAGGCTCCCCAAGAAGCGGAAGGTGGGCAGGAAACCCTTCCCACTGGGCTGGTCACTGAGCTGGACTCGAAACACACAAAGTAACAAAGTCAGTAACAATAGACGTACAACAATGTAAAGCTACAAAGGAACATAACGCAGGCATAAGCCAAATACCTATACCATGGCACTTTTGCTTATATGTTATGTAAGATTTTCAGAATAACCTCTTAAGGCCAGTAATAGCAGCACAACATGAAAAAAGGGACTTCCACAATGACATGTAGGATTTTCAATTTATATTACATTGTTAAAGAATCCAACTACAATACTCCAACTTATACTCCAGATCCTTTTGCATATACATTTTTGGATACATGCATATAATAAATTATTTTTCAGAACTCAGAAAACAAACCAGCATCTTTTTCCATTTCTCAGATTGCATCAAAAATCTGTGTTCTTAAATCCTTAATCTTTAAAATACATTTTCCTTGAAGTGGTCTAATCAGGCTCTATTCCATAACAGAGATAAGACCTGTCTGCACCTCTACCTGGTGTTATACCTCTCTGTCATCATCAGTATACACAGCTTTACTATTATCTACCTGCAGCGTCGGCTGCTGAATGAGGCTTTTCCACTACTGCCTCCCCCAGAGGTGACACAACAGCAGCGAGAGGGGGACAAGCAAACTGCCTGTTTACTAAACAACCCTCGGAGGATATGCTGTTGGTTACACAAGTGCTGTTAAATATTTTAAGATGCTGAGCATGTTCCTGTGCCTGCATGTGTAAATGAGCAGGTGTTTCTCTATATGTCTGTAAATGTGTGCCTCACCTGTTTGTGTATCTCATCCAAAACAAAGCGAAGTGACAGCTCATTCTGGAGCTCGAGGAGCAGCTGAACCAGCACTGGCGCACATAAACACACACAAACGCATGTATGTACACAGACACCCACGTAAAACAAAAAACACAGAAAAGCATTCATTAAATAAACATCAGTCAGGTATTTTCCCACTTTTCTAGGAAAACATCAGAAATTGTGAGAAACAGAGAACAAAATAACATTTCGAGGTATTTATTAATTTAATATAGGTGAGTAATCCAGAGTTTATCTTTTTAAAACCTTTGTTTCTTGTTTAATTTTAGGATTTGGTTTAATCAATGTTTATCTTTTAAGCAACTGTTATAATACCTGTTGTGCCGTAGAGATTATTATTACCGATTATTTTTTTATTATTACCATAACATCTGATGTCATCGCCATAAGGAGAATATGCAGGTAAACCTCTCAGCTGAAATCAACATTCACATCATGTTAGCTGCTTTCCATGACTGCTGAGCTGATGTTAGAAACCTTCAGACATATTTTTTCAGCTTTTTCTTTCTTCTCCTGTGTTTCTCCTCACATACATACACACAGATATGACTGCATTATTTATGGGGCTCAAATGAGTTTCAAAATGTATTCATGACACATTCTCTGTGCAATGAGCAAAAAGCAGTGTTACATTTTAAGCACTCAACTATTACAGCAAAGTGGTCCCTAAGGCATTTTAAGACAGCTACCATAAAATCATTCTGTCATTTGCAGTTGGCAAAAACATTTTTTACATTTTGAAAGACGTAGCTGCAGCGAGACAAACTGGTGGTTCACTGAGAGTCCAACATTCATACGGGACGCAGAAAAATCTGCATAAACTAATCACTAAACACAAAGAGAAAACGTACTTCACAGCACAGCGGTGAAAGAATATCAACATGGGAAATTAGGTCAGAAATATTAAATGTAGAAACTTCTATGTGGAGTCATTGTAAGATCACCTTGGTAACCAGCAGTGACCATTTATCGCACAAACAGTGTGTATGTGTTTGTGTATGTGTGTGTGTGTGTGTGTTTCTTTGACAAAAAGACTGACTCATACAGTCCTCCCATGTATGTGTGTGTGCATTCTCACACAGTCTGCATTATAATAACGATATAGAGAGTGTGTGTCTGTGTCTTTGTTTGCATGAGTACGATGTGAGCAGGGTGTGTGAGTGTATGCAAGTGTATTGTCCAAACCACAAAGAGGCATCTTTTCACCTTGGTCAACCTTTTCCAGAGTGTCTTGGTCCTTCACAGTGTGAAGCATCCCTGGGGACAGAACGATAATGACAGGCTGGATTTACAAAGCGTACTTTACAAAGCCACTGCAATATACAGAAGCCTCACAGAGGTATAATAAGAAAAAGGAAGCTATAACATGAGGAATCATACATGAAAAAGGGACAAAGAGAAGATGAAAGGTACAAAGATATTAAATGGGGATTCATGTTGTTGGGTGTTGAGGTTTTATTGATCATACTGTATCGTCACAAATGTTGCATCTACTGTATTTTGGATTAGTTTTGCTGGATTTCCAAAACACCCAGCAGCACAAAAAGAGCCATGTCAGTATAAAGCACAAATGATGTAAAAAAAATAATACTCTTTCTATGGCTGCATCTGTTAATACTAAGCATGTAAAAAAAAAAAAGTCAATGTGTAGTGGGGGAGATATAAGGCATATATTGGATTATGCTCTCATTGGCACAGGTGGAGTGCAGTTCGGCAGACCATCCCACAAGCTTTGTAATGGCTCTTTTAATGTCTTGTCATATTGGTCAGAGCTTTTACCAGCTTACCATTTTGCCACATATCCTCTCATTGCCTTAATTCGATTAGAGCTCAAATGGTGTCGGCCTAATACTTTATGCTGCAATAACCTAGTGAAATTCACACAATGAGGAGGAAGTGTCAGTAATATCCTCTGATGATGTGGAACCATAAAAATACACTGTGGTTTAATTAAAACAGTGACAGAGTGTAAGGATTCACCGGTGCTTTCTACCTGTCATCCTCATAACATCTCCTACAGAAGCATTCATTATGGTGAGGATAACATACTGGCCCTGGTATTAAAGTGTTAACCCCAATGCAGGGCTAATAAAGCCACTCTCCCCACGGATCAGCATGATCTCATAGGGTCACTGGTTTCATTAGGTGGTTGTCACAATATTGATGACTTTATATACATCCAAGGTGGACGGATGAGTGCTGTACCAACTCATCCCTCGCTCAAAGATTGTCATCAATCATTGTATGCTGTTAACTGATGTGTTACTGACCACTGACCACTTTACAAGGATAATCTAAACTGTATAACTGTATGCCAAACAAGCACAATTGTGCATTGTTTTTTAATAAAAAGTACCAATAGCTGATATTTGTGCCAATGTTCTACGACTTTGTCTTAAGTCTCAAGTATTGCCCCAGAAATTGATTTTGGATGAAAACGAGAGTGTCAGTTAAATAATTAAACAATGCAATTACCATAAAATTCCCCATTAGATTTAATCTAGCCTTCATGAAAAATGAACATCAATTATATCAAGATGAACAAAATACAATACCCCGTACTTAATGGAGACACAAGTATCAGCCCAGTTCATCAGCAAATAGATGGTTCAACCATACCACAGATGACCAGTATGTACCATTATTATGCCTATAATATGAAAGAACATCAGTGAACAGCAGGTCAACTCTATTATCTACATGAATCCTTTTTTATTTTTTAACACTACTACTATATTACTATATTATGATGAATAACGCTCTCTCTCACTGCTAATGTGATAAGATCTATTGTCTCGGTTGTTCAGTTGAAGCTTGAAGAAAAGCTGTGATGTGACTGCAGCACTAGCACCAGACAGTGAAGTGACCCAGTGGAGATTAACTTCAAGGAGAAGGAAGGTCGCACACGCACACCCAGCAAGATGTCTACAACAGCCAGTGCTGGTTAGTGTGATGGTCAATAATGGATGGATCTGTCACACTTACTGTTAAGCATTACATGGTAAAAAGAATCATACTATTGTTTTTACAGATACTGTGATTGTGATATGATTCACGATTAGTGGGAATTATCTCTCTTTCTCTATTTTTAATAAAAATTGTGATGATGACGTTGGGGTCTGTACCAAACAAAACAAAACAAAACAAAAGTGTTTTCTTAAATCTGGAGAAGATTTGTATGCCAGAGAATCTCTGCAGCACTACAGTACTTTATTATAATGCTTTTGGGACCTTTATCAAAACCATATTGCGATTTGGATAATATTGCAAAGCATTGTGCAGCCCTGGCTCTGTTATTACAGTGAGCTTCCAAACACACTACACCCACTGTGCATTATGACTGATCAGCCTGCCTTACATGACTATCTTCGCCACCAGAGAGAGAACTGATGAGAGATTAAAGTCCTAGTCCTTCCTTCACATCCTGATCTCATGCCATATGTGCCACCATTTCTCACCCAGCAGAGAAGCTGTGAATCGCAGAGAGACTCTGTGGTCCTGCCGGAGGAGCTCTCTCAAGGCCCCCGGAGAACACTTCAGCACCCCGCTGATACCAGACAGGGCAAACGACTTCCTCACCGACTGTGCCACAGAGATAAAGATATGGGAGGGTAAATAAAGCCTGTGCATCAAGGGGGAAATAATAGGGTAATGTATTTTCCATAAAAAGTGCCTAAAAACAGCAAATTCTGGGGTTGATCCTACTCACCTAACATAACATACACCACCCAGCCAAATAGAGGAAGGATTAAGTTTGGTATGAGAGAAGTTTCACATTCAGATAAGACAAAAACAAGTTGATGACATGTTCCTCACCGCGATATCGTCGCTCTCGATCATCTCAATGACACAGGCCACACAGAGCAGCAGCCCGCCGCCCTCCGCAGGCCCCAGGCGGCCGCTCCACTTCGGGTCGTGTCTGTAGTGGATCTTCTCATGAACAATGTCCGCGCTCGTCATGTTGGTTCAACCTGTTGAAACAAAAACAAATATATATATATATATATATATATATATATATGTGTGTGTGTGTGTGTGTGTGTGTGTGTAGTGTGTACCATAGCTTATCAAATAGTTTTAAAAGTCAGGCAGGTGAGTAAAAAGCTAGCTTTGGTTACTACACAGCTGGACTAATTATGACGTTAAAGCTAACTTAGCTAACGCTAATTAGCCACTGGCCCGTCATGCTCCTGACAAACTAAAGTTTTATTTTATAACTAAAGTTTCGACCACGCTGTCACATAAAGTACGTTTGTCCAGTTAACTAACCATTAAACTAAAAACTACTGTCGGTTAACAGAAGACAATCCTGCGGACGCTAGCTTCCAGCTCCACGGTGGAAAGACAAGTTTCACTTCCTTTTATTTTTTGTAATCAAAACTTTATTAACAATATAATATAGAGTAAGTACAAATACAAGTATAATGGAAAATAATACACGAGTGCTGGTAACATTTTAACATTATGCTATAAAAGCATTTTTGAGAAAAGTATTTTAAAAATTTAAATATTAGTTAAAAACATCAGGGTTTAAATAATTTAAAAATATTTCCAAATTGTGGTTTTACATTAGAAAAAATAAACAAATAGATGTTTCATCAGCATTATCAATATATAATAATAATAATAATAATAATAATATAATAATAATAACAATAGAGTATGTCTGATTTTAAAATACATTTCTTTGATTCTATGTGTAAAACAATACTAAGGAGTAAAAAATCAGGATCTTTTTCAAATGTATAGCCTATAGAAAAGAATAAACTTTATTGTCCCAGAGGAGAGATTTGTCTTGGCCGCAGTGCTACAATTTGTTGCTTCACAAAAACAGACATACATCAGAATCTTAAAACACGAAAGACACATTTGATTAAAGTGCTGGTATAATTAGATATGGTAATAGAGTTCAGCAGCTTTGTGGAGATTGAAACGAATGATAACTTCCGTCAGTTTGATTTGCCACACAGGAGTCTTCTTCTCCCTGCAATGTTAAGTAGCCAAACTATTCTGTGATTCCATATCTAATGATGCTCTATAGCCCGGTAAACGCCCAGTAAAACATCAGCATGAACTGGCTGCTCACTCCATACAGTCACCGTAGAAACTAAAGTCTCTGCTGCAGTCTGTTGCACAGGTTATCAGCAAAGAAGGTCGTCTATGTGGTCACCTGAGTATTGGTTCATCATTACAAATGTGAACACCAATAGAATTGACCTATAAGAGAACCTTTGCTTTTCTCTGAGGAATTTGACGAACATATTTATTATTACATTTCTTATCATATATGTTGATACCATTCAGGAAAGAGGACGATATCTGGGACGAAAGCATAAAGCGACTCAGTTAGGATTGATGAGTTGTATTCTTTGAAGGGAAGTTGTATCTAAAAAGTAATAGGACAAATTGTGAGAATAATCTTGATATATATTAATATATATATCGCTGTTAAAATTTGAAAAATAAAAGAGAGGCTAATGTTGTAGCAGTGTATGTAGCTGTTGGTTAAATGTTCTTAGTTACGTAACACTAAATGCTTGGTTCAGAAAGGTGAAATCACAAATATCATGTTAACGACATGCTGGCAGTGATTGGGGCACACGCTGCATAAACTTTACATAATCTTATTTCATATACATATTTAGACATCTCATGCATATACTGCATTAGCCATATCATCACATTTACACTTTATTGTGCCTGTATTGCCAGAATAGCTATTCAGTTCCCACTTTTCTTCTCAAGGATTTGTTTCTCCATTGTTTCATTTCTGCAGTAGTGCTATCGAAAGTGTATCAAAGGTCTCTAAAGTTCAAGGGTAAGCTGATATCTTATTTTTGAGCAAAAGAGACATATATGATTATCTTATTATGTATCAGCCTCAATTTACCCTCCGAGGAATGTCATTGCTGAATAATATGCTGTGAGTGTATAGTGGGATGCATGAGTTTGTTTTGCAGTGAAGGCCACAATTTGGTTATCGCCATGACAACAAAAGCATCTCAGCAACTGAGCAACTAACTGACGATGGGAGTGTGGGGGCGAGTATCAGCCACTAACAACGTCACTGTCAATTTATAATCTCTCTCTCTCTCTCTCTCTCTCTCTCTCTCTCTCTCTTACTTCTCCTTAAACAGAGTTCACTGCACATGAAAGCAGTGCATGACATGAAGTGTAGCCGGCTCAACTCTGCCTCACCGTGAGAATGTGTGTGTGTTTGTGTGACGCTGTGCATGAGTGTGCACAAGTGTGTACAGTAGGCTAATCTCTCTTAGTTTCTGCCTTCAACAAATCCGGTGTGCTCCAGCAAACAACACTGGAGGCAAAGTGTACTGTGTTAGGACTGTGTGTGCAGGAAGTGGTCAAAGCCATGCTCGGCTGACTGAAAAGAGTTGCAGACCTTCTGACGAGAAGGTGGAAAATATTTGTTTCTGAAGTCTCCATTTGTGCTTGGAACGGGAGCTAAATCCATCAGCCCCAGAGGTTTATTGGCCCTTGAGAGAGCGAGAGAAAGCGACAGAGAAAGAGACAGAGAGCCCCTCTCGCTGCTCAGATGGGAGCCGACGCGCATCTGTCAACTTTATTTGACAACTATTTCACATAGACAATTCCTCAGGGGCCAATAAAGCACAGAGACAAATGGATTCAGATTCTGTCCAAGCATAAGCAGAGACTTAACATGCAAACATTTTTACACCGTTGCTGGGCCTTTGCTTTTTTCTCATTTGGCTTGATATATCTTGAACCACTTCCTGTGTATACACCCCCACCCCCCACCGCCCACCCCCATCCCCACCCTCAAACACAAACACACACAAACACCCAGATCACCCTGTAGTGTGGAACAATCAAGCAGTAATACATTAGCAGTGCAGCAGCCGTCACCGGGGGCGTTAAGCTACCCTAAATAAAGCTCCGTACCTTTTTCCAGCCTCCAGCCCACACTTTGTCTCAACATCACTCCGCTCACATCATTGTAACACACAGTTTTTTCCAGTGACATTTACAGGCCATGTAGAAGCAACAACAATATTAACAATAAAAGTAATGATGCCAAATATGTATATATTTAAATGCAATGGAGACTGTCTGCTAGGTAACACCAAGCTGCTTCACTGCTCAGAAGCAATGCTTTCACTGTTAATACAACTCTTACTAAACACACTAAATATCCTATCCTGCATTTCAAAAGGACATATCAAATCTATTATAAACCATAATATATAAAATTCTCTATTATTAGTGAACCCAAATAGTAAACAAAGTACAAAAATAGAAGCCTGTCATCTTACTATTTATATTAGACACTAATGCTTATAGTTATTTAAGGAACAGTCTGGTTCTGGGTAATTAAATGACATAAAGGAGGAAGAGGGCGGAACAAATAAGACGTGTGTGTGTGTGTGTGTGTGTGTGTGTGTGTGGGTGGGTGGAAGCGGCAGTCTCTCCCTCGGGTGTAACGTTCAGGTGCGCTTCGCCCTCAGAGGTGAAAGCTCGTGGAGTCGGTGCGATGGATTGTGTCTGACCAAGAGTCATTTATGGAGAAGAAAAAAACATGTCGAAACGCCGGTGCAGCGTTGGGACAGGCCGACTAAAGTGAAAGGGTCGACTCACGGTAAGAAATTTAAAAACTTTTACCTAAATATTACATAATATTATTTTTTGTATGGACCTCGTTGCTCTATTCTACCATACTACTGACTTGGACATATGATACCTTATGGTGTTTGTCTACAGTGGCTGTTTTCTGACACACAGATTGTTATCCTACAGTCTAGTAGTATCTGTGTGACATTCCTTTAATACTATGAGTATACTATTACAATTATTCTAAAATGTAAAAAAAATGCTCTTGATGTATTATTGCTTGTTGAAACTTCGATAAAAAAGTAAACTTTTTGTGATGAGTAAGGCTGTAGTCTCGCATTAACCTGGTATACGGAAACATTCGTCACCTATAATTTATATCTATAAGTATGTTCTATAATTTGTACAATTTTGTTTTGAATTTATTTCACCCATTGTTATTTCTGTCCCTTTATAATCCAATGAGATGCAGAACTGCAGTGAGAAAAGTGCAGAGAAAGATTTTGCTAGTGTATGATAGCCCGTTAAAGTGATGCCTTTGTGGTTTATTTACACAAATGAATGTACTGCATTACTTCCTGGGGGATTAGAAGTATTAGTCATCAGATGTTTCCATGCACAGCTGAACTTGTGAGTCACGGCATTTAGCAGACTGACAAAAACAGAAAGCCTATTTGCAAATATGCAACACACTCTACTCTCAGCATGTGGGCCACAGTATATAAGATTTTAAAAAAAAAACACATCATCACCCAGGCTGTGATACTGACATGCAACAAAACCACACTGTTCTGTATGTCTTTTCCTGGGTCAGCATAGTTTCTTTTTAAGTACCTAACGCTACCCTGCTCACATAACAATACTAGCACAGTTCGCAAACACTTTTTTCTTCCCCTCCCAGGTGTTTTTGCCTCGTCTTAGTGCTGCCTCTAAAAAGGCAAACACTAACGCTAATCTCCTCTCTCAACTGTTCCATCAGCACTTTCCACAACTGATGTGAGACATAATAAACAAACAGGGGAGAACTGTACCAATAACAATGGCTGGTATTACCCCATACACTGAGCCCGTATCCCAACATATGGACAGTGCAGGTACTGTCCAAGCCAGTGAGTGACAGTGAGATAACAGCTACAATGTTAATGTGCCACTGAGAGATATGGCGTCATTGTGGTTGGAGCTCTCACATGTGTCCTCAGCAAGCACCAACCAGGGGAGTATTCACTTTCACACAAGGACAGTGGACTACTCAGCACACCAGGACTTGACTTGATAAAAATGTAATCATATTTTTAAAAGAAACACTGAAATGTGAGGCTTTTCTTTAGACGGGAAAGTGGCGATGAGCGATAGAGATGATAGAGTTTGAGTATCCCCTTTTTCCAAAGATGCATTTCAGATCTGAATGCTTGGGGGCGTGACGTAAACCGAAGCGATGAGAAAGTCACTCCAAGCTGTGAAAAGAGAGTGGAGAGAAAGAGGGAATGAGAAGAAAGACAGTGACAAATGAAAGAGAGGACTTGCTGACTGAAGAGGAAGGTGGTGAAAAAACTCCGCCAGGCTGCATTTTGCTCCGAGTGTTGAGGAAAAAAAACAATTGTGAGACAGATTTTCAGGCACAAAAGTGACTGATTGTAATGATGAAAAGGCATTGGAATTGATAATGAACCATTATTACTGCAGCGGTGATGATGGATTTCCATCTCCAAGCTGATGATATGAGTAAATTCATATTTATTATAAGGAAAGAATTTTGGCTCTTCTACATGAGATTGCTTTTCTTCAGTTAATTAGATTGATGGGTCCTTGGCTTTGTGTGCTGAGAGACTCCATTCAGAGCGAATAAAACCAGTGTCACATAATAGTGGGTAAAGGAAGAACAAAAGGGAGAATAGTAAGAGGCACAAAAATAAATGCTTTAAGGCATTTTTCATCAACTGTGTACAGGCATTGAAACTTTTATCCATTTATCCACCCACACAACAGCACCACTCAGCTCGGCCTTCAAGTCGGCAGAAAATTGCCTTTACTGTAAACGAATGTCTGTGAGCCTGACTTTTATTCTGTTTTTCCCTCCTCTTTTTATATCTCACCTCATTCCCCGCTATACACTCCTCCAGGTTTCTAATGGCTTTCACCTTTTTCTCAGTTCTCTCTTTCAAATGTCACTTTTCTCATCCTGTCTTCCCTCTCTATGGCTCTCAGGTTGTGGGTCCTAATCTTTCTTTCCATGAACTAACCAATTCGTCACACTGCTGACTATTTCTTCATTCTCTTCAGCTATCCGCTGTCTCCCTGTTCTCCTCCTCTTCTTCTTCTCTTCCCTTCTCCTGTCATGTCTGTATCCATGAGGAACCCGCCCCAGCGCCGGCGCTCTCTGGGTCCTGTCTCGCCCAAACGCATCTACAGGAACCTGTCTGTCAGACTGAGGGGTGGAGAGTCATCTGTTGCCGGGGAAATGGACCCACCCAAACACTTCAGCAAGTCTGCAGATGCTGTAAGATATTTGGACGGGGGGAGGTTGGGTCACTTCGGCTGAAATGCTTTTACTGTCTCCTGGTTGGGTTTCTTTTTTAAATTACGAGACCTTATTTTGACATTACATGCTGACTATGAATTCATTATCCCCGCCAAGACTGCTGCTCTGATTTATGATTTGATTTATGTGTCCTGTGTCTCCTCGGCTGCCTCTTTCTTCATACAGTGACTTTTTTCCCTCTGCCTCATAAAATAAATCTCTCCGTTCGATATTAACTCTCTTCTTCTGTCTCCCCCTCTCACCCACCCACCCCCAATTGGCCCTGCGCCCTTTTCCCTGCTCCCCATTAGTACAAGACCCTGTGGGAAGCAGTGGAAAATGAGGACACTCTAGCGGTACAAAGCCTGCTGTCCAGAGACCACACCAACTGTTTAAGTGGAGGTGGAGGAGGAAGCATGTGGGAGAGAGGAGAGAAGAAAGAGAAGGACATGGAGAGAGAGAGGGAGAAGGGCGTGAACAGGGTGAGCGAACAGGGCCTGGTCCCCCTGGACGTGGCTGCCCTTACCCACAATTCCCCTCTGCTCCATGTGTTGACGAAGGCGGGAGCGAGTCATAACCCTGTTTGTGAGTCTCATGTTTTAAAATATCACAAATGACATAAAAATTCCGCTTTAATTCAATGCAAATTATATAAGAATCTATCCTTTCTCTTGCTGTCTCCATCTCAGTGTGCCGGCCGGCAGAGTGGGCACTTAAGCTGGATGCTCTGGTGGCACTGGCGGGCAAACGGGTGGAGGAGAGGAAGAAGGAGCTATTGAGGAAGGCAGGAGCAGGCCCTCAGGCACAGGCTGACGTCCACAAACACATCCGCCTCTGGAGCCTCAGGCTGCAACTGTACTGCCGGATGAGAGAGAACTTCCACAACACAGGTCAGTGGTCTCGGGTCAGCTTGTGGCATTTCTTGAACTACAGCTTGCTAGAAACACTGGTATTCTTGCGTTTTTTCCCCCTGTCCTCTTCAAACTCAGTCCCACCGAGGTAGAACTACTTTTTGTCAAACTCCCCTCCACAAAGCCCCTCCATCACTGCTACCACCCCAGCGATCAGGTATTCAGCCCAACTTCTTGTTTTACTGATTATCCTGTCTGGACCTTGCTGGCCTCTTCGAAGTCTCCCTCCAGCCCCTTTCAACTCATCCAAAATTCAACAGACTACCATGTCATCAGCCTTCCCAAATCCTCCCATGCCCTGCACTTCCTCCTCCGGCTGCCAGTGGCTGCTTGTATCAAATTCAAAACCTTGCTGCTGGCTGATACATGTGTAGAAATCCACACCCGGAATACCTCCAAAGGCTATGGTGAAGCCTGTGTTCTGTTATATTGGGCCTCTTAGCTTTCCTCTTCCTGCACAAACCTGCTCAAGTCTTCTTCCCCGTGGCTTTCCGTTGGTTCAAACCCTTTATGTTGTTTTTTTCTATGTTCCCTCTGTACTTCCTTTAATTGCTCTTTATAAACGTCTCTTTTTAGCTCTCATTTTATTTCTCCTTCGAGTGCTTCCACTCTTCCCTGTTTTATGATCACACAATGTTATTGTAAGGGCAATAAGGCAGCAGCTCTTTTTCTTGCTGCAGTGAAATTAAGCTTATTCTTGTCATAAAATGTTCTGGATACAAGTGTAAAATGTAAAATAGAAATGTGTTTTTGGCTGATGCCTGTGACTCAACCTCTGCACTCCGGGTCATGTCTTAGGTCACAGTTACATTTGATCACTGTGCAAATATGTATCTTTAACTGGGCTAGTGATGATATATGATATTGTGATAGTTTGTAGAGAAACTATTTTCAATGGCTCTGTTCAGAGTGCAGGATCCCCCAGAGACAGTGTCATGGGGCAATACAGAGCACCAAAGGGCAGAATCTCTAAATGTATACAAGCAACCCTGGTTGTACAATGTACAAAACCTATTCATCTGTGGTTCTCCATTGAGAGCTGGCCAAGCATAATCACTAACAAAGACCAGTGGGAATATGGAATTAGAAAGTTTGATCACATATAATTGATGAAAGAGAACCAAGATAATATACTGTAGGAGGGTTGAATGGATGGGGGAGAGGGATGAAGGGATGAGGGAAGAAATCAGGGTTGTAGACAGATGGATGAAGGAGTTTGGAGATGGAGTGTGTCGGCTGGGGGCGGGAAAGATCGGAGGGAACCGGGAGAGAGTTTCCTCTAGCTCTAAAAAATGTTAGAGCCCCAGTGGTTCCTGTATTTGAACAAAAGAAAAAAAAATTTGGGAGAAAACTGAGTCAAAGAAGGAGTGAACAGAAAAGGTGTGCTTAAGTAGTTTTTGTGTGGAAATGAGATAAGTTCAAGAGGTAGTGTTTGTCCCCGAACCTAGTAATAAAACTTAATTAAATGAAATTGTCGGGTGTCAAATGTGTTTTATATTAAAAGATCGTAAAATATTATGAAAAGATTTATTTCAATAGTACAGAGTTTTGACCAAATACAGCATAATCATTTTATTCTCTGTATTCTTGCTGCAGTTGTATTCTGTATCCTAACAAAGACATAACTAAGTGCTGATTTTGATCACTGGTCTGTGTGAATGTTTCATCCAGAGCTCCCTGGGCCTCCCAGCCATGTGTCCATACTGGTGACCAGCACATCCTCTCTGTTCGTGGTAATCAAAGAGCCACAAGGTGACACCATGGGGCTCATCACCCGCTACAGAGGTAGGTGGTGAATAATATTAATAATAGTAATATAATAGTATAGATGGAAGGATGGATAGATAGAAGAGTGGTGGGGCAAATGAATAAAATAGGTTTGTAAGATCAAAACATAGACAGAATTATGCTGGATAAATACATCATTTAGGGTGACAGGTATAAAAGCCTTATATTTATGGATCTAGTTTTGCTTCTCTGCTTTTGCTACTTGGTTTAACAACTGCATAAATGTCATACTTTGCAGCCAAGGGTAGCTTAAGCCCAGGTACAGCAAGTTCCAAACTGTAAACACTCAAATCCTTTCGTTCCCCCCTATGGGGGTTTTTGAGTAAAGCCAGAGAATAATCTGTCAGTGAGATTGTTTTGTGTTCACAGTGGAATGGAGCACCTCAGCCAGCTTCAAACGCATCCATGGCTCAGCCCAAGTTACAGAGACCAAGAACCCATCTCATAGTATCAAGGGACTCTCTGCAGTAAGTCATGCAGTACCTTCATACAGTCATGCAAGCACATAGGCAAACACCCATCAGGACATCCACAGATTCTAACTGCAAACACACACATAGATGTGAATGATAGCACACACGGTTAAATGGTTTAGGGACATGAAATAATGCGTACACACACCATACAAACACATTAGCTCCAAACGTACACTCAGACTGTATTTATTGCTCCCTAATCATCATCTACTGTGCTGAACTGCTTCCTATAAGAGAATAGTTATCCCACTCAACTGCCTTACCTAACCAGATGAATTAATAATGAGAGCGGTATGTAATTTCTTTGCTCCGGAATGGATGATTCATAAGGTAAATGCATGATGATAATTTGGCGGTCTGGTGCTTCTCCAAATGCAGGGAGTGCATTACTTTGTAAGAGTGAGTGCCTTCAATGTGAAAGGATGGGGCCCGCCTCAGTGCTCTACTCCAGCCAGCGCTGCCCCCTCCAGTGAGTATACTGAACTGCACACTTTGATGAATGTGGACTTACTACCTTGAAAGGGCTCCATTCTTTTCCTCTCTGTCCCTGAATAATGAAATTACTTAGCTGACACCAAACTTGATGTGAAAGAAGTGGAATCCACTCATGGCTGGTGGATTAATGAATTATTAAAACATGGAGAATTAAAGATGTCACTGTGAGTCACAGGCCTTGTACCCGTGCTCCTTTGAATTTGGCTTCTAATCTTTCTTGCATGCCATCCCCACTCTCTCACTGCTTTACATGCTCTTACTCAACACTTTATACTGTGCAATGATGCAAAAATTGCCACACAATGTTTTTGAAGTGGAGAACAAAGGCAAAAAAATTCTGAATATAACTCAGAATAAAAAGTAGTAGTAGTGGAGTACGAGTCATATTCAGCCTGTTGCAGTGTCAGTTAGGTAACACACACTTTAGCTTGTAAATCCATTTGAATCTAACTTAGAAGGAGTTATAATTTCAGCATTAAAACTTTCAGAGTCACAGCACACAGATGGTCTCTCATGCAAACGCTCTTGCCTCCTAATCACCAAGATAGGGAAAAGCAGCACTCAGGACTTGCCTGCAAATGAGTTTTTGATGTCTTGAATGATTTTTTCCTAATTGCATGAATGCTTCTTTCTTTCTCCCCGTACAGGTTGGAGAGAGTGCGTTGGTGTGAAGTCACAGTTCAGAAATCACGAGGGCCTCGTGAGGAAACTGCTGAAAGATGCCAGAGAACCACATTACAGAGGATTCTGTATAGGTAACACTGAGTCTTTGGTGATATAATGACACTTGCATGATGATTGCATATGCAGTTGCTGTGAAGCACGGCTGTATAGTCCATACAACTGTATGTATTTATTTATTTATATAGTATCACTATATTTTCTGCCACAGTATTACCGTCACAATAAAAAGAACATATTAACGTTATTTGCCCATTTTTATGTCCTACACATATTTACCAACTAATGCAATAAAGCAAATGAATAAACTTTTTTATTCAAATCTATTACTTTTAACTCCTAGAAAACACTGTGTTTAGGTGGTTACTTCATCATGTACTAAAAAAAAAACAAATCTAGTCAAGAAAAGAATCTGGCATAATGCTTTCTTCCAGTATGACAGCATTTCGAGTACTGTGGGTGTACAATAGGTTTTGACCTTATTTTCTGTTGTACTTCGTAAAAACATAATAAACATTTGGGACATCGAACATCATTTTTATGATGTTTCATAAGGGCCTAATATGCTAAATTGACAATGTTTTATCCTTGCTTTATAGCATATTATATCAGCTGCAAGTGCTGTATGTATAAAGTCTTTTCACTTCACAGAAAAAACGTTTCACCCCCCTGCCCCCTCCTTCTCACCCCCCATTCAAACATCTTGTGCGTGCACACTGAATGTACTTTGGCAGTAAAGTGATTCTCATCCTGTCTGATCCTCTTCTACTCCGCTCCACAGAGAGCTCTAAGCCCCAGAGTCCCAGCAAGCGTCTGTCTGTGTCTCGAGGCATCAAACAACTGTTCCAGTCCGCCACCAAGTTTGTTCGTCTCCTACAGAGGTAGCTCTCCATCTGTCTTACCTGTCCCACTGTGCCTGGAAGGTATGGGGAGTAGTGGATTAAATGCGATGCGATTACAGCAGTGTAGACTACAAAGCCCAAAGTCCGAACTCATATCTGTTACAGTTATTGAAAAAGAACAGCAGTCGCATTAAAGCTGCTGAATCCTCAAGATTAGTGGAGAGGTCTTTTTCAACAGCATGGTGTTTGAATTCACTGAGCTGTGGCGTGTGGCACATGAATGATCAAAGCTTCTTGCTGCCACAAGCGTTCAGTGGACCACATTCACCACAGAGTAGCTGACAGTGGATAAACAGGGGCAGCTTCTAAGTAGGTGTGTGTAACTGCATGATTCACAGGAACAGGAACCACAGCATTGTATTCAGAAAGTGGTCGTAGACTGCATAGATTATTCAAAACATGGTGGTTTGAAGGAAAATGCTTTTTGAATATAGACACAAACATCCTTTGCATAACTTGATGTAGTGTTATTACTCTTGACAGTGATAGCACGATCAGAAAATAAATGTATTTTAAACATGTTTCCTGCTACTATATATCCTGCTACATTGACTATAATCTTGCTCTGTGAAAATGAATTTCCCCACATCACTTCCCTTGAAGGATTATAAGATGTTCTGTGAGTTGAGGGAATTCTCTGATCTCTCTCAGATTTTTATCTGATGAGACAGTTGGATGTAAAAAACGAACTGTGATCAAACCATGAGTTTTAGAGTCAAGATTGAAAATGACAGCAGTTGGACTGCAGCACAGAGCTCAAGTAACCTAAACAGTTTATTTCTATATTTTCTCTTCATTTGGTCAATCTCGTATTGATCTCATTAGGGGCGTGTACTTGGCTACTGTGTTCTACCACAAGGAAAACATCCTGGTGACAGCTGAAGATCAGATCCCACTGGTGGAGATCCAGTGCTGCTCCAACTCCATCACCCAGGACTTTATATGGTTTGCCAAGGTCAGTCGAATACACGTATGTCAATCCAACATATGCTGACATAAATGCTGTTGGTCATTTTTTAAACACTTTAGAAATACACATGTAGTCAGTGGACTGTTTTCAAATCAAACACAACAAATCGTCTGTTGTTTTATTTATTGATTCTACAAATGTAAATATTCAGAATGAAAGCTGTGAAAAAACTGAACGCATTTTTCTTCCTTCTAGTTGTCCTGTGCGTGGCAACAAGTGCCCTGGCTCCAGCAAGCCCTCTCCTCTGCTTATTCATCCCCCTCCTCTCTCCTCCAGAACAGGCACAACATTTTAAGAGCTGTTTCCCAGCTGCAGGTAGGAAGTTAAGCAGCTTACTCCGCATGATAAGAAGCATCAAAATGGGTTAATTGCTATTTTAATTGCCTCTCACTCCTCCTACTCTTCTCACTTGTGCCTCACTTCCATATCTCAGGCTACATACCTGTACCCTGTTTCGCTGTATTAATCCCTAATATCCTCATATTTATTCATTCTCATATTTCTGTTTTACCTCTTCACCTTTCTCTGCCTTCAGTCTTCCCTGGGAACGATGGACCTGGGCCAGGTGTACTATGAGCCTCTGAAAGACCGGCAGGGCAACGTTTTACTGGTGACCCTGAAGGAGTTCCCAAATCCTCCCAGGTGAGAAAAAGAGTCAGACAACAGACTTAGCACACATGCAGAATAATATTTTCAGTATATCCAGCCTATCTGTTGGTTGCAGATGTTATACTGGCAGTGTTATAGTAATATGAATTAATTAAACTGAGGTTTTCATTGGTTCTATGTGGTTGCATATCATTTTTCACCCTGACTTGTCTGCTCCGCTCCAAGCCCTCCTGACCCTCCGCTTCACTGGATGCCCCTGGCCCGCCTGGAAAAGAACCGCAGCAGAACTCCTCTGCTGCCTGAGCCCACTGCTATGGACATGCTCTACGAGCAGCTCAAGGTGAACCTGGAGTTGTGTTTGTGTAAAAGAGAGACACACAGAGAAAGTCTGTGCGCAGCCACGTGCAACAGAATGTATTTACCGCCGAGTGCATAGTGATTGAGTGCATTGACTTTCCTGACTTGTTTATTGAGCCTTGTTTTTCTCTTCTGTGTCACTCAAATAACCCTGAAAACGCAATAGAATTAATGAATTAGGTCTTAAGAAAATTAGCCAACCCAAATAAAAAACTAAATGAGACAGGCACAAAAGGCATCTAAACATTATTAACATCCTATTAACATATCTTAAAACCCTTCTCTCCCTTCTCCAGGAGAAACTATACTTCCACAGGCACAGTGTTCAGTGGGCCCAGCCGGGTCTGTACGTGGGCATCCTGAAACTGTGCAGCTCAGTAGAACAGATCAGGGTCCTGGTGCCTCAGAGGCTGCCCAATCTACTCTGCCACACACGGGTCCGACACAATGCCCACGTCTCCAGGTAACACTGTTTAAACATGTGATATACTGAGCCAGGCCCATCACAAACAACGGTGATTGACTCAGAAGACCGTAGCACTCGTTCTCTATGTTATAGCTCAACAACAAATCATACTTTATTGTTGCTGAGCATTTTCCAAAGCATACCATACCATGCTTGCTGCTTTCAGGTGTTGCAGAAACTCCCAAATGCTTTAAAAAGGATATTTCAAATTCTGTAGCTCCTGGCATTAGAAAGGTAGCTGTTTGGCAGCCACTCTCAACTCTTGGAACAGGGCAGCGGTACCTGCTTGCAGCTTAAATCAATCAAAAAAAACACAAAAAATACTTTGGAAAATGGTCTGCATGAACATTAAGTATATGCAGTTTGTAGTTAATGGAACATGCAAAGCTGCTGACATTAAAGGTTTTTTTGTACCTGACTTTTATAGCAATGTTTTGTTAACTGCATCCTCACTGTGTGGCAGAGAGGAGTGGGCATGGCTCCAGACTCATGTTTACACCACAACCAATGACAGTGTTCAGAACCTGTTTGGCGGCGAGGACGAGAGCTTGATGGAGAGCAGCGGGTTGGTGGAGTTCGTCAGGTCTCTGAGAGCAGCAGTCACACATCTCTTGACAAAGCTCAACATCCCCCTCTACAGGGTAAATCTGGATCCAAACAGCCACCTCCAACTTCCCCTTTCTGAGCTATTATTTTATGAATTGTTTAGAAAGGAGAAAGCATGATGAAAGTCGGTTACACAGAGAGCCTTTAACAGGTTGTCATAACATTTGGACATGTTGCTGTGACAGGCGTATCAGTATGGCGTGTACACCCGGGAGCTGCTGCAGTTCGGAGATAAGCTGTCCGTGCTGCTGCTGCTGCCTCCCAGTGAGGACTTCAGCTCCAGCTACTGGCCTCTGGTGGGGACCAAGGAGCCTGGGCTCACCATGCCCCTGCAGATCTTTGAGCTGGGTAGGTGGAGGACTGTAGTTGCAGAAGTCCATCTGTCTGTTGTAAAGCAGTGCTGAGAGAGGGGGCAGAGCAATGCCACTGGCAGCAAGCATAAAACATAACTGTGATTCATACTGTGTTCATCATCCTGGTCCAGTATGCAACTTGAACAGTGTGATGTAGAAACTTGAAGGCACCAGTGCACATCCACTGAGAATGGACTGAAGTAGGAGACATCTTGTGTCCAGCAGGAAAACTTTAGAAATGAAAGAAAGGAGAAGAAGACACACATTATTGTCCCAAGTAGACTATTAATACATATCTGGAGGAGATCTTACAATAAAAACAGGAGCATCACAGTAGAACAAAGTGACATACATCATCTCATTACGATCAATAAATGTGTCTTGAATCTTGGGACCTAAAGGAGGACCAGTACCTAAAGGAAAGAATTTGAAATACCCCCGCCATAAAATAAGCAGTGAAATGCGTTTACACTCTTACCAGTTTGGTTGGAGAGTTTAATATTTGTGAAGCATACTGAAGTGCTCTATCCAGGCTTTTGAAGATGAGTCATATTTATTGTTTTTTCTTATCTAATTAGTCCTTTGATCCTCCTTTTCATCCACACTTCAGGATTTGTTTTGACTCTAATTTAAATCCATCTTTCCGTTTGACCTTTCTTGAAAAATCCCACACTAAAGCTATGACGAAGTGCGCTAATGAGTTCTGTGGCCTTTTCTCTCTGCTTTGAAGTAGTCATTTGTCTTTCGTCTTTAACTCTGCCTCATCACCAGTTCACTTCTGGACGTATGAACGAGACTTCCTGGCCCAGTACTGCCAGGCCTGGGTGAGGCTGGAGCTGGACACTCATCTGGCCCAGCAGGCTCTGCGGGAGGCGCTGGACACGAAGGAGGTGCAGGAAGCCCGAGAGCGCCTGAACCACATCACTGAGCTTTCCCACGTAAGGAGAAACAAAAGGAGGCTTCTCCTGTGATTAATATGGGTTTAATGTGGGAAATGAATAAGAAATAAAGGCTTTTACTTGGATCCACACATCAGTGTATTTGATTAAGTGTAGCAAAGGGATGGCTACATGTGATTTTGGTTTAACTAATTTAACAGTTTCAATTTCTGTTTATTTTCCCGTGTCTTTAGCGTCTGGATGTGGTGTGGAGGGACGCCCGTTGGATTATGGACTGTCTGCAGTGCGTTCGGTCCAAGCAGTGGGTGGGGGCGGTGCCTCTGGGCCTGGTGATGGGAGGAGACCCGCCAGCACGTCCGGATGGTGAAGAGGAGGAGGAGAGCCTGACTGCCAGACTGACGTGGCCCCATCGAATACATGCACAGAGACAAGCCATTGCAGGTACGGTGATGATGTGGGTGCAGATAAGCGTGTATTGGATTATATTCTAGCACCAAATTCGACAGGGTTCAACATTGTGGACTGACTGATGACTTAGACTTGATTAAAATTTACCAGATCCACTTAGTTTTAACCAGTCCGACAACATCCAAACAAGTCTCAGGAGAGAACCACGAAGAACTAATGTTACATTACTGAGCATTAGTTTATAAGCAGTCACTGGCTTGTGACTTGCAAAACAATGACTGGGTCCCACCTCTGTTAAATCAGTTACCATGTTTCAACATATTTAAGCAGACTGTATGTTTATTTTACTTTATCTTTTAAAGATGCAGAACTTAATTTAACATTCTTGTCCACGTCCCATTTTACATAGATAATAAAAACAGGGAGATATATCAGTATATATAGTATATAAGAATGCAGTTTAGCATGTTAACACTGAGCTTCTGTAACTTGCTTCAGCTTTAATGCTTCTATGATTTAAGGATTAAGATTTAAGATAAATAACTTCTTTTTGTCCTCAAATTTTCCTTTCAGACAGTTTAGCCAGCTCGACTGCACCAAATGTTGTCACCGCCGAGATCTCCGCTCAAGCGGGAGTCATGGTCGTCCCTGAAGAAGCCGCACTGGCTTTAGCAGAGGGCGTCGCAAAGGGAGGATACCCTGTAGACATCAGCGCCCAGTCAACTGTAGACTTGACGAGCATTGGCCAGTCAGAATTGGGGTGTGCAAGCGCTTTAATCGAATCTGGACTAGAGCCTGCTGCTGTTGCACAGTTGGAAATGGAGTACACAGTTCTGGACACGCAGGTGTCCTACAGTGAGGAACAGGACTTTCCGTCCAGCATCACTGAGGTAATCCGGCCAATGGAGATGGCAGAGTTGGTGGACATCTTGCCCACTCTGAGTCTCATTGAGGAGGAGACCCCCAGTGGCCCGTCCACACCATCAGTAATGGATATGCTCGAGAGCTTTGGACTGGGGATTAATGAAAACAACACCTTCTTTCCCTTCGAGAATTCAACCTTGACCAATGGAGCCGGGTGTCTGTCGCAGCCTACCCCGCACTGTAACAGCAGCAGTGTGAGAGAGACACACTGTGAGAATACTGTCTTACAAGGACAAGACATGTCTGCCTCTCCTGTCGCGGTAGACGCCACAGGCGGTGACGTGCCTGTTTTGAGCTGGGATTTTCCCCTAGAGGATCCAGAGGCTCAGCAGGCTTCCAGCAAGGGAGTGTGCTTTCCAGTGAGAAACCAGGTGGAGTGGGACAAACCCTGCAACAGTTCATCCTGATATCGACTTAAATACCAGCCTACTTCAAACTCGTACCAATTTAAAACTGTAGGCTGCAGCACAGCTGATTTACAGACAGAAAATCCAAGTTAGACTTTTTGGGCTTGAAGACGACATTTTCTTTGATCCCTGACTGTCGATCAGTGTCCACTCGCCCAGTCAATATCAACTGTTGTCCTAGTTTCATCCAGATACCAGTTAATCTGACAGTTGATGAATGTCGGAAATGGAAAAGAGAAGACACCATAACTAGACTGATTTATGTCGTTTGCACATTTCTGGGCCTGTAGTTTATCTTTTTTTAATGTTAAGCTTCTTGTGTGGAACAACTAAGATATAGTTATAGTTTTATGACTTGAAAATCCACCACTCACTACAGCACAAAGCAACATTGCTGCTTGTTGGAGGTTGCACACAAACTCATTAAATACAAAGTTCAGTAAGTGGGAAAAGCTGTTGTGTAGTATGTGTAATTGAATAGTTGTGGTTCTCTTTGGTTTGCCTGTATGCATTTTTGGATCCCACACCAAAACTGTAGCAAGATTTATAATCCTGTTGATTATAAATGAACTGCCGTCAGTTTGCCAGTTCGGGTATGCAAGTTTGGCTTGAGCTGAATATTAGATATCTAAGAGAGAAGGAACCCAATTCACACAAGAAAAGACTAAAGACAGAATACTGGTGCTGCAAGAAAACTAAACTCGAGATGTCAGCCGTCATGAGATGTGGATGATTTGTTCTTTAGTTCCTTCAGTTTTTTTCACAGATGATCCCTCACTACAATGGCCTATTTAAAAAGAGGTTTTCAAAAAATACTTAAAAGTTTCTGTTCTTTGCTGCATTTAGCTACTCTTGAGCATAAACAGTAGAAAAATACTCTGCTCTTTAAGCCTTTAAAGGAGATTTGGCCTTACATTGTTGCTTCTGTACGTACTGTATCTTTACCTCCTCCTGCCTAGCATTAATTCAGAGTCAACCGAGGTTGAGCTAAGGCTGAGGAAACATGTAGACTTAGTAAATGCTTTGAGGGAAACCAGAAAGACACAAGTGATTGTGCCAATGGGATGAAGAGTTTGGGAGAGGGTTGCTTTAAAGGGATTAACCACAGGAACAATACAGACTGAACTGACCATGGAGAAATGTTAGGCAAGTGTGACGAGTGAGGTGGTTGTGCTGGTTGAACCTCCGCTATAGGTTTTTTTACAAAAGAGCTGCGAAACTAAGTGATGTACTCCAAGCAGAGTGAAGGTAGAAGAATAGAATACAGTTGAATAGAAGGGAATAGCTTTTCCTTGCAGCTTGCTGCATTTCAACTGAAGCTCATATACGGCTTTTAAAAAGATTAACTTTGGATTCCATTTTCTCTCCATACCATAGTCTGTATTATTAAGGAGGTATCAGCTTTGGTAGGAATAAAATAAATACTTCAGTGGGTTGTAACATTTAAACATCATGAACATGTGGATAACAGCATTGTGAGAAGGTCGTTGTGTGTTTAAGTGGGTTGAAACTGCCCAAACTAATGTTAAAAATCCAATTAAAAACTGCCTGTGAGGCTTTCACATAGTGCTTTAGCATTCTGTGTTTTATTTTTCGGGGGTTTGCATTTCCTACGTTTCTTCTACTTGTGTAAAAAAAAAAAAAAAAAGAGGAACACATATGAGTCTGTGACTTCCCTGGACACCCATGGTACACCCAACAAAACCTTTCACAGCAGCCATTTTGACATGAAATAGTTGGGTAAACAAAGGTGTTACCAATGATACTAATTAAGGCTCCATTCCATTTAGTGTAGCAGAGCCTCTCCAGAGAGCCAACATCATGGAATAGCAGCCCTCTAACTCTCTCTGACCTGTTTATTAGATATTTTTTAAGGCCTGCGGGCGCGTGCAGGCTGTGCTTGATTGCCATCTTCCTCACAAATTTCCCCCCAGGGATCAATAAAGCATTTCTGAGTCTGGTCTTCTCACTCTAAGTTGCACTTGTTAAGGGTGACTTAATACATTTTTTCATCCTTATTGGTTCTTCGATCATGTAAATCCCTCATAGCTCAGTGTAATTTCAAGCAGAGTCGAATCAGGCAGGATGATTGAAAACACCAGTGTGGTTTGCAAGGATTTTGTGTAGTGTAATTACATGTTATTGATGAAGTATACACAGAGCAGAGTTTCACTGGAGATCAGTGAATTGTCAGATTAATCACGTGTCATCTTTATGATAAAGTGGAATTAATAGGCTCATGTATTTTGGAGAATATTAGGTTTAACAATCTAGTTAAACAATCTGTTGAGAGCTTCGTCCCTGCTGTTTAACAATGTACTTTGTAATAACATTTATGTGATAAAGATATATAAAATTCCTAATTAACTTAGTGCCTTAGCTCTGCCCAACATAAAATATTCACAGATCCGATTAACGCAGAACATTATCAATTTATTCTAAAATTGAATAGGCTCAAGGGAGGCCCAAATAGTGCTTTAGCTGTCGAGATAGCCCTACCAGAGGTAGAACAAAGCCAAACAATAGTTTTTATATATTACAGAGGTCTCCCATATATGAAATGGATTCTTGTATAAAAATATTTTACTGCAAAAGTGGTTAAATTGACACACATTGGGACACACCCCATACATGAAATAAGTGCAAAATAAAGCCTGTCAGAATGGGACATGATACACCTGAAGCCATGTAATTTCATAATACAAGCTCTGATCGATTACAATGTTGGAGTGGAAGTGGGCAGGGGGTTCCTCTACATGTCTGACAGGACAGGAAGACAGTACTACAAACACAGAACTACAACTGGCGGAAATATCCAATTTTAAGATCTAAAATTTGATATTTAAATACCAGTTAAACCACTTTTGGAGTATAATTTTTAAAATATTTTTATACAAAAATTCATTTTATGTATGGGAGACCTTAGACAATAAAGAAAACACATTGTTGTGAATTGTTAGGGGTGTCTTCCCACTGTCCCAGCAGTTTGGTAGCTGGTTTAAACCTGAGTGTTTACTGGCCTCCAGTGGCCACAGTGAGGAATTACAACACTAAATCATTATAAATACCTTTGTAGAAGTCATTGTTTGTTTGATTATTTGTAAGTAACAGCGGTAACATTACTATTGGTGATCGCTGTGTTAGTAAGGAGCTATTTTAATGTCAGTTTTCTGGTGTGGTGGTCTTCACTGCATGACAACTTTTACTTTTACTTTGAGGGGCTGTATAGCGCCGCGGCGGCAGTATGGAGCATCTTTCTGCCCCTCCTGCAGCTGCACTGATGCTCTCTGCGGTATGGTGCTAACGAAATGACAATTAAAAGCAAGAAGACTTCTCAGTGGCAACCAAAACATCCCTCTGCTGCACTGAAGTCACCGAGAAACCGGCAAGACGAAGGCTTTGTTTTAGTTTCCCTGTTAGGATGTCATCTGAAAATGCTGCGTCATCTGAAGGTATGTCGATTACTGTTACCTCACCAAGTTGGTGAGCAGGACAGCATCGTGCCAGTGCACTGTGGACTGCTATACACATATGTAATATAATATAATATTAGTCATTTGAAATATGAATATATAAAATAAAACTAGCCCATACAACATAAATCATATCATATGCTAGACTGCCATATACTTATGAAAAGATAATAATATACATGTATTATGACTGTAATTTTACCACAGTGCGTGAAGCATCACCTCCTACAACAGAGGCTGATGGAGCCCTGAGGATTGTCCTCTTGGGGAGAACAGGGACGGGCAGAAGCTCCTCGGGCAACACCATCCTGGGCAGGTCCGCCTTCTGGGTCGACGTCTCCCCCAGTTCTGTCACCACACAGTGCCAGAGGAAGACTCTGACAGTGGACGGGCGGAGTATGTCTGTGATTGACACTCCAGGTTTCCTCCACACGCACCTGTCCCCTGAGGAGGTCTTGGCAGAGGTGGGACGGTGTGTTGTCCTGTCCTCTCCGGGACCCCACGCCTTCTTGGTGACCCTGCAGCCCAGCAGGTTCACCCAGGAAGAGAGGGACGCCTTGGAGTGGATCAAGGCCACGTTTGGGCCCGGAGCCGCCAGGTTTACCGTGTTGTTGTTCACCTGGGGAGACCAGCTGCAGGGCAAACGCATCGAGGACTTCCTGGAGGAGAGCGACGAGCTGTCGGAATTTGTCAGAAGCTGCCATGGGGGGTATCACGTCTTTGATAACAGTGAACAGGTCAAGACAGCGGAGAGCCCACAACAGGTCGTACAGCTTCTGAAGAAGATAGACAAGATTGTGGCGGATAACGGAGGCGGTTGCTATAGCAATGAGATGTTCAAGGAGGCTGAAAGGGCCATCAGAAAGGCACAAGAAAGGATCCTGGGAGAAGGAGGACACAAGGTGGAGTCCCTTCAGAAGGAGGCTGAAGAGAAGCAGGGGTCAGAGTTAGAGAGGAGGGAGGAAGAAGAGGCCAGGAAAAGGGCTGAGAGGCTTTTCTGGTCCGAGCTGGTGACTGCTTTGGGGAGAGGTGCAGCAGAGGGGGCAGGGATCATGGAGAAAGACAAAGAGAAAGGGGGGAAAGCTGTGAAGAAGGTGACGGTGGTGAAGAAGGCAGCAGCTCTGGCAGCATCGCCGCTCTCCATCCGCACAGCGGCACGAGCGGTGGAAGGAGCTGTGAGAGAAGGCAGTAAGGTGCTATTTAAACACAGGAAAACTTTACTGCACTGAGGGATGCTGGACTCTGACTGTTCAATGAGGGGTTGTCAGGAAACACAGTGGAGCCTATGGTCAACATAGAGGCGATGATGGGTGAAAGAAGGTCACTTAGCTGTGTTTTTTCACTGTGCATCATTCATCCAATGTTATCAGTCTCTGTTTAATACCAGCACAATGAATCAGCACTTTCAGACCATACTGTTAAAGAAGAATACGTGTGTGTGTGTGGTGTGTGTGTGTGTGTGTGTGCGCGCGTGGGTGTGGTCCCTACAGTAAGGTAAACAACCTGGTGTAAAGTTGTTCCCATACCGATACCAGTATTGGAAATTCCTCCAGTACTGCCTAAAATGCGGGGTATATGCGAGAACATGTGCCCCGGAATGGGATCCTGCTGTTTCCCAGCAGCGTCCTGTCTGCTGTTTTCACCCACTGATAGCGTAATCATCACCTGCTCTACTGAGAGTAAAGTACAGGTATCGGTATCAGGAAGGACAGAATGGTGGTGTGTTGCAGTCTATGTGGATTAGTAACAAAGAACACAGACACATCCCTGAATTGAGAGAGTTCACGTTATAATAAATGTCACGTCATAAAAACTGGTGTGCAATTCAACTTACTGTGAGCAATGCAACACACTCTCATGCCATTTCTCCACTTTTCATCCCTGACACAACAAGACAGTCGGATCAAGGAAAGACAAAAACACTGCAGCAGATAATCTGTTCCATCTTTTTAAGGCATGACAATATCTAAATATAAAAGACGATGACTACGAGGAAATACAAAAAGGAACATACTTTGAAACAGTTTGCATGTAGGGAGTGTCTAACATTACAGAACCAAAGAGGAGGACAATTTGTGGAAGATTACAGAGTACAAATGTACAAATACTACAATATTTGTCGTTACTGCAAAATTAATCAGGCAAGACTCAGTTTGCCAAACGTGTGGTGGGGATCGGATAAAGTGTAGGAACCTTTGACATGTAACTGGGCACTCTTACAACTTGAACACAGCAAACACTGGGTCTGTGTCTGTACTGTGTGGAGACTGAAGCTACACACCCTCTACATGAGCGCTGTACGTAAAAGCTACAACCGACCTCATTTACACTGTTGTGGATTCTAACAGTCTCCAGAGCCAAAGTCTCTCTCAAGTAAAGACAAATACATAGTTTCCATAGTGTTACTCACTTGCCTGAATTTAAGTTTGTGCACATCATGGACACATTTCCAGTGTCACAATTGCATAATATGAAGAAAAAAACAAACAAGCATACAGAAATATTCTCTCTCACACACACACACACACACACACACACACACACAGACTTTCGTTTCTATTGGTGCACTCAAATCGGTCTACAGAATGATGTTCGACCATTAGTCCCATGGCTAAATAAATGTACAGTTGAAGGGCGAGGACTGTGTTCAGATGCTGGACTGCAGCAGGCACCAGCGGGTGGCTGAATTTGGTGCAGACGTCTGTTATTAAACGGGCATCGGCAGGGTCATCTTTCCTTTTCCCCGAAGTACTGCAGGCAGGACAAAGAGGGAGAACAAGCCAGGTGTGACTACAGAGTTTGATTTTGAAACCACAAAATTCAACTTCGAGAGCTAACTCTTTAACTGCTGCCAAGAAGGACATCCTCCTTAACTGGATAAGCAGGATTAAAAACGGGTGCCAATAAGGGGGCAAATAATAATGTTGTTCCTAGTACCATCTTAACAATACAATACAAAGGTGTTTGTTTTGGCCCGTGGCTCACAATTACATTTCAGCTTTGGCCCAAGGGATGAAGTTTGGGCACCGCTTATTTAACTACAACTATTAAAACACACACTTACAGTAGTTGTTTGACTAATAAATGTACAGTTAATTAACTGCCAATTAACTTTCTTGGTCATTTATCAAGAAAAATACCAAACATTCACACAAACAAAAGTTTGATTTAGCTGCACTTCCTGTTTTATATCATAATAAAATGTGCTTAATTAAACTTTAGTTATTTAAAAGTCAGTACATTTTTAGCTATAAAAGGCTTTGTTAAATTATAATGAGCATTTGTCATTCTTTTTGATATTTCTTAGATGAGGTAATTCATGATTACTCTATGAGCTCTAGGGATTAGGACTATAAACACAACAATAACACTACAAATAATTATCGATTATGTCAACAATCAAAAATTCTCCAACAGATCACAGCTGAAATCAGCCACATCTAACAGTTTTTATACTAAATCACCCCCACCCCCCTTTGCAGTAGCCTTTACTCACCCCTTGTGACGTAAAGGTAGAAGAAGTCGCAGTAGAAAATGGTCTGCACGACGCCGGACACCACGGCGATCTGGTCGAAGAAGCCCTCGGTGTGGTAACGCCACACCCAGTTGGCTATGTAGAGGGCTCGGTAGAGGCCAAGGAAGAACAGGTAGTGGGTGGTGATGGACTCCGCCTCGCCGGTCTTGGTGATCATGAAGAGCTGCGGCATTATGGCCACCGCCTCCAGGAAGATGGAGAAGGTCCACATGATCTGGTGGGAATCAGCAGGAGGCAGACACATGAGAAGAGGTGGATGGTTTGGGCGGCTGATTATGTGCACCAGTAATAAAAACTGTACTTAAACTCACCATAAACCCCTCAAGATGCATGTTTATACACCCCGAGTGATCTTATGATACAAGGGCTTGAAACCTTTCCAAACTGGATTGAAGATACTGTCTGAGTGCTTACCTCCATAGGGTTGAATGCATAGTTTTCCAGGAAGGACAGCCCGATGACTGGCACCAACAGGAACTCCACACGGAAGGTGTCGTTCTCCGAGTCATACGCGTTCCTGAAGCGCATGTAGATCAGGTACACGGTAGCATAGGACAGAGCCAGGAACACCACCTGAGAGCAGAGACAAATGTTGAACTTCAGCCCCCATTGATCCAACACTGACACACTGGTAGTGAAGTTTAGACTGAGCACATAGGAAACATCTGGAGGGAAACTGTGGACTTTAAACTAGTGGCTTATCTAACAAAAATCCTCCTAACTTGCTGCCATACCCTGAATTATGGTAAAAACAGTTTGTGTTCTGGGTTGGATGTGTGAAACGGTGCTTGAGCTACACTCTTACCTTCATGACCGTGTTGTAAGGGGAGATGAAGACCGTGAACAAGTCCAGGTACCTGGTGGTGAAGACAAGTGCAAACAGCACCTGAGACTTCCCAGAAATACCTACAGAGGGGGAAATAAATAGTTTAATCTCTGCCTAATGTGCAGTCAACAGCACTTCACACAAGAACGACTAGTCCAGGACAGATCTCAGATATAGACCCACAGATATAAGGAAATGTAGTGACCTCCCACCCCACACAATTTTATGATCAAACAGCAAAAGCAGGCATCTGTGCTGCATGTACAGTTTGCTTTAAAGGTGTAGCCTGCTGTATAATAGGTGGAGCAGGCAGCTGATTGCTTTGTTAACACTGCCACGTCGCTTCCACTTCTGCAGGAGCACTCAGCATCATGCAAATACCCTGACTCATTTCCACAAACAGCGCTTTCAACCCTGCTTTTGTGATCACTGCGACATATTGTTTATAGTCCAAGTCCATGCAAGTCTCCGGGCGGGTTGAAGTGCAGTGATGTTCAGTGTGAGCCTACCAGCACAGGATCTGGACTTCCATATCTTCAGCAACAGGATAATGATAGCCACCAGGTGTGACACGTCACCCGCCAGACGGAAGATGTTCATGTTGTTTATTTTCCGCCTCAAAAACAGTAAAAACAACTCCTGTCGGGCCTTACGCGTCCTCGAGAGACAGGGCAGGGATGTTCAGCCACACGGGGGAAAAAAGCGAACACAAAGTGTGAGAGAGTACAAACACGAAACGAGTTTTAAAAAAAAAAGCTAAAGAGAGGAGAAGCCAGCGGCGGCACGGTGAGCTCCGAGGGTCCGACTGCTATCTAAACACTCAGATAAACAGGTATGAGTGCACTCAATCACTCCGCTCACTCTCCACTGAAGGAAAGTTGCTTCAGAGGAGGTGACGTGGCTGACAGCTCACACTGCGTCAAGCTGACCGGGATCAAACAGCTGTATCCTGTTCCGGTTCGGGGTTTTCAAAGTAAAACTTAGTCAACACGCGGTCTTCTATTTACAATTAACCACCATTATATATAAAGCTGACCAGTTTCTTGGTTGAGTCTATTAAATATCTGACGTTGGTGAATATTTTCCGGCCATTCGTTGTTTTAAAGGATTTAGCTGGATTTATTTGGAAGATAAAATCCCACATTTCCGGTGTTGACTTTCTCTGGCTACCTTGACGCACATGGGAGGACTAGTGGCTGCTGGGTTGTGGGCAGTGGCAGTATGTGGGCCATCCTCAAGAAGCACAACCCTGATTAAACTGCAGATGGCGACAGGCTGTAGGCAATGAGGAATAGGATCCTGGTCCAGCACTTGGGGAGTTTCCTGCTACCCTCTCTCCCACTATTATTTCCTGTTAGCCTGTACCTTGGGTCACCCCCAACTCAAGGGAGTTTGGTCTCAGAGGGCCTTAAACCCCTTTTTTGGGTTTCTGGTGAACGCATCTAAATGTAAATATAAAGGTACTCGATTGAAACAATAGTAATACAAGTAAGAACAGGGAGTATCATCTAACATAAGATCGTCTAATAAGGTAATTGCAACTGCAGCCGCTGTGCAGTGACACATTACTGCAACAGGATGTGGGATTTGGTTATAGAGCTAGATTATAAGATACTGGTTACTAGAGGTTGTTCTACTTTTTTGAGGTTTGAGTTTTCATTTTTTGCTTAGTATGACATCATTAAACAGACTGAGTTTCTCTCCGCACCCCAAACCATGACTGACTGGATCAACACACCATTCGTTGTAAATTAGAGCAAAAAAAGAACTGAAATAAATGTCCTTCTTTTGTTTTAACAGAAATCAGAACCTTGTCTCTATTTCTCAGTATCAGATTACTCTTGTTTCTTCCAGTAAGTCATATTGGGAAATTATAAGGAAATCACAAACCATTTACCTCTAAACATTAAGGTCATAATACTGTTTGAAAGACTCACATATCCAGGAATAAAATTCAGTTTTCTTTATCGATTCATTTAGTTGGTCTAGTAGTGGTTGCAGTGGAGGTAGTGGAGGGATGACAGGACCAAGGGAGAGAGAGATTCGAACTGGAGACGTTGCACTTCACGGTTAAGCTAAGCCACATGGTTGGTATCTCTTAGAAACATTTTAAAGTTCTTCCTCTGAACCGTAAACATTTATCATTATCAATCTTGCACACATATCTTTGTTTTGAGTCTTCTCCAGCCGTGTGATGAACTGTTTCTATTTGTGTCATTTAAATGAGACGAGATGTGTTTTTAGAACGAACATAAAAGTTTTTTGCTCTGCACAGCAGGCCGTACAGGCATACAATGGCACGCATTTGCCTCCTCCTATTTATGATCCATATCCAACCTTCGCTACCAAGTGTGCATATGATTTTCAGTGTTTTAAAATACTCTCCACCCTCCCTGTCTTCACCGTCTTCTGGTGCTTCCGCTCGACCTCCCTCCCTTTCCTCTTAATTCTACAATCTGAATCACTGTCGAAGCCCAAAACCACTCACTCGCCCTCCATTTCTCACCACTCAGTGTTTCCCTTCCTATCAAATCCCACCTCCACCTCCTCAGTCATCCTCCCTCTTAATCCACAAATTGCATCTGAATTTGGGCATCACACACATCCTTCTCCCCTGCATCCTACTCTCATGTTTGATGCAGTGAAATCAGCACAGGGCACCTGAGATCACAGAGGAAACGCTTTCAGCCTACTTAGAGTGCATCCATGGTGGTGCAGAGAAGTGAGGGGGCACCAAACAACAGCGAAGGAGTAAACAGCTTCCTTACACACTCCCGAAGCATCCAGCGCAGAGCCGGGTCCCTTTTTCTGTCACTAGGTTGTTCAAGTTGAGTAATATTCTCAAGCAGAAGAGCTCATATTATCTGATGTCTACTGTCTACATTAGACAGCCAGAGTGATAAATGAACAATGAAGAAGAAGAAACACAATTATATACAAACTATGCAATACAACTATGCTTTATTAGTCTCCTGATTTATTCCAGACAAATGTACTGTAGAGGACATCCTCTGACAGGGCTGACCCATACATAGGCTACCGTAATGAGCGTGTGCTGAACAAAAGGTTATGGGAACTAATCTGACCCCCAGGACTGATTAGTAGCTATTTATACATCCACACAGTCCGGTGTGCCCTAGGAGTCTGTCTGCCTGGTCATCTCCTCCTCAGATGCTGGACCGTGTATTACTATCTGATCAGTCTGTCTGTAACCCTCTCGATCTCCTCCTTTTCTCCTTTTCATCATGCACTTCTTTTCTTCTTCTAATGGTACCCAGTCATTTAGTGTCTGCTCCAAACCACCAACGCTCTATGGCAAAGGCTTCCCCTCAGCTGTGAGCACTGACACTATAGCTGGTAAAGGCTGTGATTATCTTTAAAACGAGGCTTAAGGTAATTAATAGGTATAATCATTTTGATAGTCATGCAGGGTTCAAATTAACCACCTGGGGATTCCTTTTAAAGCTTATCACAGTTTTCTAAGCCTATATATTCTTTACAATCTAAGTTGTATTTAAGGCTTTAAAACATCTCTGAAGGACTTTTATATAGTTTGGATTTATAATCTTTATCAGTGTAAAAAAGATAAAATTGCTTTAATCCAATGGGCAGCAGACTTACACAGTGGATTTTTCTCCATTTAGGGTTGATTGCAGCTACACAGAAGCATTTTCAAGTAAAACTGGACCAGAATTAGACTTGAAACGGTCTCTTCCAAACCAATATTCAAGGTCAGGATAAAGAAAAAGTCCCAACATAGCATTTCCACTTTTCTTTCTTTACATGCTCAGGAATCATTCATACCCAGACCAATCTACTGTCATTATTTATATTTAGATCTCTCTTTTGGTGGTCTGGCCTGATGTGTGGTTGCAGTCCTTGAGTGGTACTCTTTATTCTCTCTCTCTCTCTTTCTGCATGTGTTTGTGTGTATTGCTCAAACTGTACTGAATATGGCAGCAGTGTTTCCCATTACCACTCACTCACACGGCCCTTGTCATGGTTAATTGACACAGAACTTGAACAGACTTCTTTCAAAAGTATCGTCTCCCTCTCAGTGTACATGTTACCCTCAGAAGCCCCCCCCTCTAAGTTTCTGTTTTCTGTTTACCTCACTGTTACTTACAGTGCTGTCTCCATCCGCCCCCTCATTCCTCCTCTGTGAATTTGTCATATGGACAGATGCACGCCCACAGTCCTATTCAGAGGAAGAGATTTTAAAAAAGAGGTACCCCACCTCCCCCTCCCCCTCTATAATTTAGAAACGAGAGGGACGGAAGAACAGCAAGAGGTAGGGAGAGGGAGGGTGCGATGAGGGGGCTAAAAGGGAGCTTTGGTTGAGGGCAGGAGGGGAGAGGGGCGGTTTCCATAGAAACAGTTTTGCTCACTTCATATTTCATATAGTCATGTGGACTCTGGACGAGGGAATTCTAAATTAAACTATAAAATGTCTCCTGGGATCTCCTTTTATTGAGCACAATGAGATTGTGCCAATCTCAATTAGGTAGCAGGATGTCTGTCAGGCAACACAAAGTCATGACACTATGTAATGTAATAGCTTATGATGGCTATGGTAGAAAAGTAAAGAATTCAAACATGTTAGTTTCAAAGCTGATACTCTAACTGACAATAGTGGAGAACTTTATTAACTCTGAAATGAGCAGAAGTGGAAAGTACATCTACTCCCATACTGTGACACAAGTACAGTCTTAACTATTGTGCTGTTTACTCCACCACGTTTAGAGATGTAATTCTTTTGCAAATTAATGTTGTAGCTACAATGATTAAAAACATTATGTACTGACTGAGTTTAAACTACCCAACATTATAATAAAATAGTTTTAGAGGCAGCTGGCATAACAACATTACAACAATGAAACACTGTTTCCACATTAAAGGATCCCTGCGTAACACGCAAAAAATGCAAACGGCCCTGTCTAGAGACAGTTTTTGGTTTGTCCCTTCTGGGCTACTGTAGAAACATGGCGGTTCAACATGGCGGCCTCCACCTAAGGCAAAAAGATAAACGAAAACACAAAAGTTCTACAATGATAAAAACATAATATTATAAACATATTCCATTTCTGCCAATAGATCCTCCTAATGTTACACACTGGACCTTTAAAGGGGAACCTGGCAACTATTTCAACTTAATAAACCCGTTTAGAAATCATTTGGATGGTTAAATGGCCTATTCCGGTGAAAATGGTGACTTTCCCCGCTCCCCCTAGTGCCCCCAGGCGGAAAACCAACATTGCAACTTTGGGACTACCGTCCCGTTAAGTTGGAAATAGGAAGTATCGTGAGAAGCGAGAACGAGCGAGAAACACAAACTGCTTTACGGCAATTCCACATAAACGCACACAGCCCCCTCAATACCGGTTAGCCACGCCGGCTATAAGATCAAGCGATGATGAATGTATTACCCACCTCGGTAGACATTGCTCCACACGAAAAAGTTGCCCAGCAACAAATGCACATCAGCAGCGGTAGAAAGGGGGAGGAGACAGTGTTTTGAAATATACGTCCCAGAGCTGTAGGGGGAGCTCGTTGAGAAAACATGCGATGACAAAAGTGAAAACCAGCGAAGAAATGGCTAGAGTTGCCAAGTTCCCCTTGTGACACACTTACTGGACATTTTATAAAAAAGTTAGTTTTACTTTTGATAAAGTACATTTTACTGCTTTGATTTTATTTGCGTAACTTAACTACCTGTTCCGATTATTGGATGGGACTTTTTATTTACTACAAGCAGAATTGCCAATATCGCCAATGACCCTCCCACCTAGTATTCCACATATTTTAACTTCAACTGTAACTTTAAACTCTTGAAAGAGGCAGCCATGAATGTTAAGGTTATCAGGGTTTAAGGCACTGACCCTTCCCCACAATGCCCCTGGCTTTACATATGGCCGGCTACCTTTGTTGCACGCCACTCATCACTCATTTCCTGTTATCTCTCTACTGACACTAAAAGACACATAATGTTCAACAGCCATTCAACCTGAACGCGAATGCAGCTGTAGTCTACAGGCTCAGCCATTCTCCATCATTGTGTTGAATGAACTGGAACATCACAGCCGAGACCAAGAGGTTGGCTGAAAGGTACTTGAACCAGATACTCGTAATACAATATTTCCCTACACATTTGATTTAAAACAAAACACAAAATCCTCAAACGTTGTTCACAGTCCAGAAGTTCTGCTCAGTCCCACATCACATTTGCTGATACCATGCAGTCAAAGGGTAACCAAAGAATGACCTCCCCACTTTCCATCCATTATGAAACAACCACAACATGTGAGAGGTGGCCCACTGCGACACCACAGCACTTCAAGTTTAAAGTGCAATTCAGCAAAAGAATGATGCAGGGCAGAAAAACTGCTCCCGCACTGCTTGAAACGTTCAAACCAGCATTTTTATTTCTCTGTGTAACCTCTGTGTTGATGTGGCATTTAAAATGTGTTAACAGAGCTGCGGGGTTGTGGAATTATTCAACTGAACAGCTAACATGCATTGACAGTCAGCTCACTGCACCACCAGCGATAAGGGGTTGGAAAAATCCCCGGCACAGCTGTGAGGGAGTAAATGTAAAGGGATTATGTTTACAGGCCAATTTACAGTAATAGCTCGGTTTTATTGTAACTGTCGTGATGCACAGTTTTAATGGTAACTCAACCACTTTATTTCCCAGCCCCCATATTTTCAACATCTCCCACCTGTTACATTATCATCTCTGTTGTTCCTCAAAGAGAGTTAGCCTAGAATCATGACTCAAACGAGTTCTTGCTCGCTTACATGGACACATCAGGCATTATTCAACACCTACACATGCTTAGAGTACACAGAAAAGAGTGGCAGCCCCCCTACGGTCTCCTCTCCTCTCTTTTTCTCTTTCTTTTCTTTTCTCCAGTCCTTTTCTTTCTCCTCTCCTCTCCTCTTCTCCTCTTCTCCTCTTCTCCTCCATCCATCCCCCTCTCCCTCCCTCCCTCCCTCCCTCCCTCCCTCTCTTCCGAACCCATGCTCTGCAGAGGGGAGATTGACACACAATTTTCAGCCCGGGGTGTTTGAGTACGCACAGGAGAGCGCACACAGACAGGATTATAGTCAGTGAAGGAGGCGGCGGAGGACAATAACGGATTAAAAGAGAGAAACGAAAGGGATAAAAAGAATGAATAAGAGATGAAGAAGAAACTGAATGAGGAAACTAAAAGAGAGGAAGAATAAACAAAAAGGGATCACAGACCACATGAATCTAAGGATGTGGGACCTTTGCCCTGGACAGTGAAAGTGGGATTTTGAGAAGTGAAGCGGTGGTACACAAGGACCTCAAATTGCAACCAAGAGACAGAAAACAACAAATTTGCAGGGTGAGTGTCAAACAATGTCTATCTTCAATTTACAAACAGTATATCAGGAGATGCACACAACAATAAGTTAATAGATGAAGTTTTCTATTTGTTGAATGCATTAATGTCACAACTTTGCACTCCAGATGACAGACATTGAGTGCAGTTTTAGTTGTACCTTCAGACAGTACGCTCTTAGACAGGTTTCATAGCAAAATAAGCACTGCGTCAGACTAAAGCTCGGGCATCATGGAAACTGCTGTGTCGTGTATGATCAAGTGAACGGTCACACTTCTCCGTCATGTATTGTAAATCTCTGTGGCACTGACGAGGCTCAAAGGCATCACCTGGAAACATATTAAAGTATGTAAGTACAGCAGGTATAAAATATACCTAAAGGCAATGAGTTTGGTGTGCAGCTGTTGTTTAACTTCAAACAAATGTTACATACTGAGAAATCTCTGCTTTGTTTTCAACTTTTAAAACTGTTTTGTAGGTTAGTTTTGGTTTTGTGCATCCAATTGGAAAGAAATCTCTGCTTCTGCAGCCTCTAGAAAGGCCTCATGATACCATCACAGTAGGGACATATAGGAATAAAGTGGTATTTGTAGTTTGAATAAAGAACAATTTCATCATTGAGGGCAATATTATTGATCCCTCTTGGATTAATTATATCACTCTGACCTAATCTTGTCTTTTATTCAGACAGCCCTAATAGCCTTTTCACTCAGGCAAACAGCACCAAGCAGTAGTACCAGTACTACTTTAAAAAAACATTAACAATGCATCTACAAATATGATATTGGCTGATCAACTGTAAACAGTCAATAGAAGAAATAGTCAGCTGCTGCTAAGCTGTAATTGTGTCTGTCTTTCTCTGTCTGTGAAACAAACATTCAGGAAAGTAACTGAAGTCAAAATGATCATCAATCAATCAGTTTCTATTACCAACTGATCTATCACGTGAACTGGGAAATATAGAATATGTTTTGCAAAGATAAAAAAAATCTGAAACTGAAATGAGGCCAACACGGAGGTTGTCTGGGATGTGATGGTAGCGTGGGAATAATTCTTTGCACTGGCTGACTGCTTTTCTGTGGGTTGGCTCGTGACAAGCAGAGGTGAAACCGGGTTACGTATTGATGAGTTTTCACCTAGTACGAGATGTTTGTTCTTTTCCTTTTGTTTGAAAAAGGAAAGAAAGAAGGAAGTAAAGTCAGCGTGCTCAGAGGAATGACAACACTGTCACCTACAGGCTACCAACACAAAGGCCTGTAGCGTGAATCACTTTAGTGAGACAGACTCAGCAGCTCCTAAGCATTGGTAAATAACATCACAAATATGTTTCTCCTTTAATAAACAATACTGATTTAACAAGGTTATTCTGTGCTTTTTTAAAACCAGCAGTTGTAAACAATCCTCGACAATCAGATTTACTGTTCTGATCATTTCTGACACTGAAGCCACATAATTTGCCTTTGAATGCATCTGATAATTTCAAACAAACCTTTTTATAGACAGTGTGGATATTTCCTGTTTTCAGTGATCGGTTATGACCAGCATATAATGAAAAATGACTCAGACCACTTTGTGTGATTGCCCCACTAGTTACTATATCTGTCAGGTCATAACTGGGCATAACACTCTGGTATTCACATGGGAGCTATAATTTATTTTTGTGGCTGATGTAATGGTGAGTCTCATCAGGGGTGATTATCACAAGACTTCTGCATCTTAATCCCCCCCCCCCCCCAGACCAACCTGCTTGTCTTTGTCTCTCTCTCTGTGCCTCTTTTGGGATTAACAGTCATGAAATCTCCAGGAAGTCGTTCATTACAGAACAACTCTACCTTTCTTATTTCAGTGGGAGAGATTATGGTTGACGATTAATCTGTGATTTATGAGATTATAGGGAGGAGATAGTGACGCAGAGATACAGAAACAGACTTCTAAAACTAATCATTATTTTCAGATAAACTACTCCGATGATTACTTCTTCAATCAATGGAGATATTTATTAGTCTAAAAAATGACAGAAAAATGTTAAAAATAACCACCAACAATTCAAAATCAAAAGATATTCAATTCAATTCAGTGCAATTTTATTTGTATAGCGCCAATTCATAACAGAAGTTATCTCAGGACACTTTTCAAATAGAGCAGGTCTAGACCAAACTCTTTATAACATTATTTACAGAGACCCAACAGTACCACCATGAGCAAGCACTTGGCGACAGGGGCAAGGAAAAACTGCCTGTTAAAAGGCAGAAACCTAGGACAGATCCTTCGGCTGTAGGTGGGTGGTCGTCTGTGTCTATTCAATTTACTTTGATTTAAAAAAAGACAAAAGAAGAAAATCTTTACATTTCAGAAATTTAAACAAGTAAATTCTTGGCATTTTCTATAAGTCACTTAAAAGATTAATTGACTAAAAAATTCTTGTTAATGTTTTGATAGATGAATTGCATGCTTTCTTGTACTATTATTTTCTACTTCTCTCTACATCTTTACAACCCTACTTAGAATTAATAAAATAAATAAAATGTGTGATATGCGATTTCTTTATGTATATTTGTGTAGTTAATGAAATCCTGTTGCTCTGAGTGGAGTGTCCTTTGAGCAAATCATAAGGGAACTAAAGTGGGATAAAGCAAAATCTAAAAGCTTTTTGAAAATGCGTTTTGAACCAAGTCCTAGACTCCAGATTTCTCTCTTCCTCATTTATGTTCTGACTCGGTAATATAGTTTAGAAAAGTCTCAACTAAGAGCCTCCTCTTACGCCTTATTTAGAATCTACTTATAATCGTATGTAGATGTTGGATTGCTGCCCTTATGCCCTTTCTCTCATCCCATCTCTCCCTCCCTCTCTGACTCATGTTATGAGAGCACTTAATACTGTATACTAGCCCCCCTACACCGCCGTATCTGTGGTGACTCTCTCCACTTCTCTCAGTGCCCCAAATGCCACAGGAGATGTGTTCCTATGGAAACTGGCTTCAGCGAAAGTCCCCAGTTTTACCTGGTGACCATTAACTGGTTTGTGTTGTGTGTCATCTCTGCAGTAACACATCGGTCGGTACCTGCGCTCTACCCTCCCGACCTCCCGGTGAATTTAGGAGTTATAAAATCTTTACACCAAAAGGGAGACGCAGTTAATGAAAAGTTGTCGGCTGGTTGTGTGTGTCTTTTGTCGATAGGGCTCGGAGGTGGAAGCTGTGTTGTTGGTTGGAAGCCAAGGTCACCTGTATGGAGACAGACAAGACATAACAATATAATGCTTACATATAGATACTGATGTGCCTGTGTGGGTGTCATTGCAGAGAAACAAAGATACATTGATCCTCTCCTCTTGTGCAGCTATTTTAAATTGAGTGTCCTTAAAATGATAATGAAATGCAACAGGCACAGAAATCAGAGCAAGTCAGAGCAGTGGTCTGAAGACAGAAGACAAAAACTTGGCTTTATGTTTTGAAGTATGCTGAATACTAAACCATGTTAATGCCAACTTTGTTCCTTGGAGTTGGTTTGTATTGTCCAACGGCGATATTAGAAAACTGCAATCAAGCAAACGACTACACAACTCTAATACAGAAACCCTCTGCATTTACAACAGAAATGTAACAACTAGAGAACTGTAGGACAGCTACAACTATAATCTTCAGCTTGGATGTACTATCTGCTTTGTATCACAGGTATTACGATGGAAGATTATGTGACAGGATTTTCTGAGTATTTCTGGAAGGACAGTTTTATGTAATCAAACAAAAACCCTTGACATGTGCTCATGTTATTTAAAACTCAAGATTGTCCTGGAGAAAAGTTGTTTGGTTTCTCCTTATCGCAGAAAAGCAGTATTGTGCTGCTGTACAGTGGGGATGTTGTAGTCAAACAGGATCAAATGATATCTGAACACTTTCTTTCTCGGCTTTTAGGCCCGTTAAGGTGCCAGATGTGTCAGTTTTTCTATACTTGCTCACATTTTTTACCAGAAAGAACCTGAGGAACCTCAGGAAATGAACTCAACACGGATTTCATAATTTACATAAAGAAACACATGATTAAAATGGATCACATGCTCAACAACTCTCAAACTTGCTGTTACACCAAAAATATTGTTCCAACCACTTGAATCTGAAGTCAAAATTGATTTATGGACTGTGCAGATATTTAGAACTGAATCAATATCTTCCACATATGTAGCTATCTGGCAGCTAGGCAAGCCTCAGTAGCAAAAGATAACTAATTTGCAAGAGTGAAAATAGGATGGACTTTGTCACCAAACTTTTTATCTGTACTGATGAGTTAGTTCAACTCAAACTGTTTGTGGAAACCAATTTCCTTAAACAGTTTAAATTTAATAACTCCAAAGATTTAAGCATGACAAAATATTTGATCTGAGTACAAGTAACTCATTTATTGTTAAGTTAAGGTAAATTACACTGCAGCATTTCTTCAAACTTATATAAAATATGTTAAGAATATTTATCTGAATAAAGTAAGACTAGCTTAAATGCATCTTCTTTATGCAAATGGTACCACTTAGGTTGAATTTTTTTCTTCCACTAAAGCAGAGAATTTAATGACTTGTCAAAACAGCTGATGTATGATAAAAATGTACAATCAATTGATTATCAAAATGGCAGATTAATTTAAGTTCACTCAAAACAACTGAGTCATTACTTAGGTTTAATTCATGGGAATGAGTGACTCAAGCATTTTGGAGGATTAAGTTATGTTTACTTTACTTTACTTTCTTATTTAAGATATGCTGTCAGGATTTACAGTGTGGAAAATGTTGTACTTTGAGGTTTGGATGAAGTGTTTACTGTTGCCTCACTATATTTTGTAAGCTGTAGAGACAGAAACAAAGCTGTCAACAATAGTATTTCAATAAAACCTGTCAGAGAGTGCATTGTTTACAGAGTGTGTGAGTGCTGGAGAGGTGGAGAGTTGGGTGCACATCATTATGCTTAATCTTTTGGTTTAAGCCTAATAGACAGGCTGATTGAGCACACGTTGCTTAACTGTATGACCAAAGTAACCACTTTAAATTACCCATAATTACGCCACTTACACCCACATACAAAATACAAACTCTATTGTGAAGAGCAGGGTCACTCTTACTCAAGACATCTCACAGAAATCAAATCAGGATCAAGTCTAAATTCACAGCTATAGCTCACTAAAACAAGACACACAAAAAACAGATGAGAAACATGAGCCCATTGTATAATGTTTAAATGTATGAAAAGATGAAACAATGTTAGAATAGAAAAAGTTAAAGAAAGTTGTGTGCTCTCTACTTTCTTCGAGTTAAACCTCCACATGCTTGCTGTAATTTGATTACGGTGATGATTCTGTAACTCCTTTTCTCTCCTGCAGTGGTCTTCAAGCACCACCCCCATTTTGGAGACCTGATCTTTGGGACCAGGACAGAGTCTGGCCTCCAATCCACACCCCATACCAGTGATCACTGGTGCCATGGGAACAAGTAGGTCCAACAGGTGAGGGGTTTAATCTGCAGAGGATTGTGATTCAATGATAGCCCATGCTTTTATTTGCTTCAATCATTGAACTCAACCAGCCTATATTTGGGACAGCCGTCTATACGGGACAATCCTTTGATTCCTTTTGCACAAAAAATACTATCGGGGAATACTATAAAATTGTTTATTTAAACCAGGATGAATATTAAAACATATAAATTACGAATCACTCATTTGATAATTTCATACTTTGATGCTCATGGTTACCATAAAATGACGACTGAATTGTGAAAAATCTAACCGATCTAATGATGTGCAGCATGTCCATATTGGCAAAAGTTTAAACATTTATAATTGTGTAGGTAAACTAAGCAGCTTAGAATGAGCCCCAGCAGCAGTGGGCTTCAAGAGGCTTTATACATCCAAAGAATTTCTGTAAAATCCAGACGAGACATTTAATTGAGACTGCGCTTATTTGTCAAAACGCGTAGCCACACCAGGCTAGTAAAGGGTAACTGGGTCTAATTGGGACCCTGCTTTTAAATTAAGTTTTATGGTAATAATTAATTTTATGAAGTGGTCCCGGTGAGTTTTATAAAGGCCTAATCTACCCTTAAATTTCAACATTCCTGTGTTATTATATTCCTTTGCCACCTCGAGTCCCACACAACAAAGAAATGAGAAATAATGGAAATAAGAGTGCTAATTCAAAGCACTATTTTGCCATCCTGACTATATATTTTGTTCATTGTACATGTTTGATTTATAAGAATTATCCTGGGAACTGTTACTGTTTTAAACAAGACTTTGGAAACCTTGGAGTTAATGTCTTAATCTATTTTATCCTCCTATATCTATCTGATTTATACAGTGACGTCAAATGGTGTCACAACAGTCCAGTGATGACGATGCTTTACAGAAACAATTTCATCCTTTTGTAACATTGTCTTGTCTGGAAGTCTTACAACAGGCTTACTGGCCATAAGAATGGGCTTGTTAATTTGGTGAACTAGTCGGGGTGAGTCAGACCCAGCTCAGGGATATTTACAGCAAGCAGATCCTTAAAAAGGCCAAGGCCGTCCTACACTGTCCTGAAGAGTACAAAGAGCTCTTGCCTTCAGGCAGCTGCAACAGATTGCCTGCTATGAGAAGGCTGAAGGCTGTCTTATTGTAGTCATGGCCATCATTGTGTACATTAAAAGCCTGTCACATTAATATCGCACTTTATTATATTTTTAATTATATCACCTCATTTCTGATGTGGCCTTTGGTTTAACTGTTTGTTACGTTTCAACTGTCTCATGGTTGTTTGCATGAGTTTCCTTTTGTCTCACAGTTCAGTGCAGCTGTCTTACTGTCTTCTTTCTTAGTGTGATGTTTTAAAACATTCATGGCTCAACAAACATTGACTACATGGACAAAACTTAGGCACTGGTTAAAAACTCCCTCCCCAAAAAAATTCAATAGCAAATTGAATAGCAGATTGAATAGCAGATTGATTTGTCATTCAGAGGAGCAACATTGTACCCTGCAACATCTGATCTCACTATTATCACTGGGTGTTAACATTCATTTTCATATAATCACTAACATATATGTCAGTCCATCTCAAAATGGGCTGTCTGACTGACACTGGCTCAGATATAATCCTATAATCTATGATGACAGCAATCCTTCTCACATAGCTAAACTGAACTCACCTTCCCAGCTGGTAATCCTCCATGTAAAGGAGAGAGACAGGTTAGGTTGATTGATACAGTCAGGTGAGTATATTGTTTGTGTTTGGGAGTTAAATATATATTGTTTATTACTGTATTCCCCTTAAACTGCGAGGCTGTCTATTCCTTATTTGATATGGTTCACATCCCTTGTGTTCCTAATGATTCAGGAACGATCTCTCTGTATATGAGAGTGTGCATAGTGTCTTTGTGTGCTTTAAATGTACACTGGAAAATACACAGGGATCAATACCGATTACCTCTTTCCTATATTGTGCACACCATGATTTGAATGATGCCAACATCAATCTGTTACACACTTTATTTATTCATAAATATTCAGGGTTTCCTAAAACCTTGTGTAATGGTAGGATGGAAGCTCTCGAAACAGCATTTGGAACATCATTTAACTCAGAAACAACACTTTGAAACAACAATCATAATCACACTAATTTCTAACCTTTGCAAGAAAAGTTTTTTTATATCTCATGCTATCTAAATGTTTTTGTGTCCATCTAATGTCACCAAATTCCTCTACCAAATGTTTAAATCCTAATCTTCGCCCCCTGTCTGTGTTGGCCCAACAGGTATAGCATTGTGTCAGACATTTTACCAGAGGAGGAACGCCAGAAGATCTCTAGCTTAAGACTCCATAACGGCCACAGCTCCCCCAACTTCCAACTGCAGTCGGACACAGAGACAGAAGACAGGAGGAGGTCGGGAGCCTCTCCTGCCGTGCCCAGCACAGGGGAACAAGGAGGGATGAGCAACTACAACGGGAAGATTCTGACAAGGGGCTCCACCCAAGTACGGAGCCGGTTTGTAAAGAAAAATGGACAATGTAATGTTTTATTCACCAACATGGAGGAGAAGCATCAGCGCTACCTAGCTGACTTCTTCACCACCTGTGTGGACATCCGCTGGAGATACCTGCTGCTCATATTCTGCACCAGCTTCATGGTCTCGTGGCTTTTCTTTGGCATTATCTTTTACACAGTCTCCCTGGCACATGGGGACTTTGCGGAGCACCCTACAGTGAAAGGTGATGTGCTGGCGGTGGGGGGACTGTATGGACCGACCTCTGGACACACAGGTGGAGGGCAGACACAAAAGATGCCATGCATACTTCATGTCCAGGGCTTTGTTGGGGCGCTTCTGTTCTCCATGGAGACCCAGACCACTATTGGTTACGGCTGGCGTTGCGTTACCGAGGAGTGCCCTGTCGCTGTGTTAACAGTGGTCGTCCAGTCCATAGTGGGCTGCATCATTGACTCCTTTATGATTGGCACCATCATGGCCAAGATGGCGCGGCCCAAGAAGAGGAACCAGACCCTTGTTTTCTCCAAAAATGCTGTCATCTCCCTGCGCGACGGCAAGCTGTGCCTCATGTGGAGGGTAGGCAACCTGCGGAAGAGCCACATTGTGGAGGCTCACGTCCGTGCCCAGCTCATACGTTCGTATGTCACTGCTGAGGGCGAGTTTATCCCCTTGGAGCAGATGGACCTCAATGTGGGCTATGATGAGGGCACAGACAGATTGTTTCTAGTATCCCCACTGGTCATAGTCCATGAGATAGATAAAGATAGCCCTTTGTATACTTTAAGCAGAGCTGATTTGGAGAAGGATGACTTTGAGATTGCTGTGATCTTGGAGGGGATGGTGGAGGCCACGGCCATGACCACGCAGTTCCGTAGCTCCTACCTTGCCAGAGAGGTCCTCTGGGGTCACAGGTTTGAGCCTGTAATCTATGAGGACCAGGACCGCTACAAGGTAGATTACTCTCGTTTCCACAAGACCTACGAGGTGCCATCAACGCCCCACCTCAGCGCCAAAGAGCTTGACGAGGCCGCAAGCCGGGCCTCTTCTACCGCTTCTCCCGTCTCTGCATGTAGAACCACACAAGACTTGATTCCCAGGTCGCTGAGCGCATTTTGTTATGAGAACGAGGTAGCATTGAGCGGTGGGGAGGAAGAGGACGACATCTTCGACTCCACTCAGATCGCAGGGAAGGAGAGGGCAGAAGAGAGGAGGACTTCAGTTTCTGTAGAATTTCCAAATATGTTCCAGGACACTGCGACCATGACATCAGGCAGTCACAATGTCATGTGTGTTCTGGACATGGACAATAACCAGATGGAGTTTGACATCCTACAGACTGCCATCCCTCTTGATCCAGTGACCTATAAGAGTGAGCAAGAGATCTGAAGAGCGCAGGCAGAGTGGACTATCACATGTTAAACTTTGTATTGCATGTACAGAAACATAAACCCCCTTTGCCTTGCCAGTGTTGTTTTATATTTGTATTTGTTTGGTTTTTCTTCTCATTGAGATTAGAAACTAAGAAAAAGAAATTCTTTGAAGAGCCATAACGATCAACCAGACTGATTCTGCAGGAGGACAAAGAATCTCTGACAAAGCGCTGACGGGCTTTGGCTCCCTTTTATTATGATTTCATAACCAAAGGAAAGCACAATAGCAGAAAAAAATCCAGAAACTTGAGTCATGTTTTCGATTGTACATTCTGCATAGTTTAAAATTAACTTTAAGAATCTTATTTATTCCTGTGAATGTAAACAAGAGATTTTATGAAAGCAATAGCTGTTTTGATGTAACTCTCTTCCTTTTTGAAGAGGACTGACTTAAATGGTCAATGATGTACTGTTTTATCAAAATGTGGTGGATTTATGCTTGATAATCTCCATGTTGTTCATGGATTTCAATGGTCATCATGCCTGCAGTAGTCACCTTCAAAGTCTGCTATTGCACTTATGTGAGACGGTCTATTTTCTTAAATATTTACTGTAAAACGTTCCTTTATTTCGCCGTTTTAGTATGCATTAGTTGCTTTCGCTGTGTAGTACACCAACAAGACCATTCCAAGTGCAATCAATAAGTGTAGCAGCAGGAATTTATCTGAATTTGATAAAGATTCCTTAAGACAATAACCTCTGACAAATATCCTATTTATGCCGATTTAGGAAGACATTGCTGCATTTTAAATCCTATGTTAAAAACATATTTTTTTCTTTTCAAAACAACCTTTTAAGAGAATTGAAAACAAAATAGAATAATACATTTAGTAACATTTATTAGATACAAAAAAAGAGTCTATTATTAATCTATTTATGTTATCAATATATAGCAAGTAGACCTTTTGTTCACTTCATGAAACACTTCAGAACTTTTTTTCTTGGTTTGTTTCTTGTGGAGGCTGCAGCCAGTGATAACAGAAACAATACTGAGAAGTGGCTTTAATTCATGTTTGTGCTGTTGTTGTTCGCCAAATGTCTGGAGCTGAAAGTAAAACACACGATTTGGAAACTGGGGTGCATGCAGCCTAAGTGTACTCATTGTCTTTGACAGTAGAAAGGTGTGGAGCCATTGTAAAGCGCAGCAGGAAACAAAGGGATGGAGATTAAGGAGTGTCAGGAAATGTGCAATAAGTCACTAGATTGGGACAGTGAGGAGAAAGTCAAGTGAAACTGTGTGTCAGTTAAAACACATGACATTTAAAAGAATACATTTACACAGGGACAGCAAAGCAGCAGGTTCAGCACGGTGGTATATCATTGATAGAGGAAGTATATCTAAATGTGATTGAAATACCTGTAATTTAAATTAATTTTCATGATATTTAAACGTGGCACTTTTTTCCCATCTGTTACTTCAAGCAAACTAAAACCAAAAAATACAATTAAATTACAATTTAAATACAATTTAAACGAGACGTGAACAGCAACAATTAAGATGTGAAATTATATTGTGAAGTTTTCCTCTGTCACCTGTAGTCATGCAGCTGTCAGAACAGTATACCTGATAATACTGCATCTCATTCTTGAAATACTTTTATTGTTTTTTTTTTTTTCATTTGTGGATTTGTTTCTGGTAATATTGACTCATTTTTGTGTCAATATGGCTGTGAGAGCAAGGGAGAGAGAGTGACTGTAGAGAGCATGTGCATCTGAGCAACAAGCATTCAGTAGTATTAGATATCTTCAAAACTCAAAGAAACATATTAAGAATATGTAAACATTTGATTGACAAACATACACTGCCAGTCAAAAGAAAAATATTTTATTACATTTGGAGATTACTCTAAAGCAATAAATCCATAAATGTGTTAAAAATAATTGTATATGTAGGCTATATGTAATTTGTAAGTAACCTAGATAATTAAGCCACTGTAACAGACAAACATACTATACTGTACTAATATTTTAATGTTTTACTTTTTATGTTTTTAACAGTGAAGCAGGGCTGCAAAAACATTTTCAGTGAGAGATATGGCCAGTTCCTAGATGCTTAACTGTTCAAAGATACCTTAGGTTTTCTTTTACTGAGTGTCCTGAGTGCCACAAACACTTTCTACACTACAATCTGTAACCCCACTACATCCTACACACTGGCCCTTTAAGGACCTAAAGCATGATTTGTGACATCACAAATAGTTTGCAAGGCAAGCCTGGTCCAGTGTTTAACCTATACAGTGTGATGTAGAAACTTGAAGCCACCAGTGCACAGAGACATCTTGTGTCCAGCAGGAAAACTTAAATTATATTAATAGATTCTGTAATTTATAGAGGTAGAAGGAGGATTATTAAGGATTTTAATGTGGAGATTATACATTTTATGCTGATTTTTATATATGTCATAATACATGTCTGGAAGGGATCTTTAAAGTTCCTGAAAACGCAGTCTCAAATTTTAAGTACTTTTTGAAATGTCTGCACGCCATGAACCCAGGCATGTTGCACACTGGCTCACTGGTAAACGTTTCACTGGGATAAATGGAACTGAGCCATCGTTAATGTAATTAGCTCCACCTGTGCGGTTCCTGCTCGGCGTTCTGCTGTGAAAAGGAGCCTAATTAAGGCTTCATTAAATGCAGGTGTTAAAACATGTAGTTTTATTGTCAAATATGAGGTTATTCATTGTGAAATTAAATTCAAGATCAACCCAAAACTGTAAAAAAACAAAACAAATATAATGTTTGAAAGGTTGACTGGCAGTGTATAACAGTATTTATGTAATGTTGGTTTTGAATTGAATTACTAGTTCAAATTTCAACTTGAGTACAGGAAAACAACCACTGTAAATGCCATTTTGTGTAACAGATAAATCTTTTTGTTTCCTTTGCTTCCTGCTTTGTATAAATCTAATGATTTTGTAACCCCTGCTTGGAGATAAACATGCACTAAGAAAACTACTGAACTAATTGAAATACGCTGAAAAGACAGAAAATCCCAAGTACAAAGCACTTTATTCTTCCTTGTATACCTTTTGATGTTGCAAATAAATATTTATGTAATTAAAATTGTTTCTCCTTTCCCAAAATTCATCCTGGAACCTTTTTGCAAAACTGTATCTTTTCTAATGCAGCTATGAGTGTTGAAGCTCCAGGGCCACTAGATGCCTCTGCAGCCATTTCTATCCACAGAAAACACTGAAGCATTTCCTCCCTCTAATGGTGTACTGACGACGCAGCAGAAAAGTTCAACCCTGGATTGTGAAGTCTGAATTCAAGAATGTTTTTAAGGAGAAAGTCAATAAGATGATAATTTAAATCCAAAAGTCAAATTAGTTTTTGCTTTCACTAGTTGTGTGTGTCGGTAGGGCAGCTCAACATATTGTGAATTTTAGAGGCTGACGGTGTGAGGAGGAAGGGCTGACTTATGGGTAGCATTGCAGTGGGTGTGGCAGCTCACAAGAGAGCTCAAAACATCATCACATGTCACTTCACAAGTCCTGTAGATGATCAGCCCTAATGAATTCTCAGCAAATACTGCACATAGCTGATGTTGCATTGATCTGACATCAGGTCAAGTCATGTAGAAGTGCCTCTCTGGATGTTCAACTAGTCTGTAATGGTGCACAGAGAAAAGTTTAATCTTTTTGTGAACCCTTCTTAAGATTATGTTGGATGAGGAATGTGTGATTTACTGCCCCTGGCCTTTAGACAGACTTTGCAGATATTTCCAGGTGCATCAAATAATTTTGACCAAAAACCCATACATATTCAAGCAACAGAAATCACAAGCAGGGAAAATGCATTACAGAACTGGTTACTGTGCATATCACATGTTTCACAGCTTCCGGTGCCATATGATGATGCTAGTGACATTGAAACGGCTCTAAAGTGTGGACTGATTCACAGTCAAGTGTCTGTTCTGGTTTGTGGCTGAGAGAGAACATCTGTAGAAGACAGCATGAGAGCGAGAGGAATATCGGTAGATAGTCTATGACACTTACAGAACGTCCAACTGGGCTGATGAACTTTTATATGTTCACTAAGCTTTCTTAATCAGAACCGAATGACAACACAAGACCTCTGAGAAGAACTCTGAATACTCTGTCCATCTTCCAGTCTTTGATGCTGTTAGAGTTTGTAATCTAACATTAATATTTATATATAATTCAATTAGACAATCATCTTAGGGAGAAGAACAGATCTAGACTCAAGCTTGTGTAATGTTTAAAAACATTAAGTTTAGCTTTATAAAAATGGTACTTTGTATAAGCAATCTTGCATTTGATTCTGGTGGTGGTGTCCTGCTTTTCCCATTCTATCGTATTTAAGAGGGTTTTTGGAAGCACCCCAATCCTGGAAGAAGCCACTGGTCTCACATCATTTTCTCTATTCAAACTAAATTAAGGTCGGGCTAAGCAATTCTAATGTGGTTCTAATCAAATACAGCTAATATCTCCTCAGTGTTGGCTAGATTCCTGCAGTGTGTGCGCTGAGAAAAAAATCTAGTGTTTGCACAAAGCTCTGAGTCTGTAAACAGGAAACAAACAGAGTGGATGGGACTGAGCCACACAACACTAACTTGTTATTTCAGCCAGGATTTGTGACGCACAGGTAACGTTAAATGACTTGCCCACAGACATTCAGCTTCCTTTCTAGTTTGCCAAGATATGTTGTTGTTGTTTTTGTTGTTGTTGTTGTTGTTGTTGTTGTTGTTGTGATATTAGCTATAGTAACAGGAGAGACTTTCTCCATACACCACCTTTAATGGAGCACTTCTTGCGACTTCCTGCAGCACAACCACAGTTACATGCATGCAGATATTGTACAGGTTCAGACTGACACCTTCACTTATTTCAACTCAGTTCTTGTGTGCTAGTGTTGGTCAAGAGCAAGTAACAAAAAATCTGTTCTGGATAAGGTAGATGGGGCAGCTTGGCTAGAAACCAGTGAACTGTGAATACATTCACACTGCAGCTGTACAAATTCAGTTTTTTCCTACTAATGGGGACATAAATATAATAATTTTCAATGTACCTTTCATGACTTCATGATGAATTTTTCACCAAGGCCTGCTAAATGAATGCTCCAAGCATTTCATATAGAGTAGGCCAGTGCCCCCTGCTGGCCAATCATCAGACATTTATACTCAAATACCTCTAAACGTGCAAACTAAGAGTAGATGCCAAGTTGTCCAATATCCAGCACTAACAGCTTTGAGTATTTAGGCACCTCTTGATCTGTTGGTGAAGTGGGTCGAGTTTCAAAACTGGCTGGATTATGACAGCCAAATGCCGTAGAGTACCAACGATCTTCTGACAGCATAAAACATATATAGTGAAAGATTCAAAAGAACAGTCTTATAGGAGTATGTAAAAATGGCTGAAAATCTAATATGATATAAGTAAAATACAGTATGTAGATGTGATTTGGCTTTAAGAAATCTAAATCTAAGGAAACATTTTGTGACAGTGCTACTGTCTGATTGGTGTAAAGTTGGTTCCATGATGTGCAGCTGTGATTAAACGCAGGGTTAGGGTGTTGAGGTCTTACAGTTGCTCTCTCTCAGTTTTACTTTTAGCAGAAGAAGAGGAAGGATCTGAGAGAGAGAGAGACTAAAGACACCTGAGCACCAGATTTGTTGACAGATGGATAAGTATCTATCAAGGGAATTTGGCCTCTCTTACGGAGAAATTACACTGCAGATCTAGGATGCTCCTTGAAACAACCAGTACATAAAGTACGCAGGTAGTACAGTGGCTGGTTGCACTACTGAAGAATTTGAAAGGAGGTTCAGTGAGGACAAAGCTCCTTGCAGACAGACTCAGACTCTTGCATGACTGACGCACCATCAGCCTCTATGAGCTGTTCATTGGAGATCATGCAGCAACATACAGAGCAGCTTGTCTGCATGTTGTGACCTCTGACACTGAGAGGATATCAGGTCTGCATTTTGACAGGCAGCACGCACAGCTGTTTGCTTGGGGGTACTTTCCTTACATCAATATGTAAAGTATCTCCATTTCTCGGTCATTACATGTTCCTATCCCATAATTAAATAATTTCTGTCCAGATTTTAATTAAGTTAAAATCACTTGGTGTCAGGCTAATAAGAAACTTCCCCTTTCAGCCCTCATAGTTGTCTCATCTTGATCTTCCTTTTAATTACATAGCCTCCATCTCTGTCTGTCAGTCCGTTGCTGTTCCCGTGCACAAGAACCCTGACAGCAACAGCAGTCCACACATTGGACCTCTGAACCTCAGGAGAACCGGAGAGGCATTGCTGTCGGTGGAGGAAAAGATGAAAAGAGGGAAACGAGGAGGAAGGGGCAGTGACTGCAGGCCTCGAGGCCATCGGCTTTTCATTAGCCAGTCAGTGAGTGAGTGAATGAGTGTGATCGGTGGAATGGTAAAATAGGAGAAGCCATGCTGGGCCACATCGGCTATTAGAGTGATTTGGGGGCTCCCACTGACTCCTATTGTGCATTGTCTCCGAAGTGAGCAACCGAGGCTCAACAGTAAGCCTTTGTGTGGGACATTTAAATGCCTGTTAGCATGCTAATTATGGGATGTGTGTGTGTGTGTCTGTGTGTGCCAGTGTGTGTCCATCATCTTCTCGTCCTCTCCATCCCTCCATCTCTCCCTTGGGATTTACACCCCTCCGATTCCTCTTCCTCTGTCTCTTCTTTTCTGGCTTTCCCCAACGCACTCACTGATCTGTGTGTTACTGTCATGAGCCCCTATTCAAGCCCCTTCCCGTCATTTTCTTCATTTCTGTCTTTATTCCCTAAAATCTGTGCGTGCTCCCACTGTCTTGTTTAGTCCCTTTTGTTTGTTAATCAGCTGCTTCTGATTCTGCCATGCTTGGATGAGTTTCGCTTTCACTCCAGTGTTCAAAAATTAAGCTTCTCTCACAGTCACATTATCCTCACATTTAGCTATGGAAAACCTCATTGAAGACATGCCTCTCTTTCATCAGTGACTGCATCTGGTCTGCAAACTCTGCAGCCATCTTGAGCCTGTGTTTCATTTTTACCTGTCTCCCTGTTGCTGGATTAGAGGTGTACAATTACAGATTCCCAAAATATTTTTGGCCAAAGAAGCCCTTCTGAGAAGAGAGAAGAATGATGCTGGCAACCGGTTTTACAAGACTTGGACACAACAACATGAAAATCGGTGAAATAAGTTACACTTTGCTCCAAAATAAATAGTGTACACTACTGCATTGGTATGCATTATTTGACAGGTGTTTATTCGATTAAATTGTGCCCTCACTGTGTAAGCTTGAATGGCAGAGAGGGAGCCACACGCATGAAAAGTTCACACTGTACATTTATTATGTTTCTTCATTAAAGGACCAGTGTGTAGGATCTAGTGGCATCTAGCGGTGAAGTTGCAGATTGCAAGTAACTGAACACCACTCGGGTCTGTATTTGATGACTGTGAAGTGTGAAGGGGAAACTACGGTGGCCACGAAACTTGAAAAACTGTAGAAACATGGCAGACTCCATGGAAGGCGTCTGTAGATATAAATAGCTAATTCACACTAATGAATACCTGTGAATATCATATTCCAGTCTCTTCCATTTTATAATTAACAACAAACAAATTAAATCTGTTTTAACAAGAGACTAGAACTGTAAAAAAGCCTTTCCATCATAGTCTGTATCTCTTCTACACTGAGTATTTAATGCTGATGCATATCCACATCCCATTCAGATGGATGTTAAGCCACACTATGTTTACCAAACAAATCGACAAGCTCTAATGTAACTTGATGTCGGCTAAATAGAATCATCTCAACTGATCAAAAGGAAACACAATTGAACACTGAACACTAACAAACGTCTCTCACTGACCACGACAACAGAGGCTTTGTCTGTTGGGCCTCATAATTTGAACCCTTTACACTGATGTTATTTCTGATCTGGAGGCTCTAGAATGAATGCGAGTAATAGGGTTACAACTGAAAATAGAAAACGTCCATCACTCAAGCTGACATAATTGACAACCGAGTTGTAGTAGAGAGAACTCTACAGTGAAATTGTCTGCACCCTCTCTGCATCACAATGCATACTATTTTCATGTTGGTG